CATTGTGTTCTTAAATATTACTTATCACAAAAGAGAATATTGTTCATAACTCATATTATTCATAAATATACACGATAGCTTTACTAAGTCTTCATTAGTCAATTCAGAAAAAAATAATGGAGTAAGTTTCCGTTCGTAAGTAAACGCATAAGGCATACCGTTTTCTTTGTTCATCAAGATATTTATTTAGTCTATAGTCATTGATAAAATACCATTAATTATACGTTAAAAAACAGACACTTATCTTTCGAGAATAGGGTATTCATCATACCCTCGGTAAGTTTTTTGCTACTCATTGTTATATTTTGATAAAATTCGGATTCCATATTATTTGGAAAGTTTACGACTTGTGGGTTTATAATCAAATTAGCTAGCCATTAGAATGCACGGTCCTGGATATTAAGCGAAATCAGAGTAATTTTTTATCAAAATAGTACAACGTAATCGTCCGTTTTCGAATAAAAACAAAGCAACTTGAGTAACTTTTTCCCTTGAGCAATTTCACCACCGGGCCAAACGAATCGTCTCTCGCGAGATAATGTGCTATTCCACGAACTCGGCGTAATATTTGCCAAAGAGTACTTGGTCATCCCATTTCCCGAGCTTTTAGAAATTTCCTCGAGAGAGAGAGAGAGAGAGAAAGAGAGAGAAAGTCTATTCCCCCTCCCTAGAAGAAGAAAGGAATTCGTTCGATCGTTCGCGGGTGGTATTCCGTCGTCTCGCCCGATTGATGGAAATATTCGCGCGCGAAGAAATTGTTTCTGAAACCGAGTTATAGCCCGCCGCCCCACGCTGTCTGCGTGTTTTCCTTCCTCGACCGGGGATGGGGAGCAAAAATGAAAAAAAAATAAATAAAATAACAGTCTCACGCTCGCTCGAATACGGCTCTTTGACCGAGAATATACGTCTCTGTGTAACCGATGTGCCGGAAGGAACGTTTTTTTTTCCTGTTGTTTTTTCTTCAGAACTGAATTGCGGATATGCGCTTACGAGAGTACGTTGCGCGGTGGAACGAGGTCGCGGAGCGCGCTTCGCGGACGAGCGAGGGAGAGGGGGGGGGAGATGAAAGACCCAGCGCACGAGCCTGCAGCGTCGCCGCGACTACTGTCCACTGAACAACGGCTCGCCCATCGTCGAAGGCAAACGCGCGCGGCCACGAGAGCAAAGCGTTTGCCGATGGTCGTAGCGGCCGGTGCTCTCGCTGCCAAACGGATACGTCTCGCCGATGTGAGTTGCTGCGCTCGGCAAACTCGACGACTTCCTCCGTTTCGTCGATCCACATCGTCGCTGCCGCGACACCAAAACCAGCGACTCGCGAGCTGCCGTCGCCTTCTGGCTTCTGACCAACTGTCACGGAAATTCTGGCACGCTCTGATGGACAGCCCACCAAATACATCGTGCACTTCGGCCGAGTGCGCTTCTCCGAGAGTACCCACACGAGCTCCCAACGGCCATCCAATCAGAGATATCCGCGCCAGGGTACCGCGATGAACTGGAATCGGCGCTCCTCCCGGATAAGAGTCGACCGACGGCCGCGCGTCAGCCCGCGAGCGAGGCCACTCGCGAATCCGGCTAAGCGCGCGCTTCGGCCTTTGCTCGACGTCTCGACCAACTAGACCTATCCCAGACATTTCCGTTCGGCGATTGGCGTGCTCGTTGCCGACCAGCTGATAGGGTGAGTCCGACAGCCAAGCGCACGGGACTCGCGGGCCGGTACTTTCCAATTTCACGCGGCAGGCTGCAGACAGGACGTCTCCGCGAGTCCGCTCCATTTGCGATCGGCGACAGCACTGCAATCGAGACGCGTTCGAGCCACTCGTTCCGAAGACAACGCAGTGTAACGTCGCTGCCAGCCAAGCTGAGAAAGATCGGCTGTCCACTTGTCGCCCAATGCATTCGGTCGCTAATTGCCTGTGAGCCAACTCCAACGATATGACTATCCTTCGTTTCCTTCTTTTTCCTTCCAGTTAAATTGTCGGCTGGCCTTCGTTCGTATCTCACACTTTTGCGCAATTACGCTCGTTATGCCGACTCATCGTTTCGCGAGTGCAGCGTTTCAATTTGTTCGATCGCACGAGACAACCGGAGGCGATTGCGCTCACTATCGGTTAAAAAATGGTACGCCCTATACTTTCCAAGCGTGTAGCTTTGCAAAAAGGAATCGCACAATGATATAAAAAAGTAGCGTAAAGCTTTTCGTTTTTCCCGTCAATTGGTTTTTCAGCGGCCGGTCTAGCTAAATTAGCTAAGTCGTAACAGCAAGCAGAAGGACAAAAAAAACGAAATTTTGAATTACCTTTTACGAGGTCAACTTTAGAGTCTTGCCGTTCTATCAAAAATGAATAGAACATTGCGAAAGAAATTCAGCGCTTAGTTTGAAGCTTTCTCGATGCAGTTACTGAATAATTAAAATAAATATTAATTAAGTCATTTATAAAGTGCAATCTTAGAAAGAATTATCTTTTCAATGGCTTATTCGATTGACGTCGGACTTGGTATAAGTTATTAATTAACGATTAAACATTGTAATTTTCAATGATTTTGTGAATAAATTTTTTAAACTTCTAAATGCCAACTTGCTAAAGTTTTTAAATAATTCCAACAGAAGCTGCGCTATGTATGTTTGAGTTCTTATAATATAAACACAAAATAAGCTCGAGTGCAACGTGATAGCAACACTAACTTATCCTTTCGTTAGCAATCATTCGAAATACTTTTTTTGAAGAAATAGTGTGATGCGAATGCAATTATGTGTACGACATTAAAAAAATTGTAATTTTTCGTTAGACAATTATTATAGTGTAAATTTGATTAAATCAATAGCCCATTATGAAATAAAAATAGCTGGTGATAAATTATGCGGCAAATATTATAAAATATTGTACAACTACTGACCGATATCATTAAATAATCATTAAAATGTATTAAAATTACGGTACTTAATAATGGATTTACATAAAAATGAATTATGTAACAATTAATGTTACGTCGAGCTATAACAAATTCAAAGTTGACCTTGTAAAAAGTAACTCAAAATGTTGTATGTTTTCCATCTGATTGCTGTTACAACTTACCTAATTTAGCTAGACCGACCGCTGACAAATCAATTAACGGGAAAAACAAAAAGTTTTAACGCTACTTTTTTTATATCGTTGTGCGATTCTTTTTTGCAGAGCTACACGCTTGGAAAGTATAAAGCCTATCATTTTTAAACCGGTAGTAGTTTGCGAATTTTTGGGTTGAGCGCGAGCGAATAAAACGAATCGCTCGTCGGAATTACAAGTGAAAGTCGCCGACAACTGGACGAAAAGCTTTCGCTGCTCGACAATTGAACGAGCGATTTTGAAAATATCCATCTCCGACTTACGGCTCGCTCGCTTGCGTTTTCAAGGTCTCTCTTGGCACCGTCGTTGCTCGCTCGTTCCTCAAACGCAGAGGGGGCCAGCGTTGCCCGTTAACCGCGAAAAGTCGCGGCTGTTTGGCCCGCGCGCAACGGGCGAAGCGCATCCAAGACGCAAGGTGAAATTGTGGCGGCCGCCAAGCGCGGCGAGAACGTCGAATTCGCGGCTCGAGCTCCGTGACGCTCCCGGACGTACCGTCGTCGCGCTCGCCTCTGCACGCGTAAGTGGGTCGCCGCCGGCCGGCCCTCGCCGGGCAGCGCTGCCCTTCGATAATTCACGCGATGGTCCGCTCGGAGCCGACGCGAGCCGTTGAAAAAAATATTCGGAGTGAGAGAGAGAGATGGAAACGGGGTCGAGTTCCATCTGGCGTGACTCGCCGTGGCGCCGAGGGAGGACGAGGAGAGACGTGGGCGTCGCGCTCGCCCGGAAAAGGCGTGTCGTCGGACGGCCGAACGTTTGGCGATCGCTCGCTCGGCCGAAACGCCAATCGGTCGCGCACTGCGAGAAGCGGAGCCGACGCCGACGCGCGGAGCAGGGTCTGAACTGTAAATAACCCGGTGAGCATGATCGGCTCGGGCGCCGAGGGCCGCGATAACATCAAAGCGAGAGGAGCAAACGAGGCGAGCGGCTTGCGGCATGAGCGCTCAGCTGGAGCACCGTGGTCGCGGGAGACGCGGCAAAGGATTATATTTTTAGTTCGATTTGCCGCGCGAACGGAGCCCACGAGAGTCGACCAGGGGGAAATTTCGCTGCGATAAATAGACACATGCGCGCCACGCGCAGAGCCGCCAACCTTGTCGTCGCCTCGCTTTGTCGCTCGCGCGATTCGAGAGCGAGAGAGCCTCGCTCCGCGCGCCTGTGCTCTGCCAAGCCGGGGAATCGCGAGATTCAAAAGGACGAAGAGACGCGCGGGGGCGGCACCGGTTTTCACGCGCGTCGGACCGGAATTCCACGTTCCGCCCCCGCGCGCTCGGAGGGAAGACAATGGGCGGCCGCCTTCTTTCCCGCGGGAGGCTTAATTCCGCTAATTGATTCCCCGTCGACTGTCGCTCGCCGATAAGGGATCGCGGCGTGCCCCCGTCGGGTCGTCCGAATCGCAGCGGCCGAGTAGATTCGAGAAGAAGGGCAGGGCGGACGAGACGTCCAAGTGTCACGCGTCCGCAGAAGTAGGACGGACGTCCTGCGCGCGTAGGCGAGTCGTAGGATCGACAGGCCGAGGCCGCAATGGGAACGACGTCGGCGGCGGCGCGCTGTCGATCGACGCCGGCGTGCCGAGCCGTAATCTCCGCTTTGCGCCCGGTACGACCAATAATCGGCTTATTGATTCGTCGCCCACGCGCGCGCACACCGGCCGGCCGCTTCTCCTCTTCCGCTCCAGGTTGACGCACGTTCCTCTCGCCCGAGTCTCGCCCGCGGACCCACCGCGAACCGGGGACCCGTTTCCCGTGAGGAGCGCCGACTCGTGCGCCGCGGACACGCTCCTGCCGATCTCCGCTGGCAACGTCGCGATCGTCCCGCGTCGACGACACGCACCGGTTGTCCGCTCGCTTGCTCCCCTTGGCCAAATCCGATCGTTTTCCCGGGAAAGCAAACGCGCCGATTCGGCAGTAATTTCAACTAGCCAAAGCGGCCGTGCGCCCAGAGGCAGCGTCAGTGTCTGGGAGTAAGCAGCGCGCGCTATTGTCCCAACGTCAACACGCGCGATCGATTTTGGAAGGCTGAGAGAGAGAGAGAGAGAGAGAGAGAGAGAGAGAGAGAGAGAGAGAGAGAGAGAGAGAGAGAGAGAGAGAGAGAGAGAGAGAGGCCGACGAATTGCCCGGTGGCTTTGTGTCGCGGCAGTAATTATGCAAAAGCCGTGGTCGCCACTCGGCCGATATTACGAAAACTACTGGCGGTGAGTACACGGGCGAGCGACCGCTCGGAGCGAGGCCCGAGATGGGCGTGAGCTGCTGGAGCAGAGCGGCGCCGAGCCGCGAGGCGTTCCTCGACGAGCAGAGCCGCGTGCTGCGCTGGAGCGCCGAGGTGCTGGCGCGCACCGACGAGAACATCGACGCGGAGAACTCCTTCCTGCTCGACTACGACGCGGAGTGCATCGCCGGCAAGGTCGACCACTGGATCCGACGGGACGCGCGCGAAGGCCGCGAGAACGCCGTCGCGCTCGAGGTACGTGTCCGCGCCCGCGCGACCGGCGGCTCGCGCGGCGCGTTTTCAAGGCAGCACGCCTCTTGCTCCGCAGCAGCTGGGCCACGAGCTGAGGCGCCGACTGAGCCGGGAGTACCAAGCGGCCTACGCGGACTTGCGCTGCTTCGGCACGCGCGTGGACAGGCTGGCGGACCAGCAGCGCCGCATCCACAGCCGAATACTCGAGCTCGACCCGTCCCAGCCGGCCAAGCTTGTCCGCCTGCGGCGCAAGGTGCGCGAGAACCTACGCAAGAGTGAAAAAATGATGTTCCACGACCGGCTTCTCCGCCGCCAGTTCATCCGCAAGGTATGCGCGGCTACGCGCGAGCGAGTCGCTCGGCGGGTCGAAAAAATGTACATGTGCACGCGCGTGCGTTACAGGTGTACGACATCGATCATCGCTGCGCGCAGCTGTGCCGCGCGAGACTGACGGAGGCGAGCGCGACTCGCGGCGACTCTCGCGCGCCGCGATGACGTCCGAACGAGCGCGCTCGGGGGCCTCGTCCCCTGCCCGCCGCTTTTTCCGTTCGAGCACGCGCGAAACGGCGAGAACAGCAGAACCCCCCGAGGGCAGATCAAAGCGCGCGCGCTGCCGGCGTACAGCGCGCGCTCCATCGGCCTGCCACTCCAACCTGAAAATCGCCAAATAAATTAACTATTCGCGCACGCACGCGGGAGTCAATTGGCAGTGCCCGCTTTCTCTCTCTCTACCTCGTCCCTTCCTTTTTGACCCCCACCCCTCCGCCCGGACGGCCAGAGAGCGCGCGCGGCCGACAGCACGGCCGCGTCGCGAGGGGCTCGTGGGCTCTCTCGGAGACTCCGCGAATCAGGCGCTCAGCCAAGTCGCGCAAGTAGAGCTGCTTTGACGCGCGCGCGACGCTGCATACCTGTTTTGCCCTGCTCGCGCGCGCTCCTCCGGCTGGTCGCGAGGCAGCGAGCCTCTCAGCCATCGATCGCCGGCATCGCGCTCGACAATCGGCGAGAGGCGGCTTCCCGTCGGGGACTGCCGCGCGCGCGAAGGCGCGCGGCGAGCGCCGAGTCTGCCGATCGCGCTCCTCCAGATGTCCTCGTCGCCGCGCGGCGGCCGGGCGGGCCGGGGGAGAGGGGCCGTCGGCGGCGCGTCGCGACGAAAACCGCGACGCCGCTGCAGCCACGGCGGTCGCTGGCAGCCGGCAGATATCAGGCGAGCAGCCCGCCGCGGGAGCCAAGTGCCCCGGCGGCTCGGTCGCGCGCGCCACCGCGCGGCGGGCGCGACGCGCGCGCCCACGTGCCGTCCTTCCGCGGTTCGCGCTTATCTCGCGGGCAGCGCGCGAGAGACGCGCGGCCGAGGGAGAAGTACTGGCGCGAGGCGCGCGTAACAGGTAGCCAATCCCGTGACTGGGCCGGCGAGCGCGCAAGACGGCCCGCTCGCGAACTAACCGCGCACCGCGCCACTTTACCGACGCTCGCTCGTGCACTGCTCGCGTCGGGTCGAAGGACGCGCGATCGCCCTCGTCCCGACGCGGTAGTGACACCCGCGGGTGCGATCTCCGTTGCCTCGTGGATCGCTCGCTTCTCGGCGCTGCGGCCGATCCCGGCTCATGTCGCAGAATTAACGGAAACGCCAGCATCCTTCGTTAGCCGTGATCGTCTAGTGGTTAGGACCCTACGTTGTGGCCGTAGTAACCCAGGTTCGAATCCTGGTCACGGCAATGCCCCTACGGGGACATTGTCACGGTGAAGGATTTTTTTCTTTTTTCTTTTTTCTTTTTTTCTAGGCTTCGATTGTTTTATCGAACGCGGAGAGACGATTGCTTTTTTTGATTTTTCATAATTCAAAATAAATTAGATAACAATGAAGAATAAAATGACGATTTTGAGAATATTATTTTGAGCTTGATCGTCAAAGAAAATGAGTGATTCGGCCATAAGTAATAAATAGCATTTTTTGATGATCACTGTTAGGTCTACTTTCGAGTATTATACTAAATAATGCGTTAAAGTTTGCGTGGTGCCGTTTCTCAATCCTGAGCAAAGCGTTGTTTTGCCCGATCAACGAGAAAACTGTGTGCAGCTACAGGTACGCAGGCCAGCCAGCGATTGCCCAACAACGCGAAAATCAGTCGCCGGCTTACGCGTTCGAGCGCAAAACAGACCTTCGCCTCGATAATTGCCGAAAACACCGGGGCAGCGGACAGCACGCGAAATGTGATGAGGCCAGCGAAAAGCGAGACGAATAAATCGGCCGAGCTCGGTCGCGATCCCGGCAGTCGTGGCCGCCGTCGCAATCGCAGCCAAGATGTCGACGAGCAGCAGCAACGCACTGTGGCTCGCGCTCGGCGCGGTCGTCTTCTCTCTGGGTAAGCCAAAGCTGGGCCGGGGCTCGATCGCTCGGCGCTCCGTCAACCATCGTCCTCATTTTCTCTCTTTCTCTCTCTCTCTCTCTCTCTCGTCCGCGCAGCAAGGGGAGCGGCGGTGCCGTCGGCGATCGACCTGGAGACGTGCGTCGCTCTGTGCTCCAACTGCGACGGCGTCGCCGAGTACAAGGACGGGCACTGCGAGTGCAGCATCGCGACCGGCCCCGACCGCGGTAAGCCAGCCTCGTTCGCCGGGAGTTTCTCGCCCGCTCATCCGCGATGATTCGCAGGCGCGGAGTGCCTGAGGCGCACGAGGCGAGACGCGTGGGAGGTCGGCCTGGACGTGGTGTCCTGCGACGCGGACGCGGACTCGCGGTCGGCCCGGTGCGCCGTGGGCTTGAAGCACGTCTACGGCAAGAGTGAGTTTTCGGACAGCGCTCCCCGGACGAGACGAGCGGCGCCTCCACGACGAACGTTTGCTCGACCACTTTGCAGGCGACGTGGACCGGGTGGCCAAGTACTTCATGCAGGACGGGCCGATGACGGGCTCGGTGTTCATAGCGCCGCCGTACGACCGGCCAGCGGAGCCGACGCTGGCCAAGAGCGCCGACTGCGAGCTCTCGCTGGACGCGACGAGGGCCGCGCTGCCCGAGGAGGCCACTGTCGGCGCGCCGAATCTCATCACCCAGCCGAAGGAGTTGATACCGCCCGCCCCGCCCGCCCCGGCCACCCCGGCCGCCCCCGCGCCCGCGCTCGCGGCTCGACCGCTGCAGAAGCTCGGTCTGTCGCGCATCGCGCCGCAGTTCCTGTCGCTCCTCGGCGAGGTCATCTCCAGGCCGCTGGTCGGACTGCCCGAGGCCATCAAGAACGTCGGTCGAACGCCCAGCGTCAACCGACTCGCCCAGGCCCCGGTTCACTTCTTCAACTCTTTGGCTAACCAGATGGTCGTCGACGACCAAGTCGCCAAGGTGCGTTCGATTTGCCCTCGATTCGCGATTGTCGCTCCAATGCGCCGATGAATTTGCGCGCAGGCCAACTTGGACAACTTCCGCAGCGAGATGGACAGAGCGCAAGAGGAGCTGAAGGACTCTCTTGAGAGCTCCAAGGAGGCGAGCAAAGCCGCGACGGCGGATAACTCAGCGGTCGCTGGTCAGCCGCCGTACTCCATCTTTAATCCACAGCCGATGCTGAGCTGGCTCAATCCGACCGTCGGTGCACCAGCTCCGATGCAATTCGTGGGCGCGCAAGCCCCCGTGCAGTTCGTTGGCGCGCAAGCTCCGATGCATCTCGTCGGGGCCACTCAACTCGTAAGTACTGGACTTCCAAGTCAACTGTTCAGCACCGGTCAGATGGTCAGTGCACCGATTTTGGCGAACCCCAGCTACGATCAGAGTCACATGGTAGGCTCGCAGTCACCATCCTACAGCATTCAGCCGCAAATGGTGGCCGCTGCTACGCCGTCGATGATCTCGGCAATGCCGATCATTCAGAGCCTCGGTGCCGTTCCGTTGAGCAGCATCGTCTCCCAAATGTCACCTACCTACCTGATCAGCTCGCCGATGACTTACTATCCTCCCATCCAAACCATCGCCGATGATAACGTAGAGTCGCTCGAGGAAATTCCGCTCAGCTTCCCTCCCCAGAAAAAGATCTGCAAGAAGTCCACTAAAAATCGGCCCTCCGTCAAGTATACCATGGATGTCCAGGCAGCCAAGGATGATGAGCAGCGGCGTCAAGCGAAGACTCATGAGACTTCGACTTCCACAACTGAGGTGTCCGTGATCGACAGAACTACCGAGCAGAAGCCAAAGGAGAAGTCCAAGGAAAACAAAAGTGTAATTAGCAAAATGAAGCCCTCCAGTAAGAACAAAGCAGACAAGAAGATTGACGAACGCAAATTGTAGACATATAATTGTTTTTATATACTTTTTTACTTTAATCAAACATCTTTTATATGAAAGATTTTTTAATTACAATAAACTAAATGGTATGTTTTATAAATAAGGAATTTCTTCTCGTTCATCCTTTACACATCAAAATAACATATTTCCTTTTTGTTGTACATTGAGTGAATAACATTTGAACGTTTGCAATAATGTGAAAGTAATGTACCCTGTGTTACTTTGCAGTATTGCAAATATAAAAACATGAGCTAGTAGCACATGATATCAAAGGTAATTACAAAAAGTGTTCAAAATGGTAATGTATGATATAATCATATATAACTCCACAGCAATATAGAAGCACTTCATCTTCGTCCCTTGCCTTTCCCCTTCTTGGAAGCACCAGCAGCAGACTGTTGGGACAACTGATCACCGTATGATTGCTTCCCTTGCCTTGATTTCAGTTTTGGAATACTAGTGCCAAGGAAAACTAGCAAGGAATGCCTGTTTGGATATTCAGGATTCACAGGTGTGCCATCGTCATTTTTCAGTTGTACACGGATACGTCCACGATAGAGAATTTCCTTGCTACGCTCCCTGGGATGTAATTTATTCTCTACACCAACTTTCAGTCCAGCACTCGTCAACACATCACGAATCTCTTGGTGAGTTGGATTTTCTACGCACTTCTCCTTTGTAAGCTTGCGTCCTTCTGCTAAGCTTTTCTTGCTGTTCAGATAGCAAGGATAGATACACACCCACCTGCATTACATAAGGAATCTAATATTAGATACAATTACAGTACTCTTATAAATATATTGTACACATGCAAAGATAGTTTTCACTAAAAAAAAGGTCGGTAAAAGACCATATTACAAAAACAACAACCACAGGATTATATTGTAAATGTATTGGCAAAACATAATTATTCTCATTCTAATCAATAACCAGAGGAATCAAACTTGAATTAAAAAATCTGTTGGTAAGCAAAAAATGTTTAATATAGGTTAGGTCAGTGAACTTAAGATAAAAAAGTAATCGCTTTCGCAAAGTTGTTTTTAAACAAACAATTGCACAAGAATAAATCAGCAGAACAGCGGCAAAAAAACCAATAATAGAATTGTAGAAAACAGTGACCTTTCTACATCGCTGTGTTTTTTCGTTGGATCCCAGATGTGTGCCATGTTTACACTTGTGAACAGTGGTACATATGTTGATCTGCGTGGCGCGTCGGTAATACAGGTTTCTACTACGATTGCATTATTTTTCACAGGATAAAGTTATAACAATCAATTTATATTGCTATCAAAATAGAAGCAAAATAATACGTGGCAACGCGAAGTTCGAAACGAGTGAGAAAAAAAAAGATAACTTGGGCTCGTCCGGGATTTGAACCCGGGACCTCTCGCACCCGAAGCGAGAATCATACCCCTAGACCAACGAGCCATGTAATGTTGTGATCTGAAAAACAACTATTTAAGTCAACTGTTTGTAATTGTTGCGCTAAACTTGTTTTCTCAGGCATATATGTTATGCAAAATGTCGCTTAACTCCCAAATTGGTATATTTGCAGGATAATCGTATTTCCAAGTAATTATTGTATTGTTTTCCAACTTTTTTTCAAAATATTTCTTTAAATATGAATGCAATAATCAACAAAGCGTCGATCGAAACGAGAATTATTCACCCGATTTTTGTTTGTCAAATCGTCAAAGTGTAGCACCAGTCTCGTATCAACAAATACATATCAGCCTGTGACCAAACGAACATAATCAATCCATCCACTTGACCAGACAACGAAACAAAATTCAATCGGAAAATCGTCCAGCGCGAAATAATAAACAAATAAAAAATAAGCGTCTACCAACGGGCAAAGAAGAGAGACAACCTAAGCGCTTCTGCATGCATTAGCAGCGAAGAGGGACGTCCACGGCCGACACAGCACCGATTTTCGCGAGTATATCACTCGCCTATACACGCTCGCCTGGGTCTATCTACACACATACACGCATACCTGTCGCATTAAAAGGCGAAACGCTGCACGCGTGGACCATTAGATTGGAGCATACGCTGCAAATTGGCCGTGACGCGACCCGTCGCGCGTATAGACACGGCTTAATCAGGCTTCATTGCGCTATTTATCTTCGGCCACGTTTTTCGTTGTTTCGAGCTCGGTTCTCCTCAGCGAGGCTCGCTCGCGAAGGACGATCATCCGTCCGCGGATCGCGTTCGGTTTTGTCTTATCTCTTGGCTCCTTTCGCGACGGCTCCGTGCTTTGGAAAAATCGGCTCCCGCTATCCGATCGCTCGCGTTAACGAGACTCCCACTTGCTCCCACGTGCACGATCGATTTCGTACATGCATTCGTGAAAAAGAAACATCCTGGAATTTCGCCACGGAATTTCCCGTTGGCTCGTAAGTTGGAAAGCTCCATTCGTCAAAGCCTCGCTAAGAATACACGTCGGAGATTGGCCGTCCCAGAAGGATCGGCCGTCCAGAAAGAGCCGAAACAACCTGACGCAAGCGACGACCCAACGATGCCCAGTCAACGACGTGCGCCTAGACGTAAATGTCAATCGCGACGTGACGTCGTGTCGACGCGCGTGACGAGCGGAAGGTATCTATGAATCCGTCCTACAGCTTTTTTTTTTTTTTTTTGAGTTCCCCTCCTCTCGGCGGTGCAGCAGAAGCTCATTATCGTCGGCTGCGCTCGTGTGCGTGCGAACGTCGCCGAGTAAACTTTAGTGCGCCGAGTGTCTGAGACAATGCCGCGGATCAACGTCGCGCTCCTCCTCGTGCTCCTTGCTATCGCTGCCCGAGCGACACCCAGACTCAAGAGAGTTGCCGCTCAGGATGAAGGTAAGTTCCGCTTTCGAAGGTCAATGTCGTCTTCGTTTTTTTTTATTTTTTTTCCATCCTGAGCGTCGCTAAAGACAGATTTTATCGCACAGTGCTTTAATTTTGCATTGTATTCGAAAGAGAAATTAGTTGAAAAATAATTATACGGTGGAAAATGGCAAAAGAAATAAAAGTTTTTTAGAAACGGGATAATGGAAATCGGCGATGGAAATTGATTCCGGGTACAATTTCTCCAGTGCAATATTTTCTATGAATCGAATTATATTGGCATTGTGCCGTTGGTAATTACGAGTACCAGTTATTATTATTACAATCACGCAATGCATTCCCACAAACCCCTACGGTTTCCGATTTTTTTTTATTTGTCCGACTGACATTCGCGTCAAAAAAAGCGTGCGTAATCCCGTGTAAGAAAGTCAAAACGGCCCAACATTGGCACAGCAACGTTAACCAAGACTGCCGGTACAGGCCGCCAGTGCTGGTCCAACGTCATCCGAGTAACGAAATGATAAGGATGGGCCAAGGTTATATTTTCAGTAGTGAGCCATTGCCGACGCATTGACCATGGCTCAGTACTGGTAACGCAATATTTGTTGTCATTGTCGGACAAGCACACTATCAAGCTAATAAATAACAACGCATTTTTTAGCTATTTATTTAAAGTTATTAATTAATTAGTAACTATTTATTTTAAATTTAATTGCTAACATTTTCAAGATAAGTATAACGAGTAACAAATTAGGTAACAACAATATTTATACAACATTTATGTTATACTAAGAGGTCAAACTTAATGAACAATAATATGTGCCCTCCTAATTAAAGTAAACACAGATAAAAAATGTCAATTATCTTATAAAATTTACCTCGAGCATCGATCATTACGTTTTTGGGATAAGTCAAGCGCATCAAGTTTTTTTATAAAAATATTGCCATTGTCGCTACAGCTGCTGCTCGACGATGAACAGAGAATTTTCCTTTTCAAGGATCTTGATTTTTTGAGATATGAATAACTGTTCAGCATTGCGTGGTATAATGAAAGCTACTCGGAAAACACGATACTTATCATATATTTTAGGTTAAAATGTTATAATTAATATTCTTTATAAGCATGCGCATCATGATTAACGATTAGTATTGGGCTAGCGCCGGAAAACAAACAATATTAAAATCGTTCAAAAATAGATTATTGGTACAATATTGGCTGCCGGTGCTCGGACCATTCTTATCAATTCAATGTTGGCTCAAAGCCGGCCCAGTGCTTGACAAAACTAGGTTCGGTTGCCAGTGCTCTAACAGTATTGGGCCGTTTTTGCAGTCATGGCAATTCTTACACGGGAAGACGTCAGTCCACGAGCGTTCAATCAAAAGCAAAGACGAAACGTCGAAACGATCGCGTGCGCGCGAGAACGATCCATGGCACCGAAAATAGAGAGAGAGAGAGAGAGAGAGAGAGAGAGAGAGAGAGGGGGAGATAGAGAGATAGGGAGAGAAAGAGATGATTTTCACACCTAGTTAACCGCGCGCTCGATTTGCCAATTTGCAGACGACGAGCGGCGGCAGCAGCATGACCACGAAAGAAGCAATCATGGCGAGCACTTTGGCTATGAGAAGCCGGACGATTGGTCGGAAGATTACCCGGCGTGCGCGGGCGTGCGCCAGTCGCCGATCAACATCGAACTCCAGGACGTCGAGACCATGGACAGCTGGCGGCCGCCGCTCGGGCGCTTCGGTTACGACAGCAAGCCGCTCGAGATGAGCATCAGCAACAACGGGCACTCCGGTGAGATTCCGCCTGATCCGGGCGTCCGAAGCTCTCCCGTGTGCGTTGCGCAACGCGAACGCTGATTTGGCTGATTTGTTACGCGACCGGACGACTCGTTTTTTTCCGTCTTGTTTTTCGACAAGAAGACACGAGCCGATCGGCAAAATGCCCGCGTAACGACGACGCGCTCGCGACTGAGATCGGCCTCAATTTCGCCGACGAGTCATCGCCGAAAAGCAGGACGGTCATCAATGTCGAATTCGCAGTGCAACTGACGGGCGTCTGGCCGTTGCACGACACGCCGTCGGTCTACGGCGGACCGCTGACCGGCCTCTATCAATTGGCGCAGGTACACTTCCATTGGGGAGCCGAGAACGGCGTCGGCAGCGAGCACACAGTCGCCAATCACAGGTAAGCGAAAAAGCACAACGGCTTCGTCCTGCGAACGAACGTTTGTCGCACTCGTAGCTTCCCGTTGGAAATGCACATGGTGCACTGGAAGAAGATCTATCAGAACTTGACCGAGGCGCTGAACCACGATGACGGGCTTGTCGTGCTCGGCTACCTCATGTCGGTGAGTATCGGATAAGCCACGCTCTGTCGGGTAAGAAGCTCGAGGCGCACGATTTTGCAGCTCGACAAGAGCGCCAACATGGGCATCGAAAGGATGCGCTCGAGCTTCTCGAGCATTCTGAAGCCCGGACAAAGTGCGAGAATCGAACCTTTTCCCCTGTCTCTCTTCGATCTGGACTTGCTCAAAGAGGGCTACGTCACTTATCCGGGCTCTCTGACCACGCCGCCGTGTAGCGAATCTGTCATTTGGTTGATATCCGTGCGAATCAAAGACGTAACCATTGATGAGGTAAGCCGACTCGCGACCAACCTCAGCGCTTGGCTTACTTTACATTTTTAAGACTCGACCTGTGAATTTCCAGCTGGAATCCTTTAGAAAATTGCATCTGCATAACGATGACAAACACAATTATAGACCAACGCAGCCTCGCAACAGTCGCTCTATCTATTATTTCTATGACATTCCTATATAGCATATACTTTCAGTTTGACATCAAGTTCTTTATAGAGCTGAAGCTTCACTTTCAACGGGTAACTAGGTGATTTTGTGAATAAAATGTAAAAAAACTGCATTTTTTATAAGCTATATAAAATTTCATGTAAATACTGATATATAAAAGTATTTATTTTTTTATGCGGTATATTGTATTTGTATTTACAACAATATTTGTAAAAAGGGATTTATTATCACATAAAGTATGTATAGGAATATTAAAATAAATTATTGCTATGGTTGCACACGTCAAGTCTCGTATTTTGAAAATACAAAGTAGATTTAACCCAAAAACTTTGGCTTATTCTAATGTTCGATTTGAGCAACACTTTTTTAATGTAATACATCCGATTTCAATGTAAAGACGAAAATCCATAACCTTGCTAGATTATCAGGAATTATAATATCTGATGAAACCTATTTTATAATTTTAATTTTCTGTATCCTCCTTATTTTTTTTCGAACAACAGAAAAATATTCATTCGTTCAAACCGTGTCTACGCGCCACATTTCAATAGCACGTGCGCGTGGTTGCCGCAGGTGTATATCAACAATCTCGAGGTACCTTAACCTCAAAAACAGACGCGAAAACAATATACACGCGTATGTCCAATGTGCGATGTGCAATCAACTGCGGTAAACTATGACAGCTTATCACGACGAAGTGGAGATTGAGGACTTTGAGTACGACGAAGACGACGAAATTTATTATTATCCGTGTCCCTGCGGTGATCAATTCCAAATCACCAAAGCCGATTTGCTCACTGGCGAAGAAGAGGCTACCTGCCCATCCTGCTCTCTAGTCATCAAAGTCATTTTTGATAAAGATAATTTCATTACCAAATTCGAAGAGATACTAAAGATAGAAGATAAAGAATTGGTTAAGCAGACGTAAAAGCAGGTGAATAAAATGAATGAAATAGTGTATGACATTTCTAACCTCTTGTACAGAGTATTTTGATGATTAAAATTTGTTTTGAAAATGACGAATGGATTATGAAAGAAATTTATTTCTTTTAGTCATCATCATCATGACTGGCCGAGGAAGAGGACGTGGTAGAGGAATTCCAAATTTAGTTCTACCTGGTAGTGATCAGGTAACTGAATCATTGCCTCCAATGTTGTATCCTCCACAGACCTTTCCACCACTGGACTACAAACCATTACCAATGAATATTACGGCTGAGATAAGATACATGTTGAATGTGAAAAAAGATTTTGCAGAGCACATGCAAGAATCCCCTAACAATGTGTTACCAATTGTGGTGAAAAAGGATATAGAAAGATATTGCGATAAATATCAAGACATGATATCCAATAAACAAAATGAGAAAAGGTACGATTGGACTAGGCTACCTGCTGAATTGAAACTTCAAACTATGAAAAGGAAACGTGATAAAGCTAAATCTCCTGTAAAGAAGAAACTAAAAGATATTGATGTTGAATCAAAATTAAAAGAACTTGAAAAGAGAGAAAGCACAAATGAAAGTGAAGCCGAGGAGGATGAAAAAGATGCGAACGAAGAGAAAGATCCAGATGATTCTGATGCAGTGGAAGAGGAGGAAGTTGACGAGGAGATGGATGAAGGTACAGATTATGTCAATAATTATTTTGACAATGGAGAGAATTATGAAGATGACGAGGAAAATCTCGATGATGGAGCAATATTTTAGTCGAAATACTTTGTAAAAGTATTTGTATCATATTTGTATACATATGTTTATATAAAAAAATAAAATTTTACCTAAATTGTATATATGCAATAAATGATTATTTTTTTATGACTAGTTGACTGAAATTATTTTAAGTAAAGGTGTTGAATAAAGAAGACAAGTAATGTTTTGATCGTGAAGCCGAACGACAGAAAGCATCGGCATCTTTATTTACGAGTATTTCAATTTCTATTAATATATAATATATATTTATATAATATATGTAGCCATAATAATCTTCAATAATGTAATAAATGATCGGCCGTTCACATAAATGGCGATTAGAGTAAAAACGAAGATATCGACGAGTTTTTTTTCTCTTTTTAAATGCTGAGCAAAAATCTTCAATGATATAGCACACTTCAGGATAAAATCTTGCTTGTTGAAGCTTTCTTTTATTTCATGCAAAAAACGAAGCGAAATAAGCGCCGATATACAAAGAAATTATCTTCTTTTTTAATTGATTTATTATTTTTTGCTTGAGCAATGTTTTTATTCTTCCTCTTTTTCCCTCTCCCAAATTCAATAGTGAGTGGTACTTTTTTTTTAGTAATAAATGTCTCATATCTCGGCGGAAGCGTTTTCCCCGCGAACATGTTTTTATAATGCTTCATCCTCTTTTTTTTTATCACAATATATGTAGTTATACAAAAAATACCTACGTCATACTCGATACAATGCACATACTCTTTTATTTTTCTCACAACTAGAAAAATTCCAATCTTATAAAGGAGAGATATATCATTGTCACACACGAAAAAGGCGTCGCGCGGCTACGTAATGTACCCTGTTTTTCATGTAAAAACTTCGTCATCGTTCTCGTGTAATAGTCATGCAGTCATTCGACATTCCTTTCAAAATCATCATAAAGGGCAGTTGTTTTTTTTCTTCTTTTTCGCTATAGGTATTAAGATGCTTCGCTTTTTCTTCATATTTATTGATATTAATTTGCTTTTTGCCTTTTACAGTGGCTGTGCTATTATTGTTTGATCATTTTATTAGAGCAAGACTATGATTTTTTCTATCTATGCAAATAAGTACTATTGTAATTATTCACGTGACTAGAGTTTACATAAAATTATTGCATATTATATAAGCAAATCATTAAGATCGTTTTGATTTTGAAAAAATCAATTACACTATCGTATCAACAAAATTTGTTTTCAAATAATTGCACGAATATGTTTTCATATGCTACGCTCGGAAACTGCACTTACAAAAAACTATAGCTATTAAAAAACAGGTGTATAAAATATATACAAAAATAAACATCCTCAAGACGAAGAAATAATTTTCTCAACTATGTAGAGCGACTATCATCATTCTCAAGTGAAAAAATCAGTTTCAGCAAGCTTGTCAAAAAACTGCGTTAAAAAACATACAAAAATCCATTCCTCTCCGCCGTTATACAAAAACGTGACGATTACGCATCTTCGTAGCTTTTCGTACACAAACCCGCACGCGCAACGAGAAAAGCCACAAATCGGCAGTGACCACAGACCACATTATTGTACACAAAATCATAGTCCTGCCCTAAAAATTTATATATATATATATCGCAATTACGATGAACAACAAACTCACGCGCTACATATATTTATATATAGGTGATAAAACACAACAATGTACAGTTTTAAGGAATCGAAAGTATGTACAAAAAGGCTCTCCGTTCGTTGTGCACACGAAAACACAAGAAAAGCGAAATCGATGAAAAAAACTGAGATAAGGCTTTTTTTTTGTTTACAGCACTCACACGAAAATAATGAAAACGCACGACAAAACGCTTCCGCACGCTCGCATACTTTCATATCATACTCAATTCGAAAAAGTCTTACTTCCTCCCTTTATCCTCCTTGAATATATTATATAATATATATATTTATATATCTCGCGTGTAATCCCACTTACATGTTCTTCTTCATTGTTTGTTTTTTTTTGTATTATATTGTGTTTTTTTGGTTTCCTCATAATACGATAATTAATATAATGCGCTCTATCTATTTATAGTAATTAGGCGAGATGGAGACCGTCCTTGGTCTCGAAACTTCTTTTATCCTCCTTAATTCTTCTTCTCCATATTTCATTGTCATTCAATTCTGCTCCTCTTCCGAGAATTCGTTTACGCGCGCGTTTTCTGTTATCTAACGGTCTTTATAATTCACAAAAATCGTTTATCGAGTAGGATAATCATTTTTTTGGTAAGCATCGGTGCTTGGCGCTCTTAATCTCTTCGCTCTACTCGGACAAATAATTCTACAGTTTAAGACGGTTCAATTCAGTCGTTTGAAACGCGTTTTATTTTGTTTATTGATTTTTTTCCTTTATTTATCTCAGACTTTACTTGTATTTTTTTGTATTTAATTTTCCTCTCAAAATTTTTGTCAGTGAACAACCACTTATAATAATGTGTCGCTAAATCTTGATGATTCTTATGTTTCCTTTTTGTTGTTTCTTTTCAATTTTCAAACCAAACATTTGGTGAGGACATCAATGCATATTAAAAGTGGACGTGTAACTTTATCGACACATTTTTTAATTGTCTTTTACAAAAAATGCTGGTAGAAATCACTTGATGCTTATTGTAGGTATACATATCACGTGATTAGTGAATCGGAATGTCCTGTATTGTTGACATGACATATTTTATAACTGTAAGACATAGAAAATCATATATCATTGTGCTACGTAGACTAAAATGTACAACATAGTCAGCTTATCCTTTATCCGCATATACTATCCTTATAAAAAATAATCTTTGGACTAAAACTAATGAACTTATACTCGCGAGTAATGCCCCAAAGTTCGTCGAAAGATTATTTTCGCGAAACTAATCCGAAGTGTTGAAAGAAATCAGAACTGCGGTCGACAAGCGCGTTTTATCATCAATTTTCACAAGTACAATGAACGGACGGGCAGTGAGTGTGTCATACAGACTTGCAGCACGAGAATAACAGTTTCTAATTATTACAAAGATCAGAGGGAATCCAGAGAGAACGAGAGAGTGGCTTTCCTTTTTCATCTACGCGTCTGCCTAAAAAAGCGCGTTTTTTTTCTTTTATCTTTTTGAAAACGAAGAGAATAAGAGCGTGTGAATATATATGTCGATTAAAAGCTCGGCACTCGACTCTTTTATTTATTTATTTTTTTTTTGATCGTGACGTGCAAGTGTCGCGTTCGCGTACGTGTGCGGGGCTTCTATCTTGTTTAAACTGAGATATAACAATTGATTGGTAAAAGGTACGAACAACGGCGTGTTTCTTCTCTCTTGGCGCGAGCGTCTAGATTAATTTGCTCTTCGCGCTCGTGGCGACGACCACGATCGATCTTCTTCTTCTTTTGATCACTCGAGATTGCGAGATTATTGCTCAGGGCCCTTGGAGCCCCAGAACTTGTCGAAGCGGTCGCGTGCTTTGTCCAACAGCTCGTCCTTCTTAGCCTCGAAGGCCGCTGGTTGCTGCTCCACCTACATCGATACAAACGATGATGACCGGTCTCCCAAAATCGACGCGACTTTGTAACTCACTTTGCACGCGTGTAACAGTGTCGAGAAAGAGAAAAAAAAAATGCTCGGGCACAAACCAACCTCATCCTTTGCTATGGCTGCCAGCGGGCTGGCCGTTCTTTCCGGGTCCATCGAGTCGTCCTTGTGGCCGTTGGTTCCGCTGAAGCTGCCCAGACTGACGCTTTCGCTCTCCGGTGACTTGTAGCCCGACTGTTGCTGCAGCTTGTGCTCCGCCGGCTGCTGCTTTACCGAGGTCGGCCCTCCCCAGCTCCTTGCCTCGCTGTGGGCCCGCGTCGGCGGCTCGCCTGCGCCAAGTTAAGCGCGAGTGAGGTGCGAGTGAGGGGTGCCAGCTGGGCCGTCGACCGGTCCGCCGAACGACTTACCCTCCCGCACGTTTTGAGTGACAGTGAAGGTTTTGCCCGTGTCGAGCGGCACGGTCCAGTTGACCGGTTCGGGCGAGCGCATTATCATTTGCTCCGGAGACTTGACGCGCGTTGGCTCGGGAGGACTTTTCACCACCGGTTCGTCGTCGATCCAACCCTGCTGTTGCTGTTGCTGCTGCTGTGCTGCCGGCTGAGGTTGCACGCCGTTCACTTGCGGTTCTGCTGTCACTGTAACGAGCATTCGCAGCTTACATCGCGAGGTGTACTTGATCAACTTTCGGTCGTTGCCTCCGTTTTGTTTTTCTTTCTTTCGGTTGTTTGCCTTTACTTCTGGCTTTTTTTGCTTGGGTGTACGGAGATTATCGTTCGAATGTTTTCTGTTATATTCAATTTGCCGTGGGAAAATTTAATAGCCCAACGTAGTTTCAGTGTAAAACTTCGTTCTAACCAGATTACGAAATTGTTTCTGGCAGGAAAAGTTAGCGTCGAAAAAATTGTCAACTGTCGTACGGATTTATTGAAAATTGCGAAAAAAAAATGCAGAAACGTTGCAAAACAATTGCGAAAAAGGTGAAAGTGTTTTATTGATTTTTCAACGATTATTTGCAACGGTCGGCATTTTCGTTTACGATTGCAATTTGGTTTATGATTTTACGGCAATCGCTTGCAAATCTTTTTTGCTGTCAGAGCGACAACAAAATGGTCATTCGACGGTCTCCGATGTGCCCAACGCTATGTCCGAAAAAAAGGTCAATCTGTAGAGTCGTCAACCAAAGAGGCAAATAGACCACACGACACAAAGACAAAACAATCCACGCACAATTCACTTGATGTAATATATATACATATATATATATACGCACCTGATACACACAATTCACACACTCACTATATTTTTCTTTTCATAGGAAGTGAAAAGACGATGGTGAAAATAATGAAGAATGAGTCTTCGGATGATGCGAAAGAAAAAGAAGAGAACGCACGAACGAAACGATAAAACACATGAAAAGAAAAGAAGCAGTGGAGTTTGGGTGGCGGGCCATGCTACTTACTGGCTTGCTTGCTTGCTGCTGCGGCAGTGGCGGTTTTGGCGGCCGAAGATGCGGTTGGCTGATGAAGAAGCGAGCGCGGTCGTGACATGGGCAACTTCGCGTAGTTCTGATGCCGAGCATACGCTGCTGGCCGATGGGGAGGAGCGTTCATCGTCATCGCGAGCGAAGCTAGAAGATTGACAATTCAATTTCGCTTGCTCTCTATCTCCTCCGCCTCGACTCGCAACTCTCTTCTCTACAGCGCGCGACGACGACGACGACCGCGACGGCGACGGCGACGACGATCGACCGGGTGAGACCGATTCGGATGGTCGATGGATGATGACTGTTCGGTGGACACGCGCGTGCAGTGCTTGTTTATTCTCTCAGTCGCACACCCACACACACGCACACACACAGTCGCACACTCGGATGCGCCTCGCGCGTGCTCCAAGACTCGCTTCAGTGCTCGCTTGTCCAGCGGTGTTTCGAACGCACAGCGGCAGAGTGTGAGAGGCAACAATTTGACAACAGTTTCACGTACGTTTGGCTAGCCTATTGATTTTCGACGGAGGAGCACGGCGAGTGACTGACACGCTCCTCGATCTTGATTTGCCGACGACGCTGGCGTCTCTCTTCCATCGCGATGACGACGACGGCGGCGGCCCCGTCGCTTGCCCTACTTTACCTTTGCCGATTATCAAATCTTCAATTGATGATGACTAACATGACATGTTTATGATTCTCGCACGATGCATTAAATCAAAGAAAACGAAAATAAACAGGAAGGAAGGGCGCGCCTCTCGGGCCTTTTCTTTTTTCTCTCTTTTCTCTCGCGTTCTTTCTGTCGACGGCAAGGAAATTGTATAACTCAGCTACCTGTGACACTAGTAAGAACACAAGGACTAAAGATACTTTAAATAAGGCAGCAGAAGTATCTCATGCTATAATCAACGTGTACTTTGGCGTCAACGAGTTATTGACTTATTTCATCTCGACTCTTTTTCATTGTCGTTCTCGTTGACGCGACTACGATGTTGTTAACTAATATAATAGCGAGCCATATGACGGATGCATTCGATATAAATATATGTAAAAAAAAAAGGAAAAGAAAAAAAATAAAAATAAAAGTAACAGCTATGTATGATGATATGAGAGTTGTTCTCGTTCTGGATGAGTCGAGAGCTAGAGTAATATATAGCAAGGGGTGTATCGGGGGGAAGGAAAGAGAAGAGACTCGATGGAGATGATGAATTGCCGGCGAGCGAATGACTTACTCGGTCTCTGCTGGCGCTCCGTGCTGGAATCCTTGTCCTGCGGGGAGAAAACAAAAGCAACGGAACGTTCAGATGGTCCTCGCGTGTGTGTGCCTCCGCGTGCGCAGAGGCGCGCGCCGTTACCTTGGCATCCTTGGCCAGGCCGGAAGCGGGCCTCGTCTGGCTGCGCTTGGGCGAGCGGCGCTCGAGGCCGGGGCCGACGCTCTGCGAGCGCGCGGCCCTCGGGCTGCTCTTGGGGCTGGACTTGGAGCGTGGCGTCGGCTCGGCCGACGACTCCTCGCGGCGACGCGGCATGACTGGCTCCAGCTTCTCGCGCGTCGGCGAGACCAGCAGTGCGCCGTCGTCCGCGCCGGTCGTGCGCTCCAGGTGGTGGCGAATCAGAAAGTCGCGGCGCGCGCGACCCATTCGCGCGTTCTCGTTGTCCTGCCGGGCAGCGGGTTTGCCGTGTTACAATCGCCGTGGGAGAACGACGCCGCAGGGAAGCTCGATGGGAATACTCAACAGCTTTCGAGTCGTCCTGCTGGAAGAAAGATCTGGCTTGCACCGACGACGGTCGTCCGGCGGGCAACTGCTGCTGCTGCTGCTGCTGATGCTGCTGCAGCTGCACGGCGACACCGACGGGCACGACCTTGCGCGTGTTCTCCTTGTCCTTCTCCTCCTTGGTGGCCGACCTGGCGAGCGCCAGGGCGTTCAGCGCATGATTCGTCGAGACGCGCTTCCACAGGCTTGCCTCGTCCTCCTGCGCCATCACGCCGCCCCAGTCCCGGTGCTGCGGCCAAAGTTGTCGTCGGTCACCCCCGAGCGAGTCGCGCGACGCCGAGGGCCCGCGTACCTTGTACTCGTCGGCGAGCCGCTTCAGCTCGCGCCGCAGCTCCATCACCTCGGCGGCGGAGAACGGCCGCGGCTTGTCCTTGGCGTGGTCTCGGTTGCTGTCCTCGTTTATTCTCACCGAGCGCTGCTGCCTGTCGATCGTCACCGCGTCGTCAGGCTCGTCGACTGTGTCCTGCACCAGGGGCTCGAGCTCCGACGCTTGTCCTCCGTCGCGACTGCGCATGCATCGCGGGAACAGGGTTAATCTTGCGTTAAGTCGTCTTCTGGTTACAGCTCACCGCGGATTGATAAAGTCCGCGAGCGCGAGGGGCCAGGACTGATTTCATTTAGCCGAAGTCCGCGTTTGCGGATTACGCGCGACGATCTTCCGGAGGAAAAGAAATTGTCAATTTTTCCGCGCTTTGCCCGAGTTTGTCTGGCGAACGAGGGCGATGGAGTGCACGGCTCACTTGACCGAAAAAAAAAAAGAAAAAATTCAGAACGAAGTTACGCAAAGTATACGCGGCACTCGATTCTTTCGAAAGATTCGTCGAAGGCCCTTGAGGAATTTCGAAGGCTCTCTTTGAAGCCTCGACGGACCCTCGGATCGCGCGAACTCCGGAGACTACGCTTTTCTAAAAATGAAATTCAAATTTAAGCTTTTCTAAAAATGAAATTCAAATTTAAGCTTTTCTTCCTTCTTCCTGACTCGAGCTTCCGCGCTCGCCGCCTATTTTTATGAAAATCAATACTCAAGCCATTGCCGCGACAAGTTGAATGAGAAGAGCGGAGGCGAATAGCTGCGTGCGTACGCGACGACTCTCTATTGTCGAAATGTTATATTATTGACGATCGATCTTCGGTGGCTGGATAACACTTGGTCGAAGTGGAAGCCAGCAACAGCTCTCTACGATCGCCGACACCGCGAAGGCTCAATTTCGAAGCTCGAATCGCAACCAAGGGCTCGTGCTTCGACGATCGATCGCGCGTGCCCCGGAGCCCTCGCCAAGGGAAGGGGTAGGGGGCAAGGGGGTGGCTCGGGAAGTCGACGGCCGAAAGGGGAAAGAAAGGGCGTCTCGCGAAGGACAAGCTCACCCGGTCCTCCGGTGCTCGGCGGCAGGTGGTCGCCTCTTGTGCACGGCAGCGGGCACCGCGGCCATGATGGAGCTCTGCCTGAGCGCACCCGCGGCGGCTTTCCTCTGTAGCAGGTCCGTGTCCTTGGGCGGCTCCTTGCCGTCCTCCCTCTGCTCGTGCTGCTGCTGTTGAACATCAACACCACCATTAGTCAGCTGCTGATCGCGCGGCTGCGCCCGGCGCCCCGGCCAGCCGAACTGCAAGCGATATTCGGTGCTTATTCGCGAGATCGCTTTGCTCATCAGCTGCGTAGCACGACTGCCGCCGCGGCCTCTCGCCTCCTATTGACAATTGTTTTCAAGTTGTTTTTTATCTTGTCTGTTTTTCCTCTTTTCACTCTCTCTCTCTCTCTCTCTCTCTCATCAAGCTCCTATATTCTACGTCGTACTCGATGAGCTACCCACGGGATTCAAGGGGAGAACGAGTTGGTCGTGCGTACTGCGCCGAAAGCACGGCTGCACGTGAATGTCGGTTGTCATTCGTTTCGGTCGCGACCTCTACGCAAGAATCAATAAGTGTCGAGCTGCAACACTTCGTCGCCCGACCTCGACGCTAATGAGAAGTGAACCGAGCGTTTTTGGGGACCGTAGATTTCAAGTGCGTTGACAGTAAGTGCCGCGCACAGCGCGATTCTACACGAAAGTTGAGAGAAAAAAAAGAAGAGGAGCTGGTTAAGCGCAAAGTAATCGGGACAGAACTCACTTTGATGCGATTATCGATGACGTTGGAGTCGACGTTGTCCACGGCATCGTGCACCGGCGCCGGCGCCGTGGGAATGAACTCGTGATGGCGGTAGGCCAGTTCCGGGCACTTTTTCCGACGTGGCAGAGGTGGCTCCATGCATGTCCCTGCAACAAACCAATCGGAAACGTGGATCTTCGCGACTCTCCTCGCCTCGCAAACAAGCTCACAAGACACCATCGCTCACACGGCAGGAGTAATAAAACAAAGAGAGAGAGAGAGAGAGTGAGAGAAAGAAAATATAACAAAAACGAAATTTGGTGGGCGTTCAATTCGATTACATCAGGGCTTTCTCTGTGTGCGGGCATGCGAGCGGAGGACTGTTACTTACCCGCGTGTATCGGATATATACTTTTGGCAATAGTGATGCACTTGGCGACAGACAAGGCAAATCAGACTGTCGGCAGATACGCCTACGCGGAAGCAAAGCTTTTACGCGCGTCATGCACGAAGTTGACAGGAATGAAAAGGAATACGAGAATATACAACTGTACCCTGCGAGCACGCAAACGCAACAACGAAAAAGCAAGAAAAAAAAAAGTTTGAGAGAAGGAAGAGCGACTGGCAAGAAAAAAATAAAAATAAAAGGAGAGGCCTTGATACCCAGAGCTTACCTTCGCCGTTAACGACTTCTCCGTTGGGTTTGGCCGACTGCAGCGTGATCGCGCTCGCGTCTCTGACTGCAAGAAAATTGCCAATTTTTGCTGTTGCTGCGCGCTGCCTCGCGCCGCCTCGGAGGAGCCGTGGGCTCGAGGTTCGCGCGCGCGACAGTCCTCGGGCGCCCCGGCGCGCCGGTGACGGATGCACGTCCACGCGTACGAGCCGCGAACGTCTCGCGGGGCTTATCGATTGGGCATCGACGGCGAACGGAGTGACGAAGGGACGGGGGGGGGGGGGGCAAGAGAGGGCTTCGCATGTAATACTCACACAGCGACTTGCTCGGCGGCTGCGGCGCCCGTCTCACAACCGTGTCTTGCTCCTGGGCGCTCGGCCCCGTGAACTCGTGCCACGTGTAGGTGCTCCTGTACTCCGAGTGCAGCTGCAACCAGGCGACAAGGATGACCGATCAGATTCGGGGCATCGATCGACACAGCAGATTTGTTTCTTTTCTCTTATTAAAAATCATAAGCAGCGCTAAGAGAAACCGTACGACGCTCGAGCTTCTCCGTCGGCGTTGCGCGCGATCTCAATCTCGGCTTTTTTCGGCGAAGGAGCTGACGAGTCGCTTGGCGCGTACGCGCGCGCGTCACGGGAATTCCGCCGGCGAACATTGATTTTTTTTTCTCTTCTCTACGTTTTCGCTGGATCGTGAGGCTCGCGAACAAGGAAAAAGGGTGGGAGGGCGGCGGCAACTGGGTTAATTGGCATAACCGTTCCGTCGTTATCCGGGATAATCGAGTTCTGTCACGGCGCGATAATCCTCTAAAAATAAGAAACTCCAGCCCCGCGCTACCGAAGAACGAAAATCTCCGGGGACACTATAGCGGAGGATGTAACGAGCAGGACACGGCGACGTCGTCGTCGTCGACGAGTGGCGCATTGCCGTAATACACACACGCGCGCGCGCGGGAGAGAGAGAGAGAGAGAGAGAGAGAGATTGACATCGCTTTTGCAGTGTGACAACTCGATAAAACAAAGGGCCACGCTCCGTTATCGATTATCCTCGGCCTTTTCTTCGCGATAAAAAGCAAAAGAAAAAGAACCGCAATGTGAGAAGTCGCGATGCAACCGTCGAGGATCGCGCGCCCACTTTTTCCATTCGTTTTCGGCCATGATGTAACTTTCGTGCGTAACGCAAGCGCGCGACCTTGACGAATCGCCCTTTTCGTCCAATCAATTTTTCGCACCCTAACCTCCAAAGGAGGAGAGAAAAAAAAGAAAGAAAGATAAGCAGAATAGCGCGTTCGGCCGCGGCTGTCTCGCGGACGAATCAATAAATAAATGAGGTATTATACGTGTACGTGGTGTACCTTGTCAAGCGGCGTCGAGGGGCACGCTCGGCAAAGATTCCAAAACGAGCCGATCATCTTTCCTCGCTTCGTTGCGACTCTCGCACTTGGACTTCCAGGCAGCGATTCGCGCACTCACACGGCACACACTCGCATCGTCGGCGGAGGAGCTAGTAAGCCGGCACCAGGAGGGACGAGAGAGGAGAGCTGGACGCAGCGCGTAATTGCGTTAAGGGAGCGAAGCAGCACCGCCGCAACCCCGAGCGAGAAAGAGCCAGGCGGCCAGCGAGGGTGGTTATAAAGTGTATTACCGTAGTCCAGCGGCGAGGCGCAGGCGCGGCACACGGTCGATAACTCGAGGCAAAGCTCTCGCGCGCGTTCGTGTGCGCCAGAGAAAGACGAAGCGAAAGAGAAAGAGAGAGAGAGAGAGAGAAAGAGAGAGAGAGAAAAGCTCTCACCCCGGCGACGACGGTCCGTCACATCGCCGAGGCAAGCTTAATTGCTGGCGACGCTCGGGCTCCCGTAACCTTTCTCCGCCGCTGACGTACCGAGACCCATCGCTCGCTCCTTCGCGACATCAAGGGATTCGCGCGCGCGCACGCGAGCTTTTGCCCCGTCACGCGGGAAGCAATTGCAATTTTCAAACGCCAACTCCGCTGGCGCTTTGGCGGTTCGAGAGAGAAAAGAGCCAACGCGCGTAAACTGACCTACATGTATGAAATGTTCATGAGTTACGAGCGCGGATGTCCCCTCTGCCGCTGCGTGAAATAAGCCATCGCGCGGATGGGACGAAAATAGGCGCGAATCGATATGTACTTAAAGGCGCAAAGTCACCAAAGCTCTTGCACTCCTCGATCCATCGATCGATGAATAAAACGAATCTCCCGTTTCTTTCTGGAGCATTGCGGCAAGAGACACGTCGTTTATAAATCAGCCGAGCGCGAGGCGAAGGAGGGGGGCTTCATTAGGGTCAGTGTGCACGCCAACGCCGCGCGAAGAAAAAGGCGCGGAGCGAGCGCGCACGGACGCAAACTCGGGGGGGCAAAAACGGTAAAGGCCGAGTGGAGCCGGCCTGGAGCGCGAGCGCGATCTCCGCGCGGCGACCGACGGTCGATCCGTCCTCGAAGGAGATCCGCCTCGACGGCCAAGCGCGCGAGCGTGCGACCGAGGCAAGGTCGCGCTCGAGAAAGGCCCCCCTCGATCGCGCGCGATCAGCGAATATCAGCGAAAAGAGCGCGATCAATACGACGATAGGCTCGGTCGACGCCTTGGCTCGCGCGCGCCTTCGGCGGATCAGCGTCCGCGCGGCGCGCACACGTGCTCGCCGCACGCGCGCGCACGCACGCACGCACGCACGCACGGTCGTGCGCGCGCGCGCGGGGCGGAGGAAGGGGAGGGTCGTCGACCTCGCGCGCTTGTTTACCACTCACCAGATTATGGTGTCGGTGCTGCTTGCGGTGCTGCTTGGCGCGCGTCTTGCGGCAGCCGTTGGCGCCGCCGAGCTTGTTGCCGTTATCCTTGCTGGGCGTCGAGTGCGTCGACTTGTTCGCGGGCATGTCGTTCGGCACGAGAGAAGCACAGCTGCCGCTGCTGCTGCTGCTGCCGCTGCCGCTGCTGCTGCTGGCCGCTCTCTCCGAGCGCGACAACTCGTCTATATGCCTCTATCCCCTGCTCTGCTCGCACACACCTGCGGCGCACATGCGCGCTGGCCACGCGAGCTTTGAAAAAAAATAGGGATAGCAGCTGCGTGGCTCGGCCGCGGCGAGGAGCGAGATCGCCGCCCTCGATTAGCGCGCCTCGGGCCGCGGCTTTCAATCCGAGATCTCGCCCGTCCTCGTGCCGGTAACAAGAGCACTCGAGCTTCGGACAGCGCGGCCGAGGCATCTTCTATTTTTGCGCGCGCATCGATCGCTGCGATCGGTCTTCGAGCGAGCGCGGAACGCCAAAGTTTTGCCCAGCGTTCCAACAGCTTACACCGAAATTCTCATCGCCTCCGTTGTTTCCAACGGCAAGCCCATTGGTCGCGCGCAATCAATTACAAGTCGGTTTTGTATATCGATCACAGCTAATCGATGTGTAGTTTCCTCGTTAACTGCGATTTATAGCACACAGCCGTCCAACGAACAATTCGAATCGCCGTTCGTGTGGCCAATCCGAAACGCCGATGACTCAATAAAGGAGGTGATTATGCTAATCAGCCACTGGAACTCCTCCACGTCGCTGTTCCTTCCACTTTCGATCGTGTAACAATTTTAACGTATAAACGTAGAACTAGTTTTCCACATTTTTATTCGTCCACGGGAGCTTGGTCGACTTGTCGTTATCACAAAGTATACAATAACATAGTTAGAGAGATAGAGTAATACGGACGATGAACGCAAGCTCGCACGTCGTCCCGAGAGTTTCGTAACAGACGTCGCCTGATAAATATCAATTACCTCCTCCGTCCGCCGCCGTGCTAGCGCGCGGTGACGTAAGACCTTAAAAAACTCTGCTCGCGAATAACGTGTGTGTCTGCCGACCTTAACAACAAAGCTTGACGCAGGGAGAGAGAAAGAGAGAGAGAGAGTGAGAGTGAGAGTGAGAGAGAGAGAGAGAGAGAGAGAGAGAAAGAGAGGAGAACGCCAGGCACGAGCAAAGAGAAACGGAGCGAGCGAGTGAGCGAAGGAGAGGCACGCACATACCGCGATTTCGTGTGGTAGTAAAGTGCCGCAGTCTCCATCGGGCGGCAGTGCAGCGATGATCTGAGACCATGACCGTCGACTTCGCCGATTACTTTTGGGTAAGTGTCCCTCATTTTTCTTCTCGCCGAGTACTCGGCGAGAAGAAATCGCAGAAAAAACAAACGGTCACTCCTATGAAAGGTTAAGTGAGTGTACGTGTGCAATAAGCATGTTACATCTTTCGCGTGTGTTTTTGTTTACGTGATGCGACCGGAAAATACACATCCGTATTATCGTCGTAGGGCGACAAGAACAATGGGTTCGACGTGTTGTACCATAACATGAAGCATGGCCTGGTGGCGAGCAAGGAGTTGGCCGAGTTCCTGCGTGAGCGTAGCGTCATCGAGGAGAACAACTACAAATTACTGTCCAAGGTAGCCAAGCAGGCGACGAACAGCGGCACGAGTCAGGGAACGTTCGCGCCAGTCTGGGCGGCATTACGCGGCGCCGCCGAGAAATTGGCTGGGCTACATCTGCAATTAGCTCAAAAGGTCGCCGAGCTTATCAAGGATGTTGCCAAGTACTCCGATGAGCTGCACAAGAGGCATAAAACGGTTAGTGTAGCAATTCGTTATACTCGTCACGAGATGAGACAGAGGATGCGTATGTTTGTCGTATGATTGTTTTCTCTCTCTCTCTCTCTCTCTCTCTCTCTCTCTCTCTCTCTCTCTCTCTCTCTCTCTCTCGCTCTCTCTCTCTCTCTCGCTCTCTCTCTCTCTCTCTTTCTCTGATAATGACCTCCACAGACTTATCTGCATCCGCCCACTCTACTCTGTCTAACTGCTGTACATGCAGATTAGAATACGTGTATGAGGTTATGGTTATATGAAACTGAATTGTGTTTTTTTCTATTCATTAGGTAAAAGAAGAAGAGTCATCCACGCTAGAAGTTGTACAAAGTGTTCAAAGTATTACGGTAACCCTTCAGAAAGCTAAGGATATCTGTTTGCAGCGTGGGCTTGAGTTGGAAAAATTAAAGAAGGACAATGCCAGTCAGAAAGAACTGGAGAAAGCTGAAATCAAATTCAAAAAGTCTCAAGACGAATACAAGACTTTGGTCGACAAGTACACTACCATTAGAAATGATTTTGAGACCAAAATGACACAGGCCTGTAAGGTAATTACCTATTATTGTACAATTGTATTTAGTCCTCTAATGTCTTAGTATTGAGATCGATTGTGATGTTTTTGTGTGTCGCAGAGATTTCAAGACATCGAAGAGAATCATTTACGAAGCATGAAAGAGTTCCTAAATACTTATGCTGACGTCCTGCAGTCCAACCATGAACAAATTGGTCAGGTGCACATAGATTTCAAGAGGCAGTGTTTAGATATGACAGTCGATAAGCTATTGGAACAGTTTGTTCAGAGTAAATATACAGGATTCGAAAAGCCAGGTAATTTTAATAAAACAGTAATTTTGCTTATCTGATAACTCATTTTTTATACAAGCACAGACAATTAATCAAAGATGACGTGCGACAAGAACAAGCTATTACTATAACGTGTGTGATGTAATGATATATGTATGTTTTTTTGTTTAGGTGTAATCGAGTACGACGAGGTGTTGACAAATCTAGCCGAGTTGACGTCGCAGACAAGCGTAGATAAGAGCAGCGTAGAGATGACGAAAGAGGCAGCGCCAACAGGGAAAGGAGCAAACGGCGAGACCGGAGTTGCGGGTAACAACATCATGACAGAGAGCACAATAAAAAAGGGGGTAAAGAGTCGGGGAGAGGGTGGTAATGTTGGAGGCGGCTCGCGTCGAACTACTTCGCTGCTCAACCTATTCATGTCCAACTCCCAGGGTAGGTGTAAGAGAGATGTGTCGTTCACAGTATCGCGTGTGCTTTTGACATTTTAAAAATTTCATTTATTTATCTTTTTTTTTTCAATGGGCGTTTTCTCGTGCGAGTTTCTTTTATCCATTCAAAAAGCTTGTCTAACCAACCAACGACAGCGATAGATAAAAAAAGAAACAGAGTTTTTTTTTTCAATGGCGGGTGAAGGAACGAAGAGTTGATTTTTCAGAGAGAAAAGCTGCTGCAACGAGCACAGGCTCGGCACCGGTAACACCGCTCACCAACCAAGTACCAGCCATCTCCAGGAATCCCCTCAGAGGATCTAAATGTAATCTGCTTATACCATCATTTCATTTGTCTAAACCACTACCATCACCCACATTGCATACTCACTATCGCTTTCACGCGCGATATGCTTTTTCACACAAACACACATAAGATAAAGCATTCACAAGAAACAAACACATTGCTTCTTATTTGAGACTGTTATTTCACTCTACTAATCACTTGTCGTTTTATCGTCGATGTTCTTCCGTTCTTTCTGTTTTTTTTTCTTATTGGATTTGTTTACAGTGGTGGCCAATTTCATATTACCGCCTTTCGGCCCTCTGTTAGATAACCAACGTAGGTATTTGAACGATTAAAGATTTCTCGACGACTTTTTTCCGTTAGAGCTAGGATCGTAGCTGACTTTATTGCTGGCTTATGGTGCTTTGTTGTTTAACTATGTAGCGAATTGTTTTTCTAACAATGCCAATGCTCTGTGCGGGGTTTTACATGAATTTTTCGTTTTTTTGACCAGACACATTTTTTGTATCATTTGGGATATATCCATGAAACTTTTGTATTCCGTATACTTGTTTTTCTTGTTGTATTTATCAAGTTGAAGGTCTTAAAGGTGAACGCGTTGAAAATATTTAACAAATTTGTATTTTGTTACGGTAGTTTTAGAAGATTCATTTTTTTGATGCCAGCATAAAACCATCGGTAGAATTTTATGGTGATAGTTCATAACAATCTTTCGAAACTATAAACCAAAAATTAACGTAGATCATGGAGTAAAATTTGAAACAGACAAAATACGATTGGTTACACATAATTTCTCGGATTGGAATAGGTCCATGTAGCACGATTTTTTTTCGCAAAAGTTTCGTAGATTTGTCCTCGCCAAACGATACATTCCATGTATATTGTTCGCAACAGCGTACCATAATTAAAAAAAATAATAGAAGGGAGCTGGACTCGAATATAGTTGACAAGCAGAAGTGGTAGCTGCCAGGTGAGCCTGCTGTTTTGTTCTCAGCATTCAGGAAACTTGTTCTGTAGGGGGTATTCTTTTTATTTTCCAAGTCCACTGAGAGCGTAATGTGAAAAAAATTACTACCCGCGCGATTGTTAGAAAAACAATTTTTTTGGTGAAGGTTACCGGCCTCGTGTGGTCACTATCTTTTATTCATTTTATCGCTACTCTATAGTGTGCTAGTATACAAAAAAGCTGTATTACCTTTACTTACAACCAATCAAATCTTTGGCTTTGTCTCATTTGTGCACTTATTTAACTAATATAAATTGATTTACATATGTATTATGTAAATACGTACGTACAAATATATACATATATATAGATATATATGTACATATGTATATATATTGTAACATTTTTTTAACTGTAGTGTTTGGCATATTGAGAAATTCACATTGCGCTGTAAGTTCGTCGTCACTTGGAAAGTAAATAATTAATGATTTTAGTAGCTAGAAATTACAAGAAATAATGTTTATTAGTCAAAATATTAAGATCGAAAACAAAAAAAAAACAAGATTTACGATTATTTTAGGGTTCTTGAGGAGTCGACGTCAAAAGCGCAAGGAGAAGAAAGCAACCAAGAAGAAAGACTCGGTGGAGACGACCAGCAACAAGGAGGATAAATCTGACTTGTTAGTATTATGATGTTACGTCACTCTCTCACGCGGTAATGAGCTTTGATCATCGTCCACGCCTACTTTGATTGCGTACACTCGGAAACAGGAAAAAAACACGCACACACAAAAGTTGCGGATACAAATTCAATTAGCCGTTATGTGCTTTAAGCACTGCCAATTAAACTAAACACACGTCGACCTACATTTTACGTTTAGTCAGACAAGTCGACAATTGTTTCCAGCATCACAGGCAAATGCTTTCATTGTGGAACTCAGGATCGGTACTCTGTGATAGAGTTATCGTGAAAATTTAGCGTTGTAAATTAACGCGATTAATTATTCGCGATAATCAATTTCAATTGAGACATATTGAGAATCAGTGTTAGAGGTCAAATTGATTTCGGCTGTCAGAACGCGTTTGCACATACTACGTGACGTTTTAATACGGGCAATGAATTTCATTCTTACGATTATGATTAGCATAAAAATTGACGTAGATCGAATATAAAATTTTAACTCTACAGGGAAGATAAGGATCAAGACAGTCGCAAATCAGGTACCCCAACGCCTGAAGTAGACGAAGACGGTTACTGCATTAAGCCAAAAGCAGATCCTTGGGAGAACGAGAAAGGCTTCTACTCGAGTAGCGACACCGACAGTGAGGACGATCGCGAGCGTAAAATTCGCGTGGAAATCAAACCATTGAGCAACGGAGGTGCACCGATGAGTGCAAGCGTCGATGAGTTACGAGCTACCGTTGAGAATTTATCTTTGTCACCTGCTCCAGCGGTAACTTAATAACTAAATTACATCGCCATTGCGTTTTAATGCGTTCATCGAACTTTCGTTTAATATTTCTGTACGTAAAACAGGGTAGACGAGGTTCGAATACAGACTCCGATCATCAGATGAAACGCTCGCAATCAGTTTCACAACAATTGGCAGTTAAACCAAGTTCCGATCTGCTCAATTTGTTCAATCCAAGCAGTACGCCGTCGAGTGCTTCCACGCCCACGGCGAGCCATCCTTATGCTCCTCTGCAAAGCCCACCGGGTTTGTCGTCATCGCCGATACCGGCTGTGCCACCACCTCCGCAATCCGCTCCACCACGATTCCCTGGTGAGATAATATACGATAATATACCACAGCAGACGCTAATGGCTAATTCGATTACGTCGGTTCAATGAATAATAGTTCACTTTCAATATTGTATCTCGACTTGAATACTGCGCTCGTGCGTCTTAAAAACGTCTATTCTTCACGCGTAATTTATCTGTCGCTATATGACTCGTTCATCTGAATATAACGTAACAACGTTTGTTTTGCATCAATCAACGCCGTAATGTATTGTAGCTCGCGCAGAAACATTGATAAAAACGTTCGTGCGCTTAAATCTCAATTGTGCTATATCAAAAGAACATGATATATAGGTCACACACTTTTATACCTCGATGAAATAATGATGACTAGATGATTGACTCTCGTGCGCGTTCACGGCAGAGATACAGTTTTTCATTGATCGGAATCAAAACATTTTGCAGGTCACTTCCCTGAAGGCGATTTGTTTTCGGAGTTGAGCGATGCAACGCCAGCACTGCCACCAAAACAATCGACAGCATCCAACAGTTCGATCGCAATACCACGTCCACCGTCTCGTCGCGGTGACGCGATACGTGGGAGAATGTCACCAGCAACAATATCTCGGGCCGACAGTGTGGCAAGTCTCGAATTCCGTACTGCTGGTGTTGGAGTTGGCTCGTCGCGTGGACCTTCGCCACTGACGATCGGCATGGCCGACACGATACCATTAGCAGTTGCCTTCCATGAGATTATTCATTCGTACTTCCGTGGTAGCGATGAAGCCAGATGTCAAGTCAAACTTTGCGGCGATATGATGCTTTCGTTTCCTGCCGGTATCGTTGCTGTACTCACGACCAATCCTAATCCCGCCAAGCTCACTTTTAGACTGAAGAATAGTAATAGATTGGAGAGATTGGTGCCCAACAGTCAGCTCATTAGCATGTTGGTGACGTCTTTTTTATTTTTTCAGAGAACATTGAAAATCATTTGATGATTAAACTTTTGTTTTTTTTTAATTATAGGGACGTTACCCAAGCCACGGCTGACAGTACACTTTTTGAATTTAACATGAGTGCCTTAACTACTTTGCTACGACGACAAGCCGAGCAAAATCCAACCGCTTCGTATTTCAACGTGGATATACTGAAGTATCAAATAAAGAATAGAGAAGGCGCTGGCTCTTGTCCGTTTCAGATCGTCGCTTATTGGAAATGTAATCCTACTCATACGGACCTCAAGGTAATCAGCATTTTTTGCTATCTTGTATTTGTATTTATATATGACAATGATACTTCACTTTGATATTTGATAAGCCTGGTTTTAAGTGTTATTAAATATCTCGAAATATTAATTGCAATGTCAACTTTTTTCGTTTTTAGGTCGATTATAAATATAATAGTCGAGCAATGGCTGTTCCGACTCCTTTGTTAAACGTGCAAGTGTCAGTACCAATAGATGGTGGTTTCAAAACCGTACAAAGTAAACCGAATGCTCAGTGGCTGCCAGACGCAAATCGTCTTTTATGGAAATTCACCGATTTATCACAGCATAGCGAAGGTGCTGGAGTTGGTTCTTTAAAAGCACGAGTTGAACTTTCACGTGGACCCGGTAATCAGCAAACTATCTTCACGCAGTTTAACTGTGAAGGGACCACCTTATCAGGCGTTGAATTCGAACTTGTTAACCCTGGATATCGGCTTAGTCTTATCAAGAAGAGATTTGTTTCCGGTAAATGTTATTTTTTGATACTTTTTTTCGGAAACAAGTAACGAAAAATTGATTTCGATTTTTTTTTCTGTTTTTTAGGAAAGTATCTGTGCGATGGAGACGTAGACTTACGAACTCGTTATGCTGCACCGCCGATGAATGTCGAATAAACTTCACTCATCTTTTTTGAGTGAGCTTGTACATAATTTTTTTTATTAAAAACAAAAATTTTTTTTGCTATTATAAGAAAAAAATGAATATTTCTAATTGAATAAGCCATGTCCATAATTTTTTGAATATATATGTCGTTTTTTTCGTAAATGCGGTATACTTGATTGCGGTATATAAGTAATAATTTAAACTTTAAAAAAAATTGTTTTATAAATCATTGAGGTTTTTTATTCTTGCGAAGAAAGTGAACGTTATTAAATTTTGTAACTTAAAAGAGGCATAGTGATATTAAATGGAGAACTTGAAGTTTTTTGTAAAAGTGTGCGATTGAAAAAAATAAATTTTTTATATCTATTAAATAGTAAAAAAAGATATAACTTAATGTGATCCAGAGAACTACAAATTTTTGTAAAATTGTACATGATTTATAAAATATAATTTTTTACGTGGATGATAAAAGTTTATATCTGCTGAAAAAGCTGCAATAGCGTACTCTAAGGCAAGTATGTAATAATTAGTTCAGATTTAAAGGTTTTTGTTCTTTTTTGATTCACACGAATGAATTCAGTTAATGTTATATTTGATTCAATATGAATTAGTAATAGTAATTTTGCATGTAATTTTATTAACTTTCGTTTGCACTTATGTAGCAATAATTCTGCTTACTGACGTTATTTACATTTTTTACGTAATATATTATTTAAGCTAATATTAAGATATTCTTTTAATTAGCCTTAAAACCAAAGATCAAACGAAAATCAATATTCAACGTGTATGTTTATAAAAAAAAAAACAAATAAAATTTACATGGAGAAATTGCAATGACAAGGTATCACATTTTTTTACTTAATCAACATATTTTTTTATTACATACGACAATATATATAATCCATTCTCACACATAAACGTGCACTTTCTACAAAAAGACGAGGGAAACAAATTTATTTGCATTAAAAGTTTATACATGTATGATTTCGAAAAGAAAAAAAAATATCACACAGAAGAAAACAACGATGGTTACCATGCAAAAAATAGGATAATTAGGAAATATCCAGCATTCCCTCTTAAGCAGATCTTTAACTTCAAAAAGAAAAAATTTTCAAATTTAAAATCTCAGCCATAGTTGTATTTGGCTCACCTATAATATTTAAAAAATTGTCCATTCTTATCAAGGTCGTATTTAAGGATTGTGTATTCTATTTTTGAAATGGAATAGTACATCAGAGACTCAAAATAAAAGCAATTAGCATTGTAAAATCAGTACGAACCTATGTCGATTCAGTTCATACTAACAAAAATATAAGAATGCATATCTTTGAGTTCTGTGTATAGTTGTATTGCAAGCAACTTTAATGATAAAGGATCGCCTGTAAGATAATCCGAACACGACTCTGGCAAGAATGAAAAATTAGTTAATCGTCGTAGGGAACACAAATAACTATTTCGTTTGTACATATGCAATTGGATGGTGGAAGTGATGTGAATTTTGCTTTCTATGCATAGTAAAACGCAAAATTTTTTTTATATCCATTAAAAGAAATTTTATTGAGTGTACTTGCTATTATGATTTTGATGCTACACATGGATTTCTTAATAAAATAGAATATCAATTAAGTAGATGTTTCATATTTTCTAAAATTACCTACGTTCTTAATAAGGGGAAGAGGGAAAAATAATCACAGCTATAGACCAGAATTATGATTGATCGTTAAAAAGTGTTTTGCCGTGCAAAAAATACGATCAACCAATAAAATTCTTTTTTTCTTTAATGTTTGCAATCCAAACATTTTATGTGCTAAAGAAACTTCAATTAATGTAACCGAAGTTTTTTTGGCAAAATTTTTCAAATTTCCAAAAACAAATGCTTCATGAATAAATCCGAGATTTATACAACATTTTCACACTCATAACATTAATATCAATAAGAGATTGTTCGCCGACATATACAGAAAAAATGTACAAATAAATTTCACGCTGATTATTATGTGTAAGAGATAACCACGTATTTCGACTTCTTTTTCTTCATCTTCAAATCAATAGTTATAGTTTTGCACGTTTAAATTGTCATGCAACGTTAGCTTTTATTTATTAGCGAAGGTTGGAAAAACACGTCATAACGATGTATAGTTGGTCTAAAATGATTTGCGATTATCTATGCGTTATAACATAAAATATTACAACGAGTTCTGATATAGATTCTAGGAAAGACGCTATTTATCTATTCGCTATAACAATAATTTGCTTTTAAATAAATTTACAATCTGTAATGGTTATAAATATCGTTTGATGATTTTTTCGACTGTTTAATATTTGCATATCTCTTCAATGTTTTGCATACCGAAGTGAAAAATAAGAATTACCGTATACACTGGAATTTTTTCTTAATTCAACGTTACTTTGTTTTTTCCTTGCATCACATATTTTATTGGCACAAAATTCGAAATCGAAGTACATATTGAAATGGAAAATAGAGATTGATATGATGAGATATACCATGAGATCACAAATACTGCAGTCCGATTTAGCAGTAAAAGTAATATTATTACCTTGCTTGACGTGGCTCCTAACTACCAAAAAGAGCTATTTGTATCTTTTTGTTTTTAATCTATTTATATTAATTATTTGCTTTCAGTGTATGCTTTGCTACATATTATTTTACCTATAGTGACAGGTGCTAGAGAAAATACAAAAAGCGCATCGCAGACCAACCGAAAAAATATAATGAAACAATTTATATATACTTCCAATCAAAAGGCAGTGATTGCAAAAACCATAGCAGAATCAACTTTTTTCAACGCTTTTTTCATTCGCCTATTCGTTTATTAAAATAAACTTAACGCTACAAAAGAAAAAGAAAGAAAGAAGAAAAAGATTTAATATAAAAAAATAAAAACGAATATGTACAAAAGGGTAAAATTAAGTTATATAAATGGTTCGTGGAAATTATCAGTGCAATGCTGCAAAATAACTTTGATAGCCGAAGAAAGGTAAACACGTTTGTCTTTGAACTGGAAACAGTTAACTTTTCGTTGAGAACGTTATTCGAACGTATCAGAATTCATCAAAATAGTTTTATTCATATTTAAGTTACCCTTCAATATCATGATATGGTGCGTACATGTGCTTGGTAAACATTCACAAAAGATTTATCGAAATTTAGAGATTATCATAAATTGAAAAGTTGCTAGCAAAATATATGCTTCTGAATCTCTTTTTAATTCGTACTTATTTTTTTTACGTTGCAGTTGAAAGTGTCATTGTTTAAAATGTTACGTTAAAAGCTGTACGGTTCAAAAACAAACACCCTCTCACCCAATCAGCCAAGTAGCAGCAAATAATGAGAAAAACATTAACAAACGCGTCACCGTATTTACTTAGTATCGCTCTTTCTCTCGAAGCCTTCCAACGATTCGTCTTGAATCTGCTTGACAATTTTGTTAACCACTTCAGTTCTCACTATCCCACTATTATCAACTAGATCTTTATTTCCGGTAGGAGAGTCCTTTTCCTCGGCAATTCTCGGCAACTGGCTGGAATTTGATACGTTCAGCGAGATTCCATGTTCTTTTGCCTCGGCATTCGTTTCTGCTTCGGAAGTACAACTTTCTGGATAAGTCGTCTGTGCGATACTCAGGCGTGGTTGTACTTTAACAACGCTATTGGCAAGAGGCGAAATCGACGGTTTCGTTTCAGCGGAACGTGGATGCAAACGGTCTGGGCTTAATGCACGACGAAGCAGTGGTGATCCTGGCTCGGCAGACTTCGGACGGCCGTAAGTTTTCTTCTGACTATTTGGTGTTGATAATGAGGCTCCTTAATAATTTAACGATTTAACAACAATCTCATTTTACATTTATTTACTTAGAAGCTACAGCAAAAACTTCATTTATATTACCTGGACTATATGACTGCGTCGTGTTGGAACTGCCTGGCTGATGACCAGTAGGAAAAGCCAGAGGACTTGGACTTCTCGTCGGACTGGCCGGAATAGGTGATGGACTCGGTGTCCTCGCGAGCGGCGATAATGGTATGTGACCAACAGATTTTCGACGATTCGGCGAGTGAATATTCTTCGCGGCTATATGCAGCTTATGCTTGAGACCGTGCAAAGTACTTGGACGTTGATAGTGTGCTTGGCCACTTGCACTTGGCACACTTGAGCAAGGCGACGAGGTATTTGGTGATGAATACGGGGATGAGTTACCTGAAAAGTTGCCAATAAAAAATAAATATTTCAGTTGAAGACTTGCGAGTAAACAAAAAAATAGGGTTACCTGTCGAATGATAAGAATCAGACGGTGGACGGCTAGACGGCGAGGACGGACTAAAATGCGACGGTGTGTCCTGCTGCGATTGCGAGCGCGTAAACGATTGGAACGACCGCGATGGAGTGACCATTGACGGAGAACATAAACCAGCTGCCATCTACGCAAATTCAATCGTCATGATTTTAAGTCAGGTTTAAATAACTACCCAAATTTTTCGTCTTTATTGTCGATGTTAAAGTGTCAAACGTAATATGATGAAAAAAACTAATCAAAAGGAAAATGAACAAACGGAAATCATACCATAAGAGGTGGTTTGCTGTCGCTGGGTAGAATGGGTGCTGACAAGGGACAACTGATAGTTAATGGCTGTAATTGAAAATAAAACGAATGGTGCTGTGTATTTTGTATGTACATACAAGTCGATTGTGAAAAATTGAAAAAGAAATCGAAATCAAAATATAAATCTATGTGATAAGAGATTTACAGTTCTACAAAACATAAGCATCAGCTGAGCTAAATCCAAAATTTATAATTACAATTTTCTTCTGAATGCTTCAATTGTGTAATTAATTTTACTAATTTCTAAATTCACATGACTTCATGTTATAATAATATGAAGAATTATTCATATTATGAAGGCTAAAGTACAATTTGGCAAAGTTACAATTTTAAATTAATTGACAGTCCTAAATCATTTGGCTGCATCTACTATATTTGACGCCTACGTTCTTCTAAATTTATCCAAACATACAACATTCTAGCGTAAAAATAATAAAGTAAATATAAGCAACATTTAGAATAGAAACACAAGTACAACCTTAAATACAATGTGTATTTTGATGGCGAACACTCATACCTGCTGCATTTCAGCGCTAGCCCTCTTGGAACTAATTTTCCTAAATAAACTTGTCTTTCGCTTCTTGTCCGAGTGATCTTTCTTCTGTCTCCTCTGTCTCTGATGTAATGCCCTTCTAGCCATCTTACTCTGTGCCAATTCGCGCTTACGACCGCCAGTCTTGATACTTGTATTCTCCAGTGGAGTACTTCGAAGCGTAACGTGGTCAACACCACTCAACATCAACTGCAGCACTTGCGTGTGAAATAGACCTTGCACAGGCTCACCGTTTATATGTGTTATCAAATCGCCGGGTCGCAGACCTGCCTCGAACGCCGGGCTTTGTTGATCCACAGCCTAGAAAATATTCAAATTTGAAAAAGCAAATAAATATAGCCACAGAATAAGCGTTACCATGACTAGATGATGCATAGTGTAAAAGTCACTATCACCATAGTAAACCCTTATCGTATGCACGGTAAATCCAAAACCATTTGGACCCCTTCGTATAATAATAGGAGGCTTAAGGCTTGTCACTAATGGACTAAGCTCTCGACAAGGCGAGGTATCACGAGACGAAGCAGTCGACGAGCCTCCAGGTGATTCAATACTCTGATTTGCCGACGATGAACTATCAACTAAAAACATCATTAAATTTATACAAACAATTCAATGGAATCGTAAGAAACATTTTTGCACATACTGGAAAAATCGCCAGTGGGTATGACGAGTGAAAGTCCACTGGTCGACGCGGATTTGATAACGGAACGTGATTTTTGTTTGCCAGTCGGCAGCAAAGGCAAAGCAGTCGATGATTCAAAAGAATCTGTACTTGAATTGTGCTTGTCATCGGCGGAATCGGTATTGGATGCTGTTAAATTAAGTCTGAAAATATGATCATCAATGTTAGAGAATGCAGTAAACGTTAAATATTAAAGATAACACACATAGCTCGTAGGAATAGTAAACTTTTGATTTTGAATCATTCAACACTACGAAACGAAGGGACGGTTGAAAATCATTTATCACATTGCAAAGAAAAAGACGAGTTTTTAGCAATTTAGACGTGTACACTAATATTGAGCATTCAAATTCGTTTGTCTATAAATGATCAATAGTTTAATGAGATGACTATGAGCATTGAATGATTTATTTCATTTACAAAAGAACTTCTGATTCGCTACTATCTAAAAGTAGACTGTACTTGGGTTTAAAAGTATATAAAATTAAAAGAAAAAAGTATTGTACAATTACTTTCAAATCACTGAAGATATTCTTACGAAGATTTAGTAATGAAAATTCAGCATGTTATTAGGGAATGTTCATCAAGCAAAAATACAAAAATTCTTATTGAAAAAAAAAAAAAATACTGCCAAATAACCAGAACGTTTCATCAGTTCAAACAAAAGTAACTCGAAAATAAAAACAAAAGTACTAGCTAAGCTAAGAACATTAAAGAAAAAAAACATAGGATTTAGGCACTACATAGCAGCGGCACTCACGTGGTGTTACTCTCATCATCGAAGGAAATACTGAACCTGGGCAGCTTATCGCGCGCATGAGCGTGTCTCTTGCGTTGGATTTGAGGACTGATGTCATCAGATTCAGTTTGCGAGCTTTCGGGTGTACTGTGATAATGTATTCCTCCACTACATGGGCTTGGTGTTGGTGGTAACTTCTTGAGCGTTGACTGCGAGTCTGATAATGCCGATAATTTTGAGGGGGTTGATAATTTTATATCTACTTCGGTGAGACTGGTGTTCATAGGCGGCTTATTCTTCTGACCATCTTCGGTTATAAAACGAAAAGTTACATTAACTCGCGATAGAAAAAAATTTTAGTCGTTCAAGTCACTTCAAATTTCATAAATAATTGAGAAGGGACGTCTACTGTAAAAATAATCGTGCTTTGTCAGAAGAAGTGTGAACGAATTATACATAATAAAATTGCTTTTAGAACAAAGATCAATACTTTTATTCTTAAAGCCGCATAAAAGAAAGATTTAAAGGCTGAAAATAATCTGTCCAAATGACTTTTTACCAAGGATAAAACAAATTTTTTATACATGAACTCGTGTATTTCTATTTGAGCACCTCAAGAAGAGTTAATAACGTCAACAAAGTTTTCGATCAAATTTATTTATCCTTTCTGTTATCGAGAATGAAGGAGCATACATTTAGCTGTGAACTACACATAGACAGGTGACTCATACGCATAACCAAAACCAGACGAGTACGTGCACGTGAAACTAGCTATAAATTATTTATCATACCGGTCTCTTCCAATTTCAATGGCGTGGAAACAGCAGACGAGGGCGAATTCAAGGTCAGTTGAGCCACCGTTTTCTCAAGTTCATTTCGGAACAATTGCTTCTTCAACGAATCGGCTTCGTTGTCTGTGGTGTTGAAACTCGGCGGACGAGTTTGTGAGATCTTCCGTGATTGCGGCGAGTATGATGAGAACGAACCGAACAATGGTGAGTCATCCGTGTCATCGGTGTCGTCACCTAAATCGTGATTGTAACGGTCCATGCGAGCTGAAAAATATATCGGACAATTATTGTTACATAAACATTTCAATAAATAAATTTTGTATGCTTCAAACACTGTCGTGTCATCATTTATGCTATGCATATTTATAAAATTACATTATGCAAATTCAAAATAATGCTACGATTAACATTTAATTTAGATTCTACTCAAATACTTAGACAACTTGGACAAAATAAAAAGTACTTAAAATATATTAATAATGGAGTTTTAACGTACTATCAAAATAACTAGTATCTTCATCATTAGCTAATTGAGGAACAAATTCGGCTTTCTGCCTGAGAAGACTATTCCAGTTAACTTCATAGAAGTAAGGATGATCCTTAACCTCGTGTGATCCACCAATACCTAAACGATCGCGAGGGTTTTGCTGCAACAATGCCGTTATAATATCCTTTGCCTCTGGTTGCACATGCCAATCGTCCTCGTCCGGCCACTCAATGTCATCTAAACAATTGAAAAAGCGAAACAATGAAACTTCCGGTGGTATCGCCCGACAAAATGATTAATTTATTTTATTTTGAATTGCATGACTGACCATTGACAGTGTGAGCAAACAATTCCTCGGGTGTTTCACCGAAGAATGGTACACAACCGATAAGGAACTCGTAAAGTATTATACCCATCGACCACCAGTCGACAGGTTTACCGTAACCCTGCCGTAATATTACTTCTGGAGCTATATATTCTGGAGTGCCAAAAACTTGCTTGTCCGAGAATTGCCGCGTGTCTTTTTCAATGTAACCTTCGTAAAGATTTGTGGCAACTGAAATGATTACAAATGATTAATAAGTGTATTTTTTGTACGAGAAAAGTTTTGTTTAAGATCAGATACTTACGAGACATGAGACCCATTTTACTCAAACCAAAGTCTGTAAGTTTTATGTGACCTAGTGCCGTGATGAGTAAACTAAGAAAAACGAGTACGTAATTACAATATTTTTAAAAACTAAATAAATAAAACAATTCTTAAATGTTCAAGTACTAACTTATCGGGTTTCAAATCACGATGAACAATTCCATAACTATGAAGGTACTCGACAGCTAAAACAGTTTCAGCAAAATAAAATCTCGCCATATCTGGAGGAAGTGGACCGATATTTTTCAGTAAGTTGGCACAGTCTCCACCTTCGACGTACTCCATTACCAAACACAAATGTTTCTGCAAAGTAAGAAATATGTTCACTCTATCAATTAATTTCACCAAATAACCGAGTATACCTTAGTTTCAAAACTGCAGTACATAGAAACAACAAATGGATTGTCAGTAAAGCTCATAATATCTCTCTCAGCAAACACTTGCTCCACTTGGTTCCTCAGCATTAGATTATTTTTATTGATCTTCTTCATGGCGAACCTCTGTCTCGTCGACTTTTCTTTAACTAAATAAACAGCTCCATATGCGCCATTACTTATCAACTTCAATATCTCGTAGTCGCTCTCGCAAGGAATTCTTTGTGTTCTCTCCTCTTCTTTTTTATCAGGACTCGACGTTGCTAACTGTAGATTACTGTCACTTGAGCTCGCCGAATCTTCTAGCTTATTCATCTCTTCTTGCAATTCTACGAAAGAAAAGAAATAAATGTAAGTAAAATTATCGCATTTAAAAATAAGTCAGTTTGGGAGAAACGAACTAACAAAGTTTGAAATAAAATAAAAACGTGAACAACAAATAAATAAAAATAAACAAGCAAATAACAAATAAATAAAAATAAAAAATAACTTTTTGGCCGTCATAACAAGCACTTGCGTAACTAGTTACCTGAGATGGGATCACGATTCAAATTTAACTTATTTATAATATACTGCGGAATGTCCTTCTCGATCCCGATGGTGATTTTAGCTTGACCCTCAGCTTGTTCCAGGAGATGATAGAATTCCTCGGGATCGAATTCGAGGCATTCGAGTAATCGCGCTGGACGTGAGATTATCAGGAGAAGCTTCTTGATGAGGCGTGTCAAACGGGTTGCTGCGTCCAATGATTTATCTTTCGTCTAAAAGCAAATGAAGAAGTTTAATATCAATCCCAGTACAGAATTATGTTCGATCTTACCTCCATAAGAAGATGCTCCAAATTTTCATTCATCTCGTAGAAATATCGGGTGGTAATGAGTTTCTCTTGAGATTTCTGCAGACAATCTCGAGCTATCTGGATTACCTGATGATGAACGAATCGTAAAATCGGTAAGGAATCTTGCGCCTTCTGATTGACAACCTCATACTCGTCAATATCTTTGTTCTCGTTGATGAAGTTTGTTAATCTCTCTTCCATTTGTTGTGTTGCCTGCAACGCGGGTATGTATAAACATTGATATCTCGCAAGCGATTGTAAGTTATTTTGACATTGCTCGGTCAATTTTTCTTCTTCTTTTATGGTTTACCAAGCCAACGAGAAAAAAGCATCGATAAATTTGTATTTCTCAAGGTGAGTTTAATTTAACGCTTAAGATAGACTTGTGACTGCAACTCTAATTGAAAAGTCCGTGGATGCATTTTATCTTTGCATGAGATCTTTGATTGATTGAGAACAAAGCGAAAAATATTAAATTACGTCAGCAGATTATGCGCATGATTAATGTACGCAGAAGTCATGCTAGGAAAACAACATTAACTTTTAATGTTTCAACTCGTGTGCGTATTCTAGTAGCCAATTTCTTTTTTGCTTAACTTGTCAATAAAACCAAATAAATAACGAAAAAACATAAATAACAGCGTGCAACGAACTGCACAACGCTAGCGAAAAAGAGTCATAATAGTAAAGCCTGCTGTGCATTTCCTTCTGATAACACCCGCAACTTGGTAGTCTTATCAGCATTATGCCTGATAAGGCAACAACCCACCTTAGGAAACCTCTCTTTGTATAGCGTGTTCATCATGACGATTTCGCTGTCTAAGATTGGCGAACGACTTGGACTACTGAGACTTCTGGAGCGTGGACGATGCAATGGTGATCTTCGTCCATTTTCGTCTTCTTGACTACCCCCCGATGTGACAACAGTTCCTGGAAATCCCGGATGAGTCGATGAGCATGGTGTTCCGGGCTTGGAGAAGTGACAAGATAACATCCGCAGCTCATCCTTTGTTGGGATGTTTGGAAGTTGATGTAGACGCTCTTGTGATGAACACTGTGACTATACGAGGATTGAAATTAAGATGCAATTAGCATCTCATTAGTTAACGATTAGTTAATGACTAAACAAGACGATGATCTTAACGAGCTACAGTTTCAAGGTGTATTTAGTTTCAATTGTTCAGTTACGAAAATTAATTGCTCATGAATAAATGAAATAATTTTACGAATTCATGAAAAACAATATTACCATTGTTTTTTGTTTTCATATTAATTGGCTCGAAGAGGAAAAACCCGCGATAATAAGGATAAAAACGTCGACAGAGTCGTCGTACGATAATTTTGCATAACGGATATTGATCAATTAACGCGAAGTAGTCCGAACTTGGCATGCATACATATGTATGTAGCCTACCTGATGCACGTATATATGTCAATCGATTCCTTTTCATTAATAAAACGTAAACGAATGCTCCATTTTTTCTGATCCGCAAATGTTTATAAATAGCAAAGCTTACCGAAACGTTACTGGAGCCAGGAGTAGTACCATATCCACTAGACGGTAAACTAGCGACCGACCAACGTCTACCGTCACCCGTGCTTGTAGCACCACCTCCAATTCTAAAAAAAAATGTACAAAATTAATTTTTTGTTACTATGAAGTATAAGCCAAGGTTTTCTTTTACCGTTTAATTGGAACAAAAGCAAAATGTGGACTACAAGACATTCGAGGGCTCTCCAATGGGCTACCAACAACTGGAACAAAAGCTAAACGATACATGGATTATTAATAAGTATTCTGACTGAGAGATGATTAGTGAATAGCACATTAACTTGAAGTGAATAATAAAATTTGGCAATGGTTTACATAGGCAATGTAAACTAATACAGCTTGCCAAAAACTTACAAAATCTTGTCAAGCTACCAATAACCTGCTATTTATTGACAAAGCAAGGTCAAGTTAGTCTTGACATATAAAAAAAGAAAACATACACAAACACAGACAGATGATCAGAAGGGATTGTTACCTGACAGAGGGGAATGGCATCTTGGAAGGGTTGGTGATGTGGTAGAGATGAATGATTTTCTATGAGATGCCTTTGCTGTTCTTCGAGGCAAGTTGAAGTCTCGCTACAATAACAAGGATTTACTTTTTATTTTTTTGGGATATAAACACACATCAGATTACAAGAAAAAAATTGGACAGAATACTGACCATATGAACAGAGAGTGAGGGAGCTGACTTTCCAATAGCAGAATTTCTCATACGGAGCAGGTTGGACAACTCTGGGCTTGCTAAACACAGGAATACTGATAGTTAGTCACAGCGAGGGCTACACCTCTCAAAAAAAATCAATCAAAACAAAAGGCGCGCTTTACCTGGTCGTGCGGGAGCTTCTTTGCTCTCGATTTGCTGAGCGAGCAGCAATTTTCGCGACACATCGGATTCCATTTTATCGGCACTAGCTCCAGCAGCAGTCTCAGGTTGATCGAAAACAAGCACCCTCGCAGAATTACTGCCGTGGGCGCGCAGTCGAGGCCTGCTCTGTCTGTTTTTTTGCTGATCCATTACACTTTCTTCCTCTTGCCCGCTCTCGTGTTTTCCTCTTTCGCTTAAACAAGCTCGTACATCGTTGAGGGGATCGATATCCTTAACGCACGCACTACCGCGCGATAAAGCTCACTCTGAGTCACACACCACTCGTAGCGAGGAGGAGGGTCACGCCTGCTGCACCCGGACGACCACTACTGATTGTATTCGGCATCCTCGCCCCGCGACGACCAAACACGCTCGGCTCTCTCGCTCTCTCTCTCTCTCTCTTTCTCTCTCTCTCTCTCTCTCGCTCTATTCTCGCACGCTCCCAAGGCTACACACCGAAAGTGACTGACTGACGAATGAGTGGCTGTACGAAGAAGAGGTACTGGTGTGAACTGCCTGCTACAGACAGACGAATAGATTCTACTTTATCGAGTGAGAAATGTGCGCGTAAATACGAGCAGTCGTAAGTGCTCACTTTGTATTATTATTGTCTCTTACATGTAGAATTGTAATCATCGCTATATTAATGATTTTTTATATAAATCGCACTTTCTGGCAATTACTTTGAGAAAATAAACCGATTTATTGAAATAAATCAGAGGAACAGCGTCAAACACTGCAAATAATTATTCAAATTTCATTCAGTTCTAATCGAATGAATGCACGCGTGTACAAAATTATGTGAATTTCTTTTTCTTCTGAACTTTAACTTCCAGCACTGAATCTTCAACCCGCAAAATTACAAAAATTAGTGTTCGAACAGTCGATTAAAAATTTTCGACCGTCTGTTCGTTTTGAAAATGCATGCGAGCGAGGTTAAAGTGGTCGCTGCGCACGCGTTACGTGACTGTCGGCCGGAGGCGATCGATGGAGATGTCGATTTCAAGTTCGCCCTCGCGCGCGGCCTGGCGCAACAACTGGATAGAGCCCGTATAGGGTTCACCAAGATCGATAAGATATCTTGATCTCGTAATCAGCGTAAACTTTCAGGTTAAATGATAGAAATGCCAATGGCTACGCTATATCGCGTGTCGACTTTGACGTTTTACGTGCTTTCTTTCAATTTTGCTACGCGTCTTTTCCATTCGTTGTACCTGTATATAGATATATCTTCGAGATATACTTTATCGTTTTGATCGTTAAGCTACAAATTGGTACCTCGCAGTGAACTTTAGACGCGACAGATCAGCGGACCTTATCTTATTGTCTTGAGTACTATACGATAATCTCACAAATGCATCTATGATGGATCGACGAATAAAAAACTACAATTTTATTGTAGTAAACAGTATTGCACTGATATATCGAACACATTAACTAGTAACTCGCCAGATTGCGCGAGGTAGTCATTTCTTTATTCTAAATTTATCTCTTCATCCCAAATTTCAGTTAGCTACAAACAGTATTTTTTTTCAATACCGCGAAGCTTGCTATGAAACTACGTAGCAGACCTAACAAATATAAAAATATGTTTAAGTATGGGGAGGGGGGGGGGGGAGCAAACAATTACTTTGACTTTATCTGTGCACTACTCGGTCGAAAGGATAACGTGCCGTGACAATAAAATGTCCAGCCATCGGGCTTCTCGTTTAGTTAATTGGCAATATCTTCGGTTACACAAGCGTCTAGTTCCTTATGAAACTTTGTATATCGTCTGACTCGTGTCTCGGCCTCCTAGTTTAAACTCTAATAAAGTTATAGCAGCGCTTGAATGATAAATTTTACGAGTTACAGCTTTGCACTGTTCAAATTCGGATTGTATTCCGAAGATCAAAACAGACAAAACACACTGTGAACGATCCCATGGACACCTCACTGCACCTAAAGATATAATGTATGTAACGAGAAGTAGTCAAGAGAGAGAGGACACGACTGCCATTAAAACGATACATTCGTCGAGGGTAATCTTGCAATGTGTTATTTTTTGTAGACCAATAAAACCACTATCTAATCTAAGCAATCCTTAGGATCAGTTCTCGCAGTCAACCCCCGACGCACGAGCACAACATTGGCATTTCTGGCGCAGCCGCAAAACGCTGTAAAACCGACAGCGAGGAGCTGATGCAAAGCCCTACGATGTTCAGCCTCGTGCAGGACGAGCTCGATGACGAGTACAAGCTCATCGTGAGTGAGTATTCAACATCCATCGGCCAACCGAACGGCAAAATGCTCGGCTGAGTCGTGGAGATTTGACCACGAGCGCAACAACGATGGCAAACTAAAGTAAGACGTCGTGATTGTGCCGATAAATTTGGGTGCGTGACTTTTGTGATTTGTGCCTCGAGTTTATCGAAAGACATGACGACGCGACACATCGATGCGACGCATCAATAATGTTATCTTGAATTTTTTTTTTCGTCGGCTGTAAAGCGTCCGAACGATGGTTATTTACAGTGTATATCCAATTTCTGTATAGGATCAATAGCGTTGCAAAATAGACCGTGAACAGGTTAAATCGAAATGTATATTTTCGTAATAAAAATATTAGCGGAGTATCATAGCGTTGTTCCCATTACTTATGCGTAATACAATGAACGAGATCTATGTTTGTAAACATATACCTATTGCCGTTTTTTTATCTCTACGCGAAGATCCGTCCAGAATGAGGAGCTAGATTCACATAGTCGTAAATAACAATCGAAAAAATATCAATGCAATGACCCGTTTCTTTTTTTTTCGAATCAGTGTTTATAAAACAATCGAGTTTGAGATCAAGAGATTCCGTATTGTAATCGTACTCTCACCTTATTCAGAATTGCAGCAAAGCAAATTTTCATTCAATATTGCCGTCCGCACGGGCTACATTGACGTCAACTTAAGCTTGTGCAATAACGTCAAACACTGCGAGAATCGCTTAAAGCGCAATAGGCATCCTATTTTCCGTTGCACAGGTTCGAGGCGCGACGTCGGTCGAGACTTAATGGCGGAATTCAGCCAGCGGTCTACTCGAATTCAAACGAACAATGTGCTGTCAGACGAGACGTTGAAAACGGCATATGGTAATTGTCGAAGGTGTTCTGAAGAAGGATTACGTATTCATCGATGAAATCATCAACCTCATAGCTTGCATTAGAAACGAATAAAGAAGAAATATCTATGTGGAAATGCTAGCCGAATAATATCAAGCTGACACCGCAACCACGTGGAATAAGTTCGTCAGCGAGGTCACTAAATAGAAAGAGAGGATGAAAGACAAAATTCGACTAAGCGACCAGGCGTGGTTTTATTTTCATTTATTTTTCTTTAATTGTTGATTTTACAAAAATAATTATGTTCTATTTTATTATATATTGATTTATGTGTATGATATATAACGAACAAATTATAATTAATTTATAAATCACACGAATAATGCGGTTACTCATTTGTGAACTGCTTTATACAAGATCAAATGAATTTAGTTTTCAATAAACGAATGTTGTATGTTCTAAACAATAGAAAAATTTGTACAAATAATTGATTGAAATAAAATACACTGCCGAACTTTTTATTATAATATATCATCGACCACAGCTATAACTAAAAACGCATACATTTATAGGGTTCGAAAGTACTTTGATTAGTGAATAAGTGTAGAATTTGGACTGTCATATGAGTCAGAGGGGATTCGCTGCCAAAGTGGAAAGGCAACTCCTATAATCCAACATTAGCATGCTCGTAGTTAATCGTTACTAAAGCCAGTCACATAAAGTACGTTGCTCTAGCGATTTCTTGGAGCAACATATTATTCGTCAGATTTTCCAATGCATAGGCACGGGAAAAACACTCATAATTGAAAATTTCAGTCGTGAAATATTTCAGGAACGTTGAAGCGCCGTTAAAGTTAGATGAAAAATACCTATCAGACCGGCCTCGGCCTACGAAACTATTTTCTACCTATACTTATCTAAATTGTTTGTTCCTTGTAGGCAAATAATTACTCGTATCTATTAATTATTTAAAAGATTAAACGCCATACAGGAAAATTTGGTCAATTATCTTGAATTTAGCAGCAATTTTTTGCACATTCAATAGGTATTATTAATGTTTTCAAATAATAGTTTCTTTGCTGCTAGAAAAAGCTTGCGTGCGCGGCGACGACGGGTATCAATTCAAACGCTTTCTAGGTTATGCGCCCAATCTCAAAGCGCGTAGAGATAGTGTGCTTCATTGCGAATATATACTAATATATATATATATGTATATATGCGTCCCATAAGAAAAGAGCGAGAGAGAACGAGGAAAAAACAAGGGCGGCGCGGCGTTCGTGTTTAAGCTGTAACATCTATATGATGTCTTGTGTGTGGTACTGGTGTTCGGCTCTCACATCAGTGGTGTAGGCCCCCGATGGCGTCCAACGTGCTCCCCGTTAACGGCGGTTCGTTGCGTGGCAGGCAAGCCGCAGTGCCCGTGTCCTTGGCCAGATGAAGATGAAACGCAACAAGCACGATCTCGTCAGCGCGACCCTCGAGTCTTATCTCAAGCGGCGCCGTTACCAGGTCAGAATCATTTCAACAACCATACACATACAAATCGAACATAACCTCACACATTGTTTACTACCATCCCCCTCTTTTCGCCTTTTTACATAGATTTATTTTTCCTTGAGAATGTACTCTTTTGAGGCTACGTGGATTCTTGACTCTTTTCCAGCATGAAATTAGTTTGGATTTTGTTTGGTTCTCAAGCTTCAATTTTTACTATCAAATGATCTCGATTGGGCGGGACAGTGACACACAACCTTCACTTGTTTTGTCTCGTCTGTTTGGCTCTTTCCACTAAATTTTTGCTAACTGTTTTATATGATAAATGTTGCTGCTATGGCAGGGAAAAGTTTTGTTTTCGTTAGATTATTATACGATTAAATATCCGCGAGAGAGCTTGTTGGTGAACTTAAGGCTATTAGCTATTAAAATCATTACTGAGAACAGGCTTCATTATTGACAGATTATGAAACAAAACCACCTGGAAAAGTTATATTTTTGTGAATTGAGTACACAGTAACACTGAAAGATTTGAAATTTGACAAAGTTGAAAGTAAATATTTTTCTACTAGCAAATTTTAGTCAGAGGACATCAGTCCAGTGACATAAAAATTATGAATATTAATGAGACAGTTATCAGGGATTGATGAACATTATATATGTTGAAGTTATGTTAAACATTTAAGTTGTTTCATCTACAGGATACAGAAGTGTTCAAGAAGACAGAGAAGGTCAATTGCTGTAGCAGTGAGGAAATGACATTAAGTGTTACAGCAGAGTGTGGCACTTCCAGAGACAATTCTATTGTTTTTAGTGCAATTTCCAATGATGTTGTTGCTGCTGATCAAGCTTATCAAAAGTAAGTTACCAATTGCAAATACTATATGTTCTGTGTTAACAAGTTGTCTACTTTACAGGCTGAAACACTGCATAAATGGGTTAACGAATGAAAAGCTTAAAATAGAATTAAGGAATATCCTTTATCCAGTTTTCTGTCACCTGTACCTGGAAATGCTGCATGCAGGCAACCGACAAACTGCAGTGCAGTTCATGAGAAGTCATCAGGGGGATTTCACATCGGACACAGAGAAAGACTTCTTAGAAGAGTTGTCCAGTGTATTCTCCATTCAAGATATTGAATTGAGACCTTTTGTGAATGCCTTCAGAACAAGAAAGTACAAAGTTGACCTGTCAGATGAGGCACATATGATTCTACAAAAATTTTTGGTAAAACATGGTCATGTCATTCTTATGCAGGTAATTTTCAGCTAAAACCTTGATTTATTATGGTTTCTTTCAAAATTGAGTGCTACAAATAACTGATTCTGTAGGTAATCAACACACATGTGACGGTCATAAAAAACCTGTCAGACCTGTATTCTACAGTCGACGAGTGCGAGGACGAGCATGAAAAAAGGGCTGATGTAACGATCAATGGCCACGTGGAGCAACCTTGCGGAACTGGGGTTGATCGTGAGATGCGTGAACTTCAGGAGGCCATCAGGTTGATGCGTAACGGTGCTCACCAGCCACTCAGGATTTTCACCGTCAATAACGCCACTGAAAAGTAACTTCTAGTCTTTTCTCATTGTATCGTAATTGAATACGCAAATACTTATTTATTTATTTATTTATTATAGTGCCAGTTGCGGTATTCTCACACCGAATATGGACAGGCTGGCAGCAGGATTTAGTACAGCGGAAATTCGATTGTGGGGTATTGGCGACACAGTCCTCACAAGGCCAAGGTTTCGGAATCCCAGCATCACACTTGCCTGCGATTCTTCGCCGTCTGTTGAAATTTTAGATGACAACGATATGTAAGATACAATAACTTGTATTCACGTTCTATTATTCAAAATCAGGTTCTTATAAATGTTTTATTATGCATTTTTTTAGCGATCAAGCAGGAGCAATTGTACTCAGGGGTCACTCAGACGTTGTTCATGACATGAGATTCATAGGCGAGCCTGACGTGTTGCTCTCAGTGTCCAGTGACAAAGATATGAGGGCTTGGAGACTTAATGATTACACATGTGCTGCTGTTTATAGGTATATAATGGAAACAATTCGTAATATTTATTAAGTTGGATAGTGTGTCTTGATTGTTAATTTCGCTGTTTTTTTGTACAGCGGTCACAATTATCCTATATGGTGCATGGACACCAGTGTATTTAATTTGTATATAGCTACCGGTTCTCACGATAGAACAGCCAAATTATGGTCATTAGATAGGACTTTTCCACTTAGAATATTTGCTGGTCACTTTTTGGATATAAACGTAAGTTTGAAAAAAAAAGGTCAACGATTTACCAAATTACGGCATTGTTTATTAATTTTAGTGCGTGAGATTTCATCCTAATACTCAGTACTTGGCAACTGGCTCCTCTGATAAGACTGTTAGACTTTGGAGCAAGGACGACGGCAATCTCATGAGGTCTTACGTTGGTGCTCAGTCTACTATTTATAGTCTTGCCTTTAGTCCTGATGGAAAGTACCTGGCTGCTGCTGGTAAGTTCAAAGAAACAAAAATCGTTGATATTCTAAAAGCCAAGGTTTCAATTAAAATTTTACTTCGATAGCCAATGCTCTTTAAACAGAATACAATCCCCAGTTAAGCTTAAAAACAAATTAGTTTGTATTCAAAAGAATAGTACATTACGATACAAGTGCGGGAAAGTAGATTCTTGTCTCGTGTGGCTTTTACGCCCGAGCGAAGCGAGGGTGGAAGGGAACACGAGACGAGAAACTCTTTCCCGAACATGTGCCGTACCGTATTTTTTGATACGACGTGTGGAAAGTGCAATTTTCAACGCACGTTTTCTGCCGAGCGTGCGGGAAAGACGCACTTTGCGCACGGAGTGTCGAAAACGTATTTTATTTTTGCAGGCGATGATAAAAGTATAGCGATATGGGACCTGGCGACAAACTCTGTACTCACCGAATTAAAAGGCCACCAAGATTCAATTATGAATTTAGATTGGTGTTCAGATGGTGAATACATTGCTAGTTCTAGTTTAGACGGTGTGGTACGTCTCTGGTCGACTCAGGAATACATCAAAACAGCAAACACGTAAGTTATTTAAGTTATGTTACTTTAAAAACATACTAAAAATCAAAGAGACTTTTAAAATTTATTTCTGTGTTGAAACTTAGATTAGATGATTCATTTTTATTAAAGTATGAAGTAAAAATTAAAAAAATAATGTTTTCAGCAGTTCGTCGAATGTTTCATCAACATCAAATCCTCAATCGTTCGTGACAAGTTGTTCGAGTATACTATCACTACGCTATTATAACAAGAACAATTCCCTCGTATGTATAGGAACAACGTAAACCATAAGTGAACGAGGATATTGAATAAAAGCCATGTGTCCCTTGTTCGACCGGTAAAAACTCAGTGGAGGTTCCACTATGAATGTGGTTCCATGGTGGCTGTGAAACAAAACAAACTCGATTAGTATTTTCATCGAAACAAAAAAAGAAACTGTGTACATAAAAAAGTGAGAATGTGTGTGTAATAAGAAAACAAAATAAGTAAAGCAAACCAGAATTTTGAAACATCCCTATGGAGATTTTCCAAGGTAGATCGTTTTTTTGATGAGCAATCGAAAATGCTAATATAAAGTGGATGTGCGAATTAAAAAAAAAACAATGCCTGCAAATATGCGAACGTTATTGTGTTGGGTGTACAGAATCGTTTAATATATTAAAAAAGGGAAAAAAGAATTTTTAGTAAAATAAATTGATGGTTATCAACAAAATTTTTTATTATTTTCCATCGTTTGATAAATTGTTTAATGAAATTGACCAGACATTGATTTTTTTACTTTACAAAGCTTCTTTGTATATAATAAAACGTTTAGTTTTTAGTTAATTAACTCTTAGATTTTTAGAGAAAAAACTCAATGTTCAAATATCACCAAACATATTTATTTTTCAATTTTTTTGTTACAGTTGTTTAATCGTTGAAGAACATTGTCCTTTTTATATAAAACTAACGCCATAATCAACTGATTTATATTTATTTTTTTCTAACGTTCTGAGTCATACATTTTCAACCTACGCACACACTACCAGTTTCTAATTTTTTAGATTTTGCCTAAACTTAAATCTTTTTCGATTTCGTATAATGTAAATGGAATTGTTGGTAAATTACAAAATTTCGATTGAGTATTATAAAAGTAATTTGGTATTTCATCAATAAAGGCAATGATCCAAAAAGTATTTTCATATAATGCCTAGTAACGGATAACAACTCTTTGGTTTGAGTCTCAAAATTTTTTTAATTTTCGTTACTTTATTTTTCTTATTTGACATCACAATGGATTATTTAGGGTGATTAGCTACATTGTTTGTAAATAGTAGACTGAGGAAATTTGGCGAATTTTTTTTTTATAAATGTAATAAAGTATACAGCTGTTGAAAAAAGCACTGATAGGAAAATGAAATTCTAATAAAAAAGAGAATGTTGAAATATCTTTGCTGTGAGCTGGTTCCTCTTGACAATTGAGAAAGCAATAATTAGATTTTTCAAGAACTAAAAAAAAGAAAAAAGTAAAAACTTATTTTTTAAGTGATTGGAAAAACGTTTTTTCATTATAAATAAAAACAATTGATGTAAGAAATTAAATTTGTTTTATTTAGAAAGCCACAAACAATTTTCCACGTTTTCACTATTTCCACACGTTCAGAAGGTAATTGATTTACCATTAATTAACTACACGAAATTATTTTTCGCCTTTATCATAAATGCGCAATCTTATTATATAATGCTACAACTGAATGATAATTGTTGGAGAATAACAGTACATGCAATGATGACAGGTCGTCTTTTTATTATTTTTATTTTAAAAAATTACAAATTAATCTGTATGTCGTATGCAGAATGCAACTGTACAAATAAGACTGTCACAGGAAACACGAGTATTTGTCTTGTAAAAACATTACTGAACAATTCTTTATTTCCCAAATTCATTGTTTTTTACAATGACGCCAAAAATCGTCGAGAATAAATGCATAATTTTTCTTCTTTTCACGGCTTCTCAACAATAAATTATTAAAATAGTTAATGATAAAATTATTTCTACAATTAAGCATGCGCTAATGAAAAATGGTGCACTATCGCTTGTAACGTCCTTTTATTGCTTGCAGAGCTTTCGCCATTAGAGGAGCTTTTGCCTTTTTTATTGGATGTGCCGCTAAAAAAGAAGGTTAATTATTAAACAAGATTAATTATAAACTGTTTGTAAAAGAAAATTTTGTTGAAAAAATACAGAACTATCTTTCAAAAGCTTTATTTAAAAATAAACACAAGACTTTTATTTTAGAAGCACGATCTGTCATATCCCGAAAACTAGAGCACTTGTCAAGTAAAACATGATTGCACAGTCAAGAAAGAAAAGCGTAATAATACTCACAAGGAGCTCTGGATCTAGAAGCTGGTGGTGGAGGAACGGAGATTCTCTCAACTTGAGAACTCGAGTTGCCACTATTACTACTGCTGTTGCTGCTGTTACCGCTGCTGCTGCTGCTGCTGTTACTACTACTACTACTACTACTGCTAGGGACAGCGATGCCGGTGATTAGTTTCTTTTTGAGATCGGACGCCGATGTCGTCACTTTCGCTGTGCCGTACTTTGCCTGTTGTCTTAACACATTTCGTGGTGGCTTCACAAAATGATCCACGTAGGCAAGCTTTGTTGATCTCACTGGAGTTGATTTATCGATTGATTGCTTGATGTTAGCTGTGATAGCTTTGAATTTGGCTTCTCGCTCGGTTAGACAACGCTGCAAATATTTTCCTTTATTAAGTTCAAGTCGATAATGTCCATGCGATGAAAGTATAGTATAAACCATTTTGAAGCTTTTATTTTATATTTCAGTATTACGTTTTTTATTTATCTGTGATTATCATTGGCATAATGCAAAACAAAATTAACTCAAAGTAAAGCAAATATTCCATAATAGTAAAAGAAGTAACATACCATATACATCTCCCGCCACGACTCCATTTCTTCTCTCAGTTTATTCTTGAAATATTTATTGCAGTGAAATTTCCACAGCTGATCTGATTCCTCGACCAGATAAGGATTGTGATATTCTAGCATGAACAGTTGATCAACGCTCGCTCGCTCGAGAACAGGTTTAAGAATGTCAAACGGTACTCCACCGGTGTACTCCAGCGCGTCTATGTTCTCTATTAACACGCGGATGCAAATCTCTTGAAGACTCGGCACGCTAGTCCAGCCAGATTTATTCCCAGAATATACTTTTGTCCTGCATAAAGTAAATAATTGTTACTATACAGAAAATGTTAAAATTACGGATCAAAAAGTTTACCTTTGAACTTTTGTATTGATGATTTGAGACAACATCGTTTCTTCGTCGACTCTACGTTGAACGTGATTTACCTGAGGCAGTGGCTTATAGAAAGGACTGGGTTCGGGTAATGTTGATGCAAGGTCAACTTCCTCGTTCAAGTCATTACTCAGCGGTTCTAATTTGACGTTTGGCGCTAACAACGCAAGCGACTGAAAATCCAAACAGTTTACCAAACACTCTAATAAATTTCACAGTTAAACTTTATAACTTACATCTTCAGGAGTTGGTGAGCTATCAGGAGTTGGCGAGCTCGACGGTTTGTATTCAGTCTTAGATTTCGACGGGTTAGGTTTAGTAGGTGACGGTTGCGGTGATAAGGTGTTGCTCGATTCAACCTTACTACTCGACTTGGACAATGAGCCATCTTTCTTCTTTTTAGGTGGTGGCATAGAACACATACCCAGTGCGTCGGCGAAACTGGTACCTGACATCGAATCTATACTTCCATCTATCGTAGTCCTCTTAGATTTTTTCTTTTCCGTCTGCTCTTTTTGCTCCTTAGACTTCTTTTGATCTTTTTTATCTTTGATCTTATCCTTCTCGTCATTTTTACTCTTCCCTCTGTCATCTCCTTTGTCGTGCTTATTCTTGTCCTTACCGTTATGTGCCTTATTGCTAGAGGAACTACCGTGTGAACTTTTTAACTTTTGTTTGTCATCCTTCTTGCTCCGCTCCTCCTTGTCTTTTTTCAACTCGTGGTACGATGATAATTTGGCTTTACTGTAATATAAAATGGATACATCGTAACCTGGCTCTGAATGATAGTTCAGGCGAAGTACATACCTGGAACTACTGCTGCTGCTACTGCGTTTATCCTTGGATTTGCTGCTGTTGCTGCTTTTATCACTGTGTTTCAGACTAGATTCCTTATGTCTGTCTTTAGAAGACTCTCTTACTTCACTATCACGTTCATTCGATGACGATTCTTGATCTTCATCATTGTCTATTACAAAATTGTTCAGTTCCTCATCATTATCACTCTCGTCTTCACAAACTGATAATTTCTGCTTCTTAGGATTACTTTCATTGTCACTCGAGTCAACCTTCCTTTTCTTTACGTCCAAATTTTTTTTGTCTTTGCTGCAGGAAGATTCAGATTTATTTTTGGTTTTGTCCTTGTCCTTTTTCTTATGCTGTTCTTCATTGCCAGTGTCTTTGGAATTTTTCGAAATTTTTGATAATTCTTTTTTGTCTTTTGAACTAGAATGTCTTGAACTATTGGAAGATTTTGAGTCCTTTTTTGATTCTTTGTCCTTACTAGACAAATTCTTAGAAGATTGATTGTAGTTTGTCTCCTCTGATTCATTATCCTCATCACTTAAATTTGGAGCTGGTTCTTCTGGCGAGACATTGACATCAATAACCATAGGAGGTGAAAGTACTGGCCTGTCTAATGCCTACAATATGAAATTATGAAAATTACTCCACAAATATTTATTCCCATAAATGAAATCCATACCTCTGGCCTGCTAATACCATTATAACTATCCAAATAATTGTCATCCACAGGATTGTTATTGGTAGGCAAACTGTTTTCCTGATCATTGACTGATTCATAATTATCGGGATCATCTGGTACACAAGCCTCATCTGAATCACCACTGTCAGGTGTATTAGATACCATATCTTTCCATTTTGTCACTAAACGTTTTGATGCATCACCAACTCCATCCTCAATCTTTCGTAAAGCATTCACTGTACGACCAATACCAGTACTCTTGAGGTGTCGCATTGTCACAGGTAACTTAGACAGTGCTTTAATACAGTGAAGCAGCTGGAATAAAAAAAAAGTATGCTGTTGACGAAAAGCAATTGTGTTTACTATCGGGAAAATAAACACGGGTGAAAATATGCAGTGGCTTGTTATGTTTCTTGAACTACAATGACGTCGTTACACGTCACGCAACTCTCACAGTATGGAATTTTACAAATTAGATCGTCAAAAAAACAATTCTCCAGAAAAAAAAGCCTCTCGCAGGATGTGATTTTTGCCCAAGGTTATGCGTCCAACTTACCCTGGGCTTGTCGAGGACTAAGACAGACCTGTCGATACCCCTCTGGTAGTGCAGTATCCTCTCCTCCGTGGACTCCATCGTTAAACGTCGTCGTTGTCGTCGACGTTGCGACGTTACACCTCGCCTTTACAGCTGTTACAGCTGTTAGATCCTACACTACTTTTCTTGTTTCTACGGTTCTCTCGTCAAATTGTGTGCTCTCTAAATCTCGCTCTTTTGTGGAATGATGGAAATTCACCTTCGTTCTGCACGCGGGCGACACGCGCTAGTTAGACCAATGACCACAGAGACCAACGGAAAGACGCCGTCCGATTAGTCGCAACCCTCGAATTTCATTATTCGCTTTTCGATTGATAAAACTTCAATTTGAGAAGTTACATACTGATGATATTTGGTAATGCAACGATGATTGATTATATATCCGTCGATTTCATGCGACGAAGTGTATGATATTGCGCATTTCGAAAAGTGCCGCGAAGTCGATTGTAATCGATACATCGGACATGTCGCGCGTAATCTAATCTAACCTCGCATTAAATTCGTTCGTTTCCCATTACCACTGCGAGGGGAAAGGGAATACAGGCACACACTGTGCTGCCATCGTGCAAGAGCACACCGCGGCCTATTTCCACTGTGGCTGTGGCACACAGTCGTCGCTCACGCGTTGCTGACATTGCGTGTCCGCGTGAGGAGAAAAGAACGGTAAGCATTAATTTTCTTTTATTCTCCTCATGAGTCTCGTGCGTTATTTTCTTCTGGTGTGATTCAAATTTGCTATCATGGCTGGCATTGTTAATTGATTGTACTGATGATTACTTAGCATCTGACTTCTCGTTTGTGTTCCGTCGCCAACGACAGTTTGCTTTTCATTATATGTCGAGATTTCAGACGCTGATTTATTAGACGTTTATTTCCTTGGTCGACGTTTTCTAGCTTTATGTTTGTATACCTACTTGTGTTTTTGCCATTTATACTGCGGACGCTAATTTGTTTAAGTCAGTTAGTCAGTCTTTCTTTCTTTCCTTCTCCCTCTCTCTTTCTAAAACAACAATTCTGTTTTTTAGAACAACATAAATTCAAGAAGATTTCATCTAATTAACAATTAATTATTCCAAATTGATAGATAATTTTATTAATGTCATGAATTGTAGATGACTGTTATCGTAATGTCTAGATTCCATTTAGTTGTCATTCATGTTTAAAGATACTATATGCCATATTTCAAGTTCTCGAATCTCAATTAATTGAATAAGCTTTGAAAAATAATCATAATTGTTTGGATGGTGTGGTAGGATTGGTGATAAGACAAGCCTTGAGCCGCCAACTTATTCACCATGTTCCATATAAGAGGGCTCACAAGGCATTCAGCTGCTTTGAAGCAGGGTCAGGAGATAGCTCAAGCAGCAGCCCTTGTATGTTTGCAAAACAGAGGCTATGCAGATCATCAGATCCCTGAGAAGCTCAAGGATGTTCCAACATCGGCCAATCCAAGATTCTTTGATATGGTAGAATATTTCTTCCATCGTGCATGCCAGACTGTCGAGGACAAGTTGGTTGAAGATGTAGGTAAGAAATCAAGGTTGAGCATCGAGGAGCGCAAGAAGAAAGTGAAGGGTATTCTTATGCTGATGGAGCCATGTGATCATATTCTTGAGACAACTTTTCCACTCAGACGCGATTCTGGTGACTACGAGATGATCACTGGATACAGGGCTCAGCATTCTACTCATCGGACACCATGCAAAGGAGGTGAGTGGTTGCTCTTCTCAAAATAGAATTCACGCAGGTGGGCAGCGTAGCTCTTTTTTTTTCTCCGCTTCGTTTCACCGGGAACCTTGATCTTGGCGTTGAAATGTAAAACTGCTACGTTGGTCACGTGACTGGAATACTTTCCTTGTTTCCTTTTTTCGTTAGGATAAAAAAAACGCCATTTCTCCGATTAAGCGAGCCGAGATACAGTTCGCGAGAGCACAGGCGAGAGAAATTATCAAATTATGCCGGATGAGCGATTTCTTTTTTCGTGCCGATTCCCGGTTTCTGTTACAAATGGCTTGTCTCTCTCTCTCTCTCTCTCTCTCTCTCTTTCTCTTTTTTTTTTTTTTCGTGAAACGCGAGAGTATAAATACCACGACTAAACTAAATTCTACTTCGCGTTGTTGATCAATTCCTCGCGTACACATAGTGTGCCTCAAGTTCAAACGGACGCTCCGCGTTGGCAATCTCGACCAAATTTCATTCTATCTTCAGGCAAGTCGAGTAGAGCGCTGAGAGTGCTCGATGGCCATTTTTTTTTTGGATGGCGCGCGTCGTTCTGGTCACGCGCTGTTCTTGCCGTGTACGCTCGACGCAGCAGCGCGCCGCGCGGGAGAATCTCATCCCGCGGCTCATCCGTTGACGTCCGACGAAATGCCACGACACGATTGATCGGCGCGCGACAAGTGTTGCCGACACCTGTTCGCCGGACACGTGCCGATCTCACGTGCCAGGCTTTTCGGTCGATGGCGCGAGGCTCGGTCGAACGGTCCCAGTGTCGCGCGGGTTCTGGCAAGACGAGCGTGGCACGGTTGCGCAAGCGGTTTTCTCCGAGCGGCGCGCGGACGACGACCGGGGCGTACGGCGTTCCTGGCTGGAATCCCGGCCGAAGTCCGTCGCTTTGCGCGCGTCGATTCGCGAGCGGCGGTCACGCGGGCGAGAGCGCGCGAGACGAGCCTCCCGGCGGCTATTAATATCCCTCGCTCTCACGATCCACGCTTCGGGCAGCGAAGCGCCTCGAGGCGTCCTTGCTTCGCGCTAGCCTCGCAAATCGACCGATTCGCGGTCGCAGAATTGACACACTTAGCGCTATCCGCGAGAATCAACATGACGTCGAGTCCCTCGCTTTCGCTTGCCAAAAACGCACGCGCCCGCGCTTATAAATAGCAAGATAGAGAGAGCGAGATAAGGAAAAGCACCCGCCGCGACGATTTCGCGCGATAAACAGCGCGCTTGAGTCTCCGCTTTGATAATCCGTTGCGAGTGCCTCTTCGATGTCGCCCGTTTCGCAAGATGCACTCGGCTCGACGGGATTAATTTAAATATCAATTGAGGCAAACTCGTCACGGCGCTCGATCGCCTCGCGCGGCCGTCTCGAGAGATTCGCTTGTGGCGCTCGATGAATCCGCAAGGGTCCGCGGCCCCGGCCGCCAGGCGCGACGCTCGTTCTCTCATCATAGCGATTCTCACGCTCGACTACGTCACCGCTGAATGGTTCGACCGACGCGCTCGTGGGCGTGTCAGCTGACGCTCACTCGCGGAGAACATTGCCGTTCGCGGAGAACATTGGCGGGCGATCGACCTTTCCTCGCGTCCCTTTCGCGGTGAACGCAATTTCTCGCGCGATAAGAATGTTCGAAGCAGACGTGTCGATCAGTCGTTGATATAAAAATCACGCGACCAAATTGATCGTCAGGCATTCGATTCTCGATGGATGTCTCGCGCGACGAGGTGAAGGCTCTGTCTGCTCTGATGACCTTCAAGTGTGCTTGCGTCGACGTGCCTTTCGGTGGCGCCAAAGCCGGCATCAAGATCAACCCCAAGGAGTACTCCGACAACGAGCTGGAGAAGATAACTCGCAGGTTCACCCTCGAGCTCGCCAAGAAAGGATTCATCGGTAAGCGGTTCTTTCGAATGATCTGAGAAAATATAATCAAACTAATAATCACAATCTAATGAAAAACCCCATTTCAGGACCGGGAGTAGACGTACCAGCCCCCGATATGGGTACAGGCGAACGCGAAATGTCGTGGATCGCCGACACTTACGCTAAGACGATCGGTCATCTGGACATCAATGCTCATGCTTGTGTCACCGGTAAACCAATCAATCAAGGCGGTATCCACGGTCGCATTTCGGCTACCGGACGCGGTGTCTTTCACGGCCTTGAGAATTTCATCAACGAAGCCAACTACATGAGCATGATCGGTGAGTTTTGACGAGAAAGAAAACAAGATAAGTTCAAATTGAATTTATCATGGTAAAATTTGTTTCTTAAATTAAAACGGTTTTACTCAATCTCAGATAAACAATTGCTTGAAATTACCAAATTATCAAGTACCAAATACTAAAAGTGAAAGATAAGATTCTAATACGCATATATGTTTTTAGGTACGACGCCGGGCTGGGGTGGCAAGACCTTCATAATCCAAGGTTTCGGTAATGTAGGCTTGCATACGATGCGCTACCTGCATCGCGCTGGTGCCACTTGCATTGGTGTGATCGAGCACGACGGTTCGATCATCAATCCCGATGGTATCGATCCTAAACAGTTGGAAGAGTATCGTTTGGACAATGGTAGCATTGTCGGCTTCCCACACGCTAAACCCTACGAAGGCGAGAATCTTATGTACGAGCCTTGCGACATCTTCATTCCCGCTGCCATTGAAAAAGTTATCAACAAAGATAATGCTGGTAGAATTCAAGCTAAAATCATTGCCGAGGCTGCCAATGGACCTACAACTCCAGCTGCCGATAAGATTTTGATTGATAGAAATATTTTGGTTATCCCCGATTTATACATCAATGCTGGTGGTGTGACTGTTTCGTTCTTTGAATGGCTTAAGGATCTTAACCATGTGTCTTATGGTCGCCTTACCTTTAAGTATGAGAGGGAATCTAACTACCATCTTCTTGGTAAGTAATGCCTTTACGTCTAGATCACTCTATTATAAGTCGATTATTAATTTTACATTTCTTTCTCTTTTAGAATCTGTACAAGAATCTTTGGAACGTAGGTTCGGTCGCGTTGGTGGCCGTATACCCGTCACTCCATCCGAGTCCTTCCAGAAGCGTATCTCTGGTGCTTCCGAAAAGGACATTGTACACTCTGGTTTAGACTACACCATGGAACGATCTGCTAGGGTATGCTGATGGTTCATTTTTAAAATAATCGGTTTTTATTGAATCACGACTCATTTCTATTTTTTTCAATAGGCTATCATGAAGACAGCAATGAAATTCAATTTAGGTCTGGATTTGAGGACAGCCGCATACGTCAACTCAATCGAGAAAATCTTCACAACTTACTCGGAAGCCGGACTCGCCTTCTAAGCTCGTTAAACTAGTCATTAAGTGAATATCACACAGTTGAAAGCATAAAAATACACCAATCTACACAGCCATCGCGCGAGCAGTATTCCTCGAATCGAAAAAATATCAGCCGTATGAAAAACAAAACATAGTATTCACAATTCTCCGAGTGAGACGCATTTAATATTCCAGCGCAGTTTGGATGATTCTTAATTCCGTTGTACCTTATACCTTGCCCACTGTGGTTTGTCCGGTGCTCGCGCACTATCTTCTCTTTCTCTGCCATAAAATTGGCATTCTCCAGAATCATGCGCGTCTTTTATTTTTATCGTATCCAATTTAAGACATTGTTTATTATTTCTCATTGTTATCACGTGTTTCGAGTCTATTTCTCGTGCACGTCCGTGCTCTGTTACGTTCTTATTTTATAAATGATCCGTTTTAAAGAAAACCAAACTGACTGCAGCTCATGAAAGTAAACTAAACATGAATTTGTACGAATTTGTACGCGTATCTGCGTACTTATAAGTGTTACACTCTCTCGCATATACTGGAGATATGACTATTTGTTACACGCGAGCAGCCGCAGCTATTAATACGTTGAATAAATGAATATACGTTGCAACGTGATTTTAAATTAAACGTTAACTTCTTATTTACCCACAGTCTTGCGTTATAATTAATGAACTTTTCGAATATAAGTAGCAATTGAAAGTTACTGTTGTGGTTGAACAACTTGAGGGTAGCTTAAAATGTAATGTAGTATGGTCGGCCTTCGCCTATACTTTCATTTTTTCCAAGTACAATGTAAATCTGCGGTTTAAATTAAAAGTTTAATTTATACTTCTATATTCAAGGTAAAAGTTGGACTTATGTAGATATTATTTCAAGCATGGTGATTCATTTATAAATCCATACACGAGTAAACTTCACGCAATTTATAATTAACATATCGAACTATCAAAGCTTGATGACCGATATAAATAAATGTTTTATTATCCTTCATTTCGTACAGGTCTGACAGCATATTTATCTATACTACTTGATTTTCAAATGTCCATTTATCACGATATTAACCAAATAATCAATCGTCAAGGAATTTCAATAGAATCGCTCAACGATTGACGATGATGCGAGGTCAAGTATGCCGTTGTTATTTATATTGGTTGGGTTGTTATGCAAACACTAACTGTTATTTGCAAGCCAGTTTGCCGTCCATTAAGCTTATCCTAAAGGTCACCTTTGTGCCATTGTAACACAACGTGCTAGAGATTAACACTATAAAAGGAATTCTACTACGCAGATTGAATCAAAATCGCTCTTCCAGTTGTTTACAACTACACGCTTTATTGGAATTAGTTACTCTACGAATATAGGGAGAGTCTTGTTTTTCTAGATAAACGATTTGCATTCCTGATACTGTGAACAACGAGACTGAGCTGACGCGCACCCAAAAAAATGAGAAAACTCGGTCAGACAATCCGACAGCAGTTGTAGTTTCAAGACACAAGGCTGAGAAATACCAGCGTCTTTGGCTACACTCGGCAAAATTGTGGTGCGAGGAGAGATGACGAAACAAAGCGTCAGGATTGCGCGTCGAGCGTGTCAGTGTAATATATGTTCGCAAAACGTTCGACATTCGATCATTCGAGCGAGTCCAGGGGGCGCGAAGAGTCGGCGTTGGATCGAACGAACGAACGATCTCCCTTGCGTCGCAATAAGGTAGAAATCGAGAAAAGTCGACGACGACGACCGCGAGAAAGTCCGAGGGTAGAGGCCAACGAAATCCAATCTGCGTGCGTCAATGGAAATTTTTATTATTTCGTGCAAGCCGTGCGCGCAATGCCCGCCACCGTAAACTGGCTTAGGCGAGCAGCAAAAAAAAGCACACACACATCTAATCTCTGCTACTGCGCGCGCCGTCGGCAGCCGGCGTCGTGCTCAATTGAAGTTTCGCAGCACGGTGAAGAAGGACACGGCGCCTCTGATCATCTGGAACACAGAGACGCGGCGTAAGGCGTGCTGGTGTCCACGAGGTCGCGCGCCGGACGTACGTTGCCGAAGGACTCGATGGACAGCTTGATTTGGCCGCCGGCGAGCAGCTGGTACGGGATCTGCGACCTGGCCAGCAGGGTGAGGAGCAGGCGGTCGACGCGCAGTCGGTCGTTGCGGAAAGGCGGCACCATGTATGCCGCGTCGGCCACAGCCACGCTCTGAGGTGCCCGAATCGCGCTGGTTAGCGGCGCTCGCGCGGCAGCCGCGCTATACCTACCTCTTGCAGAAGCAGATCCGGCGGGTACTGGCAGACGAACAGCTGCGTGGTGAGGATCAGCAGCACCGGGGCGAACTTGAACTTCTCGGCCAGCGGCATGCTCTGCGGTCAAGCGCGCGCGCGAGTGAGAGAGAGAGATAGAGAGAGAGAGAGAGCGAGGGAGAGTTCATGCGTACCCCGGCCAGCAGGATACCGATGAGCGACAGGTTGTACGTGGTGCTGATCAGCTCCACCATGAATATCTCGCTCGACAGCGTGTTGATGTCGTTACAGAATCTGAACTCGGTATGCGCGGCGTGAGCGAGGCGTCGGTCGGCGCCTTTAGGCGCACACTTACTCGAGCATCTCGCTGTGGTAGGCGACGCACTCCCTGACCCTCCTCCTGATGCCCTCGTCGCTCCTGTCGAAGTCCAAGGCGCCCTCGTCGCCGGTGGGCGCGCGCTGCTGCCGCTGCTCGCTCTCCTCGATGTGGCGCGCGATCGCCCCGAGGCGCACGCGGATCAGCCGGAAGTGGCCGCAGGCGATCATGATGAGGAAGGCGATGGCCGTGTCCACGCAGACGCTCGTCTGCGTGACGGTCAGCAGGCAGACGATCTGCACGCCCAGCAAGACCTCGTAGCCCGGTGAGTCCTGCATCGGCAGAGCCGCGCGCTTTATTCGCGTCCGAGAGCGCGCCGGTCGATCGACTCGGCTGACCTGCACGTCCACGTAGAACGGGTAGGGCAGCGCGCGGCGGATCGTCCCGTTGACGGCCTCGGCGGTCAGCTGCGGCAGCTGGCTCGACAGCACGTACAGCGTGATGGTCGTGAGGATGATGCCCGAGTAGCAGCAGCTCAGCCGGCTCACCTTGCGCACGAAGCCACGCACGTGCGCCTTCTCCTCGCTCGCCACGCCTCGCCAGAGGCTCTCCACGTAGCTGCGCGTGCCGCGTCCGGCCGCGCGATTCCCAACAGACCAATTGCCAATTATCGCGCTGGCGCTCGTTCGATCGTCGCGGCCGTCCGCGCGCTCGATCGCTCGGGCTCTGGCGCTTCTCGGAGCTCGCGGCGTGTTCACGCTCCACGCGGCCCGTTCGAAATAATTGCCCGTTTTATTTGACCGCGCGCGCTCGGTCGTCTGACAGCGAGAGCGCTACGCATTTTCCACATCGAACATCGTATCGGTCGATAAAAAATTCCGTTCGCGCGCAATCGGCGCTCGAGTCGCGAGGCTCACCCGAACATCCTCGTCAGTTCCTTCCTGCGGCTGAATATGTACATGAACCTGAAGTGGAATCCCACGAAAGAGAACAGCTCCGAGGTGATGTCGGGGTTGAACCTCCGATTGGCGCAGTCATCGACGAAGGCCCAGACGTAGACGCTGCTCACCGCGGCGAACGCGAAGTTGACATAGGCCGACACGAGGACGGTGCCGGCGAAGCGGTGCGTACGACCCTTCAGCGGCAGCAGCCCGGCGAAGCGCAGCACGCGCGTCTGCACTCGGCGCACTCGTCGGTAGAAGCTCGACGTCTCCTCCATCGTGCGCACGGCGAGCACACACTGGTCGTACGAGCGCGGCCGAGCGGCCTCGCGCGCTCGGCTCGTCCTCGCGGACATGCGCGCGGCGCCGAACTTGGGCTCTTGCGGGCCAATGTCGGCCTGCGGTCGGCACTAGTTCGACCCACGATTCTCCGCCCTCGCGAGGCACTTTACACCGACGTCCGGCGTGGACTCATTCGGGCTGGAACGAACGGCCGGCTCGGCGCGAGCGACGAGTAAATCTACGTATATCCTACGAGTTCGCTTATTTACGGATAAATGCATAAATCTACACCGAGGATTGTCCAAAACAGCGAAGGCGCCGAGGATGTACGCGAGGTGGGTGACAGCGGCGTCCCCGTTTGGAGATCGCGGGAACCAGGCCTCTGTGTTCCGGCAGACGCCGAGCAACGTGATCGGACAGAGCGAAAGACAATCGTCACTTGGCTACGACGGAGAAACCGATTTACATTGTTTCGTTGCTGTACTTGGGTGCACGCGATGCATACAGATTTTTTTTTGGCTCGGCGGCCCGAAAGTTACATCTTTCCGCTTGCGGCTCCAACGGTAACACGCTTATTATGCTGTCGACCGGAATTGACAAGCGCACCGCACTTGCTATGGACTTTTCTATACTTTTGCAGCTTAGGTGAGCAATCCACTGTAATCGACTGGCTCAGAGAAAGGAGTTCCTTTGTCGCGATTATTTGCGATCGGCAAGTGCTGGGGTAACAAACGCCCTTAAGTCTCCAATCACGTCTTACCCTTTGACCCTTGATTTACTTTCTTAGAGAGTGATAAATCAACGGTAATGTCATCCCGAACGATAGGGTGTATCGGCTATTTTGTTTATGCATTGGTGTACCTCTTCTTACAGCAGCATATAATGAAACGTCGACTTTGTTAAAAAAAATATACATATATTCCACGGTGTCTCGAGCGTTCAACAAGTAAATTGCAAGTTCCGACGATGATTTCTTCATCGAATCCAACAGGTGGTTCTTCAAATCAACACCGATGCGCTCGCTCGCCTGTCGTCGAAGCTCTCGATTTGTTTCGGACGGAATCGAGGCAAAGCCACTTCCAAGCGGAGCCGATCTCGTCCGACGCGACGAACGGTCGGTGCCGCCGGCAGTTTCTCGAGATCGGCCGAGTCGTTAGCTGCGTTCGCCGACCCCCTCCAGGTGCCGAGCTCGCGACGCGCGAACGCGTCAATACTCCGCGGGTCTACGATATCGTCGACCATACCGCTTCCCTTCGAGCTGTCCTCGACGATCCGTCGAGCGTACTTGAGAAACGCGCGTCCCCTCGGCTTATTACTCTCGTGTCTAGGCTCGCGCGCAAGGTATCGCCGATGAGAGGCCGAGCAGCGTCATTCGCGGTCAATATTTGATGGGCGTCCATTTGGGGGCGTTCGTCGTTGCTCTTCGCTTTCGCCAAAGAAACGGCCGTCTCCGCGAAGTCGCAGGCGGGCAAAGGAAAAAAGAAGCAGAAAATAAAGAGAAAAACAGTGGCGCGCGATCGGACGCGCTCGCGGCTAATATTTCATGAGCGTCGCGGAGCGAATTAGAGACAATTATTGCTCTGCCCGTTGTCGTAGACGATGAATACTGTATGAGCGTCGATCTGTCCGTCGTGTAATGCGTCGTCCATTTACGTGTTCCATTTACAAGACCCGCTTCTCCCCTGCCAAGTGCATGATCAACGATCAGAGGATGCGCTGCCTGCAGACTTCTGCCGATGAAATTGATGAAGCGTGGTGTAAAGACCCTGCGGGCATGACGTGGTCTTCTTGCAGAGTAAACGCGAAACGTTCAACTTTACAATTCTTCGATTGATCGTTTTAATCGTTTCATATTTTGCGTATTCTTGCGATTATTTTGGGGCTCTGTCGCTTGCCTCTGTCCTCGAGTCTGGAAAGCTTATGACGATCGAGCGTTTCCGATCGAGTTGACCAGTTCGTGCTGCATTTCGAGCCCGCTCGCGTTGTCGAGCTCGCGAGCGTAGCACGCCGACGACTGGCATTTTCCAAGGCACGTATTTCTTGCCGCAAACAGCCTCGTACACGCGACCTCGTGCACTGGTACGACTGCCAAAACGGCCAAGCTTTTGATTCGTCGAAATTCTAATTATTGATTGATCAAAATGGGTAAAATCCATAACAATGATTTTCGTGAAACGAATTAATCGTAATTGAATGTTTGCCACAACCAGTGACAAAGTGCTCGCTGTCGGAAAAAGAAATTTCTGAGTACACGATAAAACCAGTTTAGGTAATGATTGGTACAGCAAAGTAGAACGAGAGGTACACTAGCCAAGGGAACATTGAAACAAATATTTACCACTTGCACGTGGGCCCGGCTGTGGCATTGTTGAAATGTGCTAGACAAACAGCCGAGTTCGATAACATTTATAGATACATCGCAACTATGCCGTTACTATACGTCGTTATTCTATCGACGATGGTGCGATCGGAATCAGGCCCATTGTTCAGAGATTGAAGCTCCTCAGCACGGTGAAAAAGGAGACTGCGCTGGTGAGCATCTACGTGGAAAGCAGAGCGTGTAGAGCGTGGCAGGGTCGTGGACGCGCGGCCTCACCGAGCCGAAGTTCTCGATGGACAAGTGGACGACACCGGCGGCGGTCATCTGCACGGGCCGCTGTGACCTGGCGATCACGAGGACCAGCAGTTTGCCCATTCGACGCCCCATCCAGGGCAGCGACACCGAGTAGGCGGCCGTCGAGATGGCCGTGCTCTGCAAGAGTGAACGCGCTGCTCGGCTGTGTTCTCTGTCTCCTCGCGAGCGTCTTGCCTTGCCTCTTGGATGAGGTGGTCCGCGGCCCACTGACAGATGAACAGCGCGCTCAGGCTGGCCAGCAGGAGCGGCACGAACTTGAACCTGTCCGGGTCGGTCTGCGAGAGAGCGCTCGACTGTTGAAAGGCGGCGGGAGGGGGGAGGGGGGAGGGGGGCGCCACTTACGCCGGCGAGTTTGATGCCGATGAGGGACAGGTTGTAGCCGGTGCAGAGCAGCTGCACGAAGAACAGGCCTCCCGTCAGCTTGTCCGTCCTCGAGCAGAGCCTGCGGGCAGTTCGAGTGGCGTATCCCGTGCGCGGCATCTCGCGGCGCGGCCCGAGGCTCACCCGAGGACCCGCTGGTGCAGGCGCACGCAGGCGAGCAGCTCCGAGTCGGCGCTCGCGGGCCGGTCGGCGGCGCGCAGCAGCCGGCGGCGCAGCGCGCGAAAGTAGCCGGCGCCGAGCATCAGGAGGAAGGCCCCGGTCGAGTCGACGGTGGCCGCGGCCATGCCCGCGCTCTGGGTGACCAGCAGCTGCAGCGCGAAGTTCAGCCCGTAGCCCGGCCAGAGGTCCGGACCGCGCTCCGAGTACCACCTGCGCGGACGGGCTCGGTCAGAGCGGCCTCGGGGCTGGGACCGGGGGCGGGGATGCCGACTTGAAGGGCAGGAAGCGCGCGTGCTCGGTGCCGTTGGCCGCGGCGGCGCTGTGGCGCGTCGCGCTGGCGGCGCTCGCCGAGAACATGAGGATGGTGAAGCAGCAGCTGCCCAGCAGCAACTTGAACAGCCGGCGGACCTTGCGCTCGAAGCGGTGCACCGCCCGACGACCCTCGCCGCCGCCGCCGCCGCACGCCTCCCAGATCGCCCGGCTCTCGTCCATCAGCGCGACCAGCTCCGAGCGGCGCAGCAGCAGCAGGTAGTAGCGCAGGCTCACGCCGACCACCACCACCGTCTCGCATATCGCGTCCACCGTCGGCGCTCCGCTCTGCCGCGTCGGGCCAGCCGGTCAGTAGTCGGTCGTCCTGTCACCGTCGCCCCACTCACCAGACTCGCCACGTAGAACACCATCATGCTCCAGTACACGCTGCTCCAGGCGAGGCAGTAGACGAGGATCAGTCGGCTCACCGCCCCCGAGAAGTCCCGGCCCTCGAGCGGCAGCAGCGCGAACAGCCTCAAGAACCGCTTGTACAGTGCCGTCAGCTCGTCGAAGCTGGGCGCTCGCTCCTCGCTCTCGCTCGACTGCGGCATCGCGCGCGCCGTTCGTATACCTACCTCGTGCCACACGCGACTCGCTCGCGGACAAACGCGACTGGGGCGACGAGGCGACACCGGCGTTACAATGGATGCTCGTTAGCCTCTCTCCGCTCGCGCGCGCCGCGAGTGAATAATGCAGCCGGAGGCTCGTTCATAATTAATCGCGTCAGGGAAGCGCGCCGAGTCGAGCAGGATGGCTTCGACGCTTCAATTTTTGCATTTTTTTCCCCCTTTCTTCCCTTCTTCTTTCCTTTCGCCGAAAATTCGAGAAGATTTTTCCGCGGCGACGGTCATCGGCCGGATAGCGATGACTCGGTCCTCGTCGATCGCACCACGAGAGACACGCTTTCCCGCGAGAAGGCAGTGTCGCGGGCTTAGTTTATTATTGAGAGGGCTGCTCCTCGTTTGCGAGGCTTGCGCAGTGCGCGTTACGCTCGCAAGTTCTCGCGACGATTGGACGGCTGATCGCAGGCCCGCATCGATCGTTGGGCTCTCGTTCGCGCAAGTTCGGACGTACATACGTGCGAATCTTTTCGGCGCCCAGCGCGGTCGGACTGCGGAAATTGCTTGCAACTATCAAGGGTGCAGACGGAGACAGCGCTGCCGAGCATCCGGATCGGACAAAAGAAAGCAGAGAGCGATCGGTGCGATCGCGAGCGATCGAGCGCCTCGCTTTTGACGACGAGGCAGTAGGAGCGCAGCAGCAGCTGCAATTGCAGTCGGGAAAAACGATGCTGTCTGGTACGACAAGGCTTCACATTCATTATTCCTAACGGCCCATGGGAGTTGTACGAGCTGAGCGGCGGCGATAATTGACTTGGCAAAACTTTCCAGTAAGTGTACACTTCTTGTGAGTCCGATTCGCTATTGTCTCTTTGTTCCCTTTTCCGGGTAGACACGCGTGCACCGGTTTTAGCGATCTGACGTCCATTCGCAGACCAACGACCACGCGAAGTACGAGACCACCTGCAATATCAAAATTATCACTGTAGTTGTATTGTGTATTCCTGCATATAATTTAGCTTCAGCCGATCTTCGTGTTGCCGTAGCGGTCATCACACGCGGTAACGTTCGGGTAAAGGTGGCTACATTTCCGTGCACAGCCGGCAGATAAGACGTTCATCGTCTCTCGCAAACCGCTCGACCGAGATAGTTGAAAGAAAGGAAAAGCTGGCGTGCAAAGACGATTATTTGCGTTTCGCGGAGGATAGATAACGAATGAGCCGATTAATTTTTGCTCGATAGCGCTGTATGTTGATCGTAAAAGATCTACGTTTGGAATGAAATCTAACGATCTGCATAATCGATCGACAGAGCATAGTAAAAAAATTCTCTATATCGTACATTACATGTCTAGGGAAGTAAAGTACATATCGGCAAGCCGTGGGTGGCAAACACGAACTATAGGTTCGCCATTTTACTTCGCGTGGCGTGTATACCCCTAGTGTGTACTATTTTTCGTATCAGGGAGCTTGACTTGCCAACGTCCCTGGTACGAAAATAACATTCATATGAAAGAGACACGATTAATCGATATAATATTAATACAGGCTGAACATTTTTAAAGCTACAGTAAACTAGAGAAAATTGTGAAATCATTTCATTTTATATTACATTTACTAATGAATATTTAATGAATAGGATAAAACGGGAACGTAGAGAATGTTCTGAAATATCAAATTTGTACAGGCAAGTAAACTGATTTAACTCATATTAGTTTGATATTTTTTAAATATTACATTTATTATTTTTGAGTAGAGGATTTGTTGGAAACTATAACCAAAGACACCGAAAAATCTATTGACACATCTGGCCAAAGGATATCAAAACTGTATAGGGGATGAGAACATTTTCTGAGCCGTTATGTTCCGAAAAAAAATGTGTAACACGACTGATTGGAACAATAATTAAAACTTTCTTCAGCATTTATAGATCGTTGTTATATATATCTGGCAAAAATAACGATGTGTTTATTTTTCTCAATATACAATATACATTTACAAAATTTTTCCTCTCGTCAACCACTCGTTCATAATTTTTTATTTACAGGCAAAAGCATCGATGTGATTCGATGCATGTCCGTCAACATCTATACATTGTTATTTTGTGCGGAGTCAGAAAATTTGTTTCAACAGCATTCGAAAACATTTGACCGTTATTAGCAACAACACGCGAACGCAGCTCTGTTAATTACTTAACAATATCATCAATCCGTTGTATTTTATTATCGAAAGAAAAAGAGACAGCCAATTTCTAAAAATTCCCATTAGCTTTTTTGATAAAGTTATCGGTATCTACTAGATCAACGTAATCCTTTACGCCGGCTGGTTTGACTGAGAGACCTATACTTGCTCCATTCTCGTGCCATCTTGCTTTTATGAGTACGCAACAACCTTTTTCTATAATAATTAATTTTTTAAATAAATTTTCGACGATCACTTAACAAAGATATATAATATTTCTATTTACCTAACTGTCCACTTTCATGTGCTGCAGCCAGTTGGTTAATGACACGACGTTCAACTTCATATTTTATCGAACGAGCACCATAATGCGAATCATAACCATCGGCAAGGACTGATAGAACCTCGCGATCCCATTTAAGTTCAATCTTATGACGTTCTCGTGCTCGTAATGCCCAAGTATCCAATTCACGTGCTACTAATTTTATTAATTCAGCTCGTGAAAATGGCAAGAAGTAGACAATCTCGTTTATGCGGCCGAGAAATTCGTCACGTCTAAAGTGAGTCTTAAGAATTGGGCGAACCTACAAGATAATAATAAAGATTATTACTGTTGTAAATTTATTTTTTATAAGAAATCGCTTTTTCTAGTAAGATACTTACGACCTGATCCTTAAAATTTCTCGAAATTTCAATATTTTCAGGTTCCTGATCTTCCGTTGACTTTTCATCAAGTCTCTTTTTCAATATTCTTTCGGCCTCTTCTCTTAACTGCATTGCATGTTCGGCAATTTCATCGCTGGCAAGATTAGATGTCATGATAAAAATTGCATCTTTACATTCAATGGTTTTTCCTTTACCATCAGTCAGTCGTCCCTATAAAGTTGATTCAGTTCATTAATAAAAGAATTGATGATTTTGAATGCAAAATGTGATATGGCATACCTCATCAAAAAGTTGTAATAAAACTGTGAGAACGTCTGGATGTGCTTTATCAACCTCATCAAATAGAACAACAGCAGATGGGGATTTTCTTAACATCTTCGTCAACTGTCCTCCGTCATCGTGTCCAACGTATCTATAAAAAAGGTTCACAGAAATATTTAACATATTTATCTGCAAAATAAATATATATGAAATTTACCCAGGTGGTGCTCCAATGAGCTTGGCAACTTCGTGTTTTTCCTGATACTCAGACATATCAAGCCTGATGAATGCATCAAATCTGTTCCTGTGTATGTATGCTGCTAACTGCTTAGCTAATTCAGTCTTTCCTATACCAGATGAGCCTAGAAATAAAAAAACTAATGGATGTTCCTCATCAATCCAGCCATTTTCTTTTCTTCTGATAGCTGTAAAATACAATAATTAATACAACATATATTTAAAACATAACGTATTTGAGAAAAATACATACTTGAAGCTACTATTGAAATTGCTCCTTCCTGGCCAACAATGTACTGTTTCAACCTCTGCTCCAAAGGAAATCGTCGTCTTTCCTCAGCTTCCTATAGATGAAAATATCAATAACGATATTTCAAATAGATTATTCAAAAATTGATGATACTCTCCATAAATTACTAACTTTTTCTCTTAACATTTCATCATATTTCCTAGCTTGTTTGATAAGCATATCTTCAATCTCTTTATCAGAGTAAGCATAATCTACAGCTCTGCGACCAGCTTCATTTTCTATAGTTGGGTTTGCTCCAGCATCCAGTAAAGCTTTAACACATTCCTTAGAACGAGACAACACAGCATAATGAAGTGCTGTAAACCCTTTGAAAGTTGCTCTGGCTATCAGACGATCTGAGAATTCTTCTTCTCGTTCCATCAACACTACAATATACAAGAAAAAATTATGAAATTTTCATAAAATGTAATCATGAAAAAAAATGTTTACCATCAGAAGGATGCATCCTCTTTTCCATAGCAGTCTTGTATACATTAATGAAATCATCACCAGCATTGATGTCAGCTCCATGTTGCAATAAAAATTTTACTACTTCAACTTTGCCATTGATAGCTGCTGTTTGCAATGCAGTCCAGCCCAGTGGATGCCTTACATTGATATTAACACCACTCTCAATAGCCTACAAATCATAAATCAATTAAATAGGTATAACATCACTTAATTGAAAGAAGAATATTTTTAGATATACTCTTTTTAAATCTGGGATATTTCCAAACTGGGCAGCACGAAAGAACTTCCTCTCTTTCAAATGGAAATAAGTAAAAAATTAACTTGTCTTCTTCTTAAATATTATTTTATATTCTGCTTCTTGAATATTGTTGTTAATTCAAATAAAAATACCTACCTAACATATGATGTGGGTTCTCGCACAGTACAACTGCCAGACCTAATCCACTCAAAATAAGCCCCAACTTGCCATACTTTACCTCCTTTTGACTCTTCTTTGGCTCATCTTTCAAGTTCCATTCATCATCGTTAATTAACTGACAAACAGGGTGAATTCTGGAGTATTTATGTCTCGATGACAACAGCAATCCATAACCTCTCTGCTGGTATCTTAGACATTTTGCACGAATTGCAACAGTAACACAATCAAAAATTGACTCGAGACTTTTGGTTCGTTGAGCCAGGTAACACAACGGACGAGTGCACAGGTGTGACATTCCCTGCTAGACGAGATAAGACAATGAAAAAGTAGAGATGCATACAACTATATTCAGCTGATGCAAGTTGACATTCACAGCATTTCCGTCGGCTTTTCACTCCAAGACGTGTGATTGATTATTATTACTATGTTTCGACACGAATTCTTTTATTATTACAGATTTTCTTTCTCGATTAATAAAACACTTAGAAGATTTCGAAACATAGCAACAAATGTTTTTCGTATGTAATTGTTTTTCATTCCTCGTACACGGCAAGCCGCTCTCTTTCTATTACGGCTTTCTATTTATCACGGTGTGACGCAATTCGGGTGCAAGCCGAGCGAAGCAGACGTAGTATGAAAAAAATATTTTGGTTACTATAGAATATTGTTATACTTTGTTAAAGCTGTCATTGTTATGTAAATAAATGTAAACAAATGATGCTTTATTCGTATTACGAAAAATTTCATGACTATAATTGTTGCATTACTTCTTTAGTTAATTTAAGATGAATTAAAATAATTTTCAATAATTGCTAACGTTCGGTGTAAAACCATAATTTCTCCGATGCTTGAAAAAAATTAATTAACCTCATGTATAAGGTTGTAAATTATGAAACCGAAATTTCTGGAATAATACAGAACATTGGCGGCGGTTGAATTTTCAAAAACTGCCATGTTACCGGGCTTTAGTGCTCGTGGTCCAATCGATCATCACGCCGCGCTTTTCAAAATCCACATGTTTAATAACCTCAAAACCACAATCCTTAACGTTGATAACATGAAGCTTTTCGGAAACTCTAATCGAAAAACCATTGATAAATAAGAATATATATTGTAACAATTGCATTAAACAACAAAAATATTGAACGTTTTTTTATGATCTTAAACCTCAAAAAAATGATAAACCGGAAAGTTCGTTTGGAAGCTTCTGGAAGCTTCCAGTAAGCGGCGTTCCGGTGGCGGCGCTACATGCTTTTCTCTGCTTCCTCGCTCTCTTCATCATCAGTTTAGCAGAAGCAAGCACAGCGAAAAGAGATATAAGAGGATTAAGGAGAGCTCGTTTCGGAGCTGAATTGAAAAAACGAAAATTGCTTTATTGTAGCCTTAAAAAATAAGCAAACAATTTTGTTGTTTTCCAATTCATCGTTGTTACAAAGTGCAAAAACAGATAGCTGAGTGTTAACAATGGCAGCAATGTCTGTGATCGGCATAGACTTCGGCAACGATAGCTGTTATATAGCCGTGGCTAGAGCCGGTGGCATCGAGACCATCGCCAACGACTACAGCCTCAGGGCCACGCCGTAAGTACTGTATATGTCGCGCATTCATGTCTTGTTCGGTAATCAAACGTATTGTCGCCGGCTCGCAGAGCCACGGCGACGAAAGCGAAATATCAGTAGCAAGATTAACCTCCAAAGTGAAATTTTTTTCCGCTTATAGTTAGCCGACGATAATTTAATTAACCGTGTGCGTATGCGAGAGAGCAACGCGCGTGGCTGCTCGTCCTCTTTGCAAGCAGTTACATAAAAATCAAATATTCGTGATTTCCTCAAACTACAACTTAATAAAGATCAACGTACTATACGTGTGTGTTGATCCCACCAGCTATAGAAAAAAAACGCTTGAAATAAGTAGCAGTTTTGTTGTTACGGCGGTGAAGACGGCATTGAACTCGTGCGAGCAGAGAGCATTCATTACTCATTGAATGATGGCCGTGGGAGGCCTATTCCCGAATCTGTCTTTTTTCGCACGTGTTTCTCATGTAAAGACCGAAAAGGAAGCTTGCCATAAGTCCTCTATTTAAAACAAATGACTCAAGAAGAGAGTGAAAGAGGGGGAGATATAGAGAGAAGACACCTTTGTCGTATATGCGACGACGAACGTTTATACACGTATAAACGTGACGATGCGATTCCATGTGGCGTGGTGCGCCGTACTATGCGCGATAAATTTAATTTTTTCTTTCGTGTCGTTCCCTTCGCTTGCCTCACTAGAGTGCTGGTGTTTTCATCGATGAGGAAGAATAATCATTGCGGCTGTAGAGTTTGATGAGCAATCATTTTAAAATGAACTTTTATTCTCATTCACAAATCATTCGGTAACAAATTTTCTTTTAGATTACCCCTGAGCAGCTGATCTAGATAATATTATTTATAAAATAAACATTCGTCGAAACAATTTCTTTTCGAGGTCGTGCACACGTCAGTTACCATCTGTCGAATAGTACTTACATTGAGTTAACACAAAATATTAGCGCGCACAGCAGCTATAGCCATACAATAGTAACAATCGATAAAAACGCTGTGTAAAGTCTAATCATAAAAAGCATTTTTGTTCATTCTAAATACAAAAGAAACCAATGAAATCCCATTTTTGTATAGGTCATGCGTGGCGTTCTCCAGCAAGAATCGTATTCTTGGAGTAGCAGCGAAAAACCAAATGGTGACGAACATGAAGAACACGATATACGGCTTTAAACGTCTCCTAGGTAGAAAATACAACGATCCATTCGCTCAGAAAGAACTTAAGCACCTACCCTACAAGACCAGCCAGACGGCCGATGGCGGTATTGGCATTCATGTAAGTTGGACGGAATATGACAGTCGAATGATCAACAAAGTGCACGATCAACGTTCTATTAGCTTTTTTTTTGAAACTTGTGCTCGATCTTAATGAATTGCTTCCGAATGACAGAAAAAAGAGAATTGTATTTGACAGCGCGCTTGCACGCAGCACGTTACCGATAATGAGACGCGGCTGACAAAAAAGAAGCCATGCAACGTGATATCGAATAAATGCAGACACCAGCGCAGTAGACAAAGTCGCCGCTTGGCACTTATCCAGAGAGAGCATCTCTCTAACTGTTGCATGTAGCGTTTTATTCGCACTTAATTAGAGCATTGCCCGAGAATGATGCGTTATTTTTGATTATCGTGTGCAATGTTTGTTGTCATTACGGCAAAATGAATATTTCTAACTTTTCTATTTCGAACAGGTCCAATATCTCGGCGAGGATCACGTTTTCACACCCGAACAGATAACTGCAATGCTGTTCACCAAACTCAAAGACATCTCAGTGACAGCATTGGGTACAGCGGTGAACGACTGTGTAATTTCCGTTCCATCGTACTTCACCCAAGCCGAGCGTCAAGCATTACTTGATGCAGCTCGTATTGCCGGACTCAATGTACTCAGGCTGTTTAACGAGACCACCGCTACTGCGTTAACTTACGGAATTTATAAGCAAGATCTTCCTACACCTGATGCTGCTCCAAGGAACGTTGTATTCGTTGATTGTGGATTCTCCAGCTTGCAAGTTTCCATATGCGCTTTTCACAAAGGCAAACTGAAGGTACATTAATTATTAAAGTTTATAAACGAATGAAGTGGTAAAAATATAAATTGCAATTTACAGATGCTTGCAAGCGCATCTGATACACAAGTTGGCGGCCGTGAGATCGATGCGATCTTGGCCGATTACTTCTGCAAGGACTTTCAAGCTCGTTACAAGGTAGACGCGCACAAAAACCCACGCGCCTATCTACGACTCTTGGCTGAGGTTGAGAAGTTGAAAAAGCAAATGTCGGCAAACTCGACGAAATTGCCCATCAACATCGAATGTTTCATCGACGAGAAAGACGTGCATGGTGACATGCAACGTGCTGATATGGAAACCATGTGCGCGCATCTGTTCAAGCGCGCTGAAAATACACTTAGGCACTGCTTAGCTCAGTCCAGTAAGTATTTTTATTTTCTTTTGTTCATTTAATTGTATAAAACCAATTTTATATACTGATACTTACTTATAATAATTTACAGAACTGAAGTTGGATGAAATTCACTCAGTCGAACTTGCTGGAGGTTCAAGTCGAGTACCGGCTATTAAGAAGCTTGTTGAGGATATCTTTGGCAAGCCATGCTCCACAACTCTTAATCAAGACGAGTCTGTTGCACGTGGTTGTGCCTTGCAATGCGCCATGCTTAGTCCGGCTGTTAGAGTACGCGAATTTTCAGTAACTGACATACAGCCTTATCCTATAAAACTTACATGGGATGCTAGCCAGGGAGAGCCTGGGTAAGCTTTTCAAAACACTGAGAATATACTTATTTTAAGATAGATTAATCAATTATCAATATGTCTTTTACTTTACAGAGAAATGGAAGTGTTTGAACAGAATCACTCTATTCCATTCTCCAAGATGCTGACATTCTACCGATCCAGTCCATTCATTTTGACTGCTAACTACAGTGTGCAACCACCAACATACCCTACAAGTCTAATCGGTAAGTGCATACGCAGCATTCTGTGTATGATAATAACAAATCAAGTTATCTATCCTAATAGTTTCAATTTTTATCGAATTCTACTTTTCTTAGGCACGTTCACAATCCGCGACATCAAACCTAACAAAGAAGGCGAATCGTCAAAGGTAAAAGTAAAGGTTAGAATCAACCTAAACGGTATTCTGACGATTGCATCAGCATCTTTGGTGGAAAAACGCGAGCAAACTCAGCAGGAGAAAGAAGAAGAAGAGCAACAGTTGAAACAGCAACAAGAAGCTATGAACATCGATCAGTCGCAAGACAAAAAGGATCAAGCAGATCAAGATGCACAGGCCAAAGAACCACCTGCTCCAGAGGTATAATTTTCAAAATCATCATCTTTTGATATGAATATCCAATTACCGATACGTGGATATTTTCACGATTAAGAAAAAACACGAAGTCGTACGTGTCTGTGTGTGTGTGATCGTAGGTTAAAATGGATAAGTCACGGCGATGCTCCGACGACGAGGGTTCGTCCTACTCTTCTAGGATAAAATCTGCTCTGTCCTGGCTCAGCTCGGTACGCGACACACACTTTATTGCCATTTTATACTTGGACCCATATATATATATATATATATATATATATATATATATACACACATACGCATTTTACACAAGAACACACTTTCTGCTCTGACTCCTGTTCTATTTGTCTTTGTTTTTTGTTTGGGAACGGCTTGAACACACACTTATAGCATTATATAGTTTTTTACTTGTTATTTTGAGAAAAATAGTTATATCTCATGATTGAGATTTATAATATTTTTCTCGAAGCTTTTTTTGGACACACATAGTGCATAGAATCGTAGGTAATTTTTTTACAACGCATAAGTAATGATATAGTTGTAAAGCACATCTCAACACTTGTAAAGGAAACATATTATTGAGATGACATGTTTTTTTAATTGTGTAAATCAATTTTAAGATTTCACAACTACACACTTTTAAATTTACTTGCAAAGTGTTGTCTGAAACTTTTGACTTTTGTTAAAAATGTAATGCTGCGTGAAAATTCGAAGGAATTTTCTTTTTTTTTTTATTATTTTTTTTTGTACAAATTTTCTGTCATTTTTTACATGTTTTCTGATGAGAGCCAATTTATTAAAAAATTGCACGCCATTCCTTTCTCAAAAAATATTGACATATTTTTGAAAGTATTTTCTATCAATTGTATTTATAAAAAAACATTCAAAAATCATGTCAAAAACAATACAAAAGTAACTTGTTTATTTTCTCTACTGCTTTTTCATTGACATCATGCATTTGGTTGTGGTTTTTAAATGTGAACAATCATTAATTAATAACAATTAAAAAAGAAATGTTAATACAATGCATATGGGTCCAAGATAAAGTTGTGTCACGTGCTGTAGTTGTTATTTTATTAAATTTCGTACTAATCATTGACTTCTGAAAATACATACTCATAAGATATTTTTATTTCTCAATTTTTGGCTCTGCTACTTTGTTTATTGATCGATAAAGAAAATCCGATGCACTATCTGCACGGAATAAATATTCTGTATAGCATTATATTTTTAGTCATGAGTCAAAGGTGACGCACTCGCCAAAAGTATCATTGTAATCACGACCTTCATTTAAAATCCATAATTTCGCGTGGCAGTTGCTATATATGTCGATCTGCTCAAAAGTTCGGTGAACTATTCTATAGCTTCTTTCAACGTCATAGCGACTTTATAAATTGTAAAACTTGAGACAAATACAATTTTTATGTAATCACAATCGGTTTTGCGTTTTAGAGTGATGAGAAAGCAGATGACGGTAAAGGCAAAGTTAAAGTACGTCATATTGATTTACCCATCGACATTCATGGATATGGCTTGTTGCAAAGTGATCTTGATCATGCCTTGGAGAAAGAGGTAGTAATTGCCTCAAGAAATTATTACTTTAATAATTTTACGATATCTAATATATCTATTGTACTTTCAGTGCAAAATGGTAGCAGAAGATAGGCAAGAGAAAGAGCGAGTTGATGCTCGTAACGCTCTCGAGGAGTACGTCTATGATCTTCGATCAAAAGTTTCAGATGAGGATCAGTTAGCAAATTTTGTGCAAGAGCATGAGCGCGAAGTACTTTGCCGCACCCTTGACGATACTGAGAACTGGTTATATGAGGAAGGCGAGGAATGTCAGCGTCAAGTTTACTCTGACAGATTAGCTCGGCTAAGGGTTAATTTTTGTTTGCTTCTTTTCATAAAAAAAAATCTGTATTTTTATATTAACAACAATTATTAAATTACAGTCCCAAGGCGAGCCCATAAAGGATCTGAAGCACGAATATGAAAACCGAGCACCAGCAATGGAGGAGCTCGCTGGCGCGCTCCAGCTGGCAAAGAAGGCTGTCGATCAGATCCGAGCCACTCATAAAGATCCTAAAAACGACAAGTACGATCACATTACCAACGAGGACCTAGGCAAAGTTGAGAAACATGTACAAGAAAAATGGAGTTGGCTCGAGGATACGCGTGCTCTACTAAATCAAACACCACTTACACAGCAACCACCTGTTTACGTTAATCAGATTCGTGCTAGAAGACAGGTAAATTTTTCTAATAAAATCTTGGATTCGCAAGTTAATTTATTACCTATGACAGAGTAACTAAATTGATAAATATTTATTTTAGTCTCTCGATGGTTTTGTCACACCTATTCTCAATAAACCTAAACCTAAAGTAGAGCCGCCGAAAGAAGATAAGAAGGAAGAACAGAAAAACGAGAAGAACGCTCAGAATCAAAACAACCAATCGTCAAATGATATGGATGTCGATTCGGGAACACCGGAGGCTCAACAATAAAGAACACAAATAAAATAAACACAATCGACTAACTACCATTTATTTCGTCGAAGATTTTCACACAAAACAAATCAGGATATCGTCAGTCATGTCACGAAAGCGCCTGTCATATATATATATATATATATATATATATATATATATATATATATATATATATATATATATATATGACTATTCTACTTACTATATATATTTCCTAAACTACTAATCAGTTTTTTCATTCTTATAGATTAGTCGACGTATAAACACAGGTCTTCTTTTGTCATTTCTAGTATCATGAGTATCCAAGTTTTCTGTTGTAGAAACGCGCCTAAACATTATTTTTATATGTATAAGACGAAAGTTGAAAGAAAAATAGACGTATGAAGGTTAACAAACTTTTTATACCATCAGAAAAATTTTTTCAGCCTACAGTACTCTCACTTTGTCATGTTTGTAAGCTCATGGATAAATGGATTGCGGACAGATTACTCATGATCCCATTCCTATCTTTTCACTATACACATAAGTTTAATTAATTTATGCACAAATATTTTCATTGAACTAGACTATAATCATTGAATTATAACGAACGATTGTGAAGCGAGTGCGCAGACACTGCACGGGGATGTATTATGTATGTTAAGTGGGGAAATAATCAGAATCCTTTCATTGATAATCTATCGACATATTTTGCCTTTAATTTAAATTGCTGCTTATGTATATTTAATATTGGCTTTGTATTTTGTGCTCTTTTAATGAGTATTGTTTTACGATGAATGCATATTAATTGTAACTTAGGTGTAATTTTTCGTTATGATCCGCTTAATATTTAAAGAGTGCGAGAAGAACAAAATTATACTGTGTTAAAAGAAAAAAACACATCGGAGAGTGTCTGTAGCTGACGCTTACTGGTGATAATTATGTATAATGGTGCGTCTTTGAAAAGAGCATTTCATTAACTTGTATACTTAAACTTGTGACTGAAAAAAAGCTAAAGCTTCCAAAGCACCCGATACATTAGATGACAGAGCAAGAAAGAGAGTACTATGAATAGTCTAGCGAAGAAAAATTTTAAATTATTATTTTCGAAAATCAATTATCTTTTCGTAATAATTTGTGCGATTTTTCTTCGCGGACACATTTCTAATTTTAATAGTCTTAGTAAAGAAATGATGTGCAGAGTGGGAGGAAATTTTTCAAAATGAAAAATAAATTATTGTATGACAGCAGAACAGTTAATTGATTGCTAAATTAAACAATAAGAAAAAGAAAGTGAATGACTTAGGGGGTAATATCGCTGGCGATTTAATGTATTTAACAACGCATACTATAAATTTTCTTCATTCCATCGATTTGTCAGCCCAACAGTCGCGTGTAAATTGTGTGTTTGCATTTATGAAATATCTTAATTAACTTTATAATCACAATAAGAGCGATAAAAAAAAAATGAAAATAATTGTATTTGAAAAATCATCACAACTTTTATTATTGCTATACGTACCCATACACACATACACGCTGAGATATAGCGGGGCAAAAGTAATTTGCCGGAAAAAGGGAAACAAAAAAAGTACGAATATAGCATGATTTTTATGGTTATAGTTAGTTTGAATTATTTACGTAGCTTTTTAGAGTGCTATAAAGCACAAGTGCTGTAGCGTAATATGTATGATTATAATTTTTTTTTCCTGTCCATGAAGTTTACAAATTTTGTTTTTCATGCGATCATCTGAAATTTAATTTCTGTTCAACTTGACACTCTATTCATTTTTTTTTATGCAAATCACATTTGGAGTTAAATTTGCTACTAGGTGTGCATTTTTTTTTTTGTTTCATGATTGGAACAATAAATGAGAATCACTAATTGGTACCTTAAAAAAAAAGATGAAATTTATTGTAACTGTACAATGTACAATAAAAACAAGTTAATCTAATAGAAAAAAAAAGTTTTGGTCCATTTAATCTTTCCACATAATACTTAATATGCAAAATTCTCTTAAAGACGTGTAAATAGCAGTTGAACAAGCTCTTAATCCTGTTTTGATGGTGTTTTTGTTGGCTGGTCAAAGTATGCCCTGTATATAAATGCTCCAAGCGCAAGATGTAAAATCAACATTGCAACACCAGCAGCATAAATGTTGCTCGACACTGAATTAAGTCCAAACAGTGCTGTGAATTTAAAATGATAACCACATCAGCAAAGATTTTTAAGTAAAAAACAGTGTTGAATAATGCTTACTGTCAAAGATGAAGGCTTTACTCAAAAAGAATGATATCACAGGACATGCTATTATAACAATGCAATGTACAAATACAGTTTTGAATACTTGGAATTCAGTTTGTTCCTGAAAAGAAGTAATAGTTTATTAATAAATATCGCAAATTGATTTTTACGTCGGATTAGGTTTTCAATTATTTACTTCCAAATTGATTGCCATTAACAACATAGACGTATTTACTTACCTTTTCTTCCGGCATGATTAGTATTAATTATATATAACAATAGACTTCTTCAACAATAAAGTGACAATCGCATAACCCAAATCATAAAACTCGACTCTAATTCTTTCTTTCTAATAAGAAACTAGGAATTTTTTAAGTACAACCAAATGCCAATTAAACTATTATTACGAAGAAAGAACACACGACATTTTTCAATAAAATCTAAATCAGTTGTTGATCAGACTCCTGGACGTATATATGCTACTATCAACTGTACGATACGCTTTAGGGCGTGTTCAAACGTGGCGATTTGGCGACGGAGACGAGCAGACGAGGCGGTTCTATAGCTTAAACCCCGATCCCATAGGTACAACGTACGGATACGGACGGATACGGACGCAAATCACAACTGTAGTAACATCACTAAAAATATCTAGTTCGATTATTTAGTACCAACACTACCGGTAGTGAGTAAAAGTGACTGTTGTTTAAAACTGTAGCGCCGAACGTACATACCACATTTAATGTTCAAATGTCAGGTCTACAATTTACTTTTCAAATATTCACGAATATTGCTTATTGATGAGTATGCTAATGTAAAAAAAGTTTTTGGGATGATTAATACATATCATTTATATATATTTTCTTCTTCTTCTCATATATTCAAGTACTTCCATAAAATTAAGGCCTAATTCCACTAATTGTAGTTGAAGGTTCCTAATCCCTTTCTCAGCTCTCTTCCTTATTATATGCGCCACCATTCACTACAGAATATACTAAAAATCGCCGCATGTGAACGTGCCTTCATGTTGGTAATTGTCGTTTTGTCGTTGACACGTAGCTTACTCAATTGCAGAACTGTTAGTAAAAATGAAATTTATGTGAAATTAGAGCTGTTTGTTAACATTTGATAATTTAGTGAATATAGATTATTAAATTTAGCATTAAAAAGTGTACAAAATGGCTAATGTCAGCTCGAGTGTACACACAGCTGTAAGTATTACATGTTTCTTAACCTCAAACTTTTTCAAGATGATTTTTAAATAACTATCTCACATGACAAATTAATAATTTTATAAATTGTGTTTTCACAGCAAGAGCAATCAAAGTCTCAACCTTTAATTCAGGAATTTAGCATTAGAGTACCAAAGTAAATATTATTTAATTTATTTGATAATTTGATAATAATGTAACAATAATAAGAAATTTAATAATAAATTTATATTTTATTTATCCGAAACTGTAGAACTAATAAAAAAAAGCACAATGTAATGAGGTTTAATGCAGTACTTAAAGTTGACTTCAAAGAGTGGAAGCAGGTCAAATTAGAAAGGGAAAACAATATGAAGGACTTTAGAGGTGTTGAAGAGGAAATGCCTAAATTTGGTGCAGGCTCAGAATTTGGTAGAGATGCAAGAGAAGAGGCAAGAAAAAAGAAATTTGGTATTAATTCTAGAAAGTACAAATCTGAAGATCAACCATGGATACTCAAAGTCAATGGAAAAACTGGAAAGAAATTTAAGGGCATTCGAGAGGGTGGTGTCAGTGCTAATGCATCGTACTATGTATTTACACACGCACCTGATGGTGCAATAGAAGCATTCCCACTACACGAATGGTAAATTTTTCTTTAGCAATATTTTTTTAATAATTTTATTAAAATACATGAATTTTTGATAGGTACAATTTTCAACCTATTCAGAGGTACAAAGCATTAAGTGCAGAAGAGGCAGAAGAAGAATTCAATCGTAGAAACAAGACTATGAACTATTTCAATCTCATGATGAGAAAAAGACTAAGAAATGATGAAGAGGTAGGCGAAGAAGGAGAAATATTGGAAGGCAAAAAGAAAATCACCAAGAAAGACAAAGAATTAAAGATTTCTGAAATGGATGAATGGATAGAAAGTGATGAAGAAGAAAGTGAAGAAGATGAGGAAAGTAAAAAGAAATCTGAAGACGAGGATGATGACAAAAAGAAGAAAAAAAAAGGTAAAATACATTTGTTCAATCTGCAACTTAAAGACAGGAAAAAATTGTAGTAGTCAAAAATTTATTTTGCTAGATGGAAAGAAGAAAAAGAAGAAGGTGTCTGACGATGAGGCTTTTGAAGAAAGTGATGATGGTGACGAGGAAGGGCGAGAATGCGACTACATTTCTGATTCTTCAGCTTCAGAGGATGAATTAGAGTCACAGAAGGAAATAAAATCAGTCGATCAAGAGGATGCATTGAGAAAACTGTTAGCCTCTGATGAAGAGGACGAGGAAGAGAATGAAGATAAGAAGGATGAAGATGAAAATGAAGATGATGAAGGCAAACCAGATAAGGTAAAAATCTTTTGTTTCCTTTGCTACACATTATGCCATATAGTATGATATTAATTAAATTTTTATATTATTGTTATATTTCTGAAGGAGAAGGATCCAAAGGAACCAAATAAGAAAAAGGACAAAAAGAAGAAAAAGAAGAAGGACGACGGTTCTGACTCGTCTTCCGACGTAGAATCTGGTGCTGAACAGAACAAAAAACCAGCGAGTACACAAAGTTCCAGATCAGCCACACCAATAATAGGCTCGGCAAGCCAGTTAGATTCACTTAAAAGGAGTTACAACAGCTCTCCAGACTTGCCTCAGGCAAAGAAGAGCAGACTGGATAATGGTTCAAGCTCTTCCACGTCGTCTTCTACTTATGTTCCTGGTTCGAGGTACGTAACAATTGATCTTAAAAAATTGGCCATTTATGGAACTTTGTATTGAATTTCTCCTTTTTTTATGTAGTGAATCCGGCATCACAGAAGATGCCGTAAGGCGTTATTTAATGAGAAAACCTATGACAACTATCGAACTTCTACAAAAATTCAAATCCAAGAAAACTGGTCTTACCTCCGAACAAATCGTCACTATTATGACTAACGTTCTGAAAAATGTTAAACCAACTAGTCAAAAGATTAAAGGCAAAATGTATTTCTCTATCAAAGCACAGCCGAACAATAAGCAATAAGTTGTCTCTGCGAGATTAATTTTTATTGAAAGGCAGTTAAATAATAATTTTCTTTTTTTTTTCCGCTTACAACAGTTTTGATTACTTTTGACAAAGTATTCTTCTATCTTTCTTACTTTGCAAATTGACGTTCAGATATTCTGAAGTCTGAAATTATTCTTTTTCGTTTGTAAGACCGTTATTTAGTTTATCATCGCTACAATAAAATTATGTTTTTTAGTATCCTACAATTTTGTTTAAGCGCGCTTTAAAAATCGAGTGTTTTACAAATACGTTTGCGAATATAAACGTTATGCAAACAGTAAGATAGAAAGAGAGTGTTGAAACTATTTTGAATAGATGTAAAAAGTTTAAAAGATGTACGTGCGCTGAAACGTTGAATTAGTCGAGTGAAAGAAGAAACTGCGCGCGCAGCCGCAGCATGCTAATAGGATCGCGAAGATGTCTCTAGTTTCCAATGGAAGTGGTTCCACATTTACAAATAACATCATTAATTAGCCCTGATGTCAGTGCTAATTTTTCATTTCTCAATTGACTATCGGGAAACGCATGACTAAGATATCTCTTGAATTCACTTGTTCGAAATCGTTTGTCCGCAGAGTATTTAATAAATTTATTTAAAAACACACATGTAATCTATCTCTTGACTTGAAAACCTCTCGATCGTCACGCCAGTATACTCTGAACGAGGATTACTAATGTAGGGAAAAGGAGCGATATTTCAGTACGCGCAACGCAATGTTATCCTCCGAAAACGAAAAATATGCTAAAGCAAAGCTCGGGTCACGAAAGCACGCGCGCAGCGCTGACAAGGCGGTGCACGCGATCTTTCATTTTCCGCGCGTCGAACAAAGGAGGAACGGAGCGCGATTAACCCCGTCGCCCGGTGAATTATTACGTCGATTTCCTTCTTTTCGACGCGCGCGTTGGCGATAGCGCGAAATCACCGCGTGTTTGTTCTGGAAAATTTGCGCCGATACGCGCGCGCGCGCGCGCGCTCAAAGGCGCCACTCCGGGAGCACGCGGATAGTAAACATCGTGTCCGTGATCGTTATCTCGGCCCGCTGGCGTAGTGGCGCGAGTCGCCGGCTGCGGCCTGTGTTTTTCGTGCTCGCAAGATTCGTCGATCAGAACAATTGCACAACGATTTCGAAACTTGCTCGCGCGTCGGCCAGCGCCTCTTCTCGAGTTCAATTTGCACACGCGAATCCGTCCTTCCCGCCTGGGCGCCGAGCGCGTTCTTGAAACCCGAGTCGTGCACGGATTCCCCCTCCCCCTCGCCCCCCACGAAATAAAGCAAAAAAAGTTGTTCCTCTCTCACCCCTGGCCAAAGGCGGATAAATTGCGCGCTTGGCCAATCCCCCAACTATCATATCGCGATAAGCGCGTCTTTGGCCTGGAGCGCGAGATAAAAAGGTCGCGAGAGAGAGAAAGAGAGAGAGAGAGAGAGAGATACGGGATCGTTATCGTTTTGGTACGAGCACGGATTTAGGAACACGAAGTCTTATTGCACGAGCAGTTGCCGTTGGCGAACCCTCGACTCGACGCGCACCCGCGCACTCCTCTCCGCACAGATGAGGGTCGTGAGAAGTTTCGGCGCGCCCCTCCTGGCTAAGCCCTGGGACAGGAGGACGATGCTGCGCGGACTTTACGACGACGATCCCGCCCGGCGCTCGGGCTGTCGCCGCATCAGCGTGAGTAGACGTCCGCGCGAGACTCGCCCCTCGGCGCTGGCTCGCCCGAGGCCGTCGACAGAGCGCGCCTCGGGAGCCTCGGGAGCCTCGGGGAGCCGGCGGGCACGGGCGGGAGGAGCGCTCTGACCCGGCGACGCCCGCGGCCGTTGCAGCAGCAGCAGCAGCAGCAGCTGCGCGGCAAGGTGATCGCGATCCGGCGCGAGGACCAGTCGGTGTGGGAGCGGCGCGCGGCGATCGCGCCCGCGAACGTGCGCCGCCTGGTGCGCGCGGGCGTGCGCGTGCTGGTGCAGCCGAGCAACCGGCGCGCCTACCCGGCCAGCAGCTACCAGGCGGCGGGCGCGCACATCCAGGAGGACATCAGCGGCGCCTCCGTGATCTTCGGCGTGAAGCAGGTGCCCGTGGACCAGCTGATCCCGCACAAGACCTACTGCTTCTTCTCGCACACGATCAAGGCGCAGGAGAGCAACATGCCCATGCTGGACGCGGTGCTGGACAAGAGCATCCGGCTGCTGGACTACGAGAAGCTGACGGACGACCGCGGGCAGCGGCTGGTGGCCTTCGGCAAGTACGCCGGCGTGGCCGGCATGGTCAACATCCTGCACGGCCTGGGGCTGCGGCTGCTGGCGCTCGGCCACCACACGCCCTTCATGCACATCGGGCCCGCGCACAACTACCGCAACTCGGGCATGGCGCGCCAGGCCATCCGCGACGCCGGCTACGAGATCGCCCTGGGCGCCATGCCCAGGTCCATCGGCCCGCTGACCTTCGTGTTCACGGGCAGCGGCAACGTCAGCCAGGGCGGCCAGGAGGTCTTCCAGGAGCTGCCCCACGAGTACGTGTCGCCGGAGACGCTGCGCAAGGTGGCCGAGCACGGAGGTAGGCCACGCGTCCGCCCGCCCCGCCCCCGCCCCCGTCCCGCGCCGCCCGACTCACCGATCTCTCTGCCGCGCGCGCGCGCGCGCGCCCAGACACCACCAAGATGTACGCCTGCGAGGTGCGCCGCCGCCACCACCTCGAGCGCAAGGACGGCGGCGGCTTCGACCCCGAGGAGTACGACCAGCACCCCGAGCGCTACATCTCCACGTTCAGCAAGAAGATCGCACCCTACGCCTCGGTCATCGTCAACGGCATCTACTGGGCCGTCGACTCGCCCAAGCTGCTCACCATCCCTGACGCCAAGAACCTGCTCAGGCCGGCCTACACGCCCTGGCTGCCCATCAGCGTGGGCGCGCCCGCGCTGCCGCACCGCATGCTCGCCATCTGCGACATCTCGGCCGACCCCGGCGGCAGCATCGAGTGAGTGCGAGGCGGAGAGAGGGACTTGGGGGGCGCGAGAGAGCGAGAGAGCGAGAGACCGAGAGAGCGAGCGCGCGCCGCTGCTTGCAGGTTCATGAACGAGTGCACGACCATCGACACGCCGTTCTGCCTGTACGACGCGGACCGCAACAAGGACACCAAGTCGTTCAAGGGCCCGGGCGTGCTGGTCTGCTCGATCGACAACATGCCGACGCAGCTGCCGCGCGAGGCCACCGACTTCTTCGGCGACCTGCTGTTCCCCTACGCCCTCGACGTCATACGCTCGGACGCGCGCCGGCCGCTCGACGAGCACGACTTCACGCCCGCGGTGCTCGGCGCCATCATCGCCTCGAACGGCCAGCTGACGCCCAGCTACCAGTACATCCGCGAGCTGCGCCAGCAGAACTGCCTGCGCAGCCGGCACAAGGAGTCGGCGGGCAGCGCCGCCGGCAGCCGCGGCGTGCTGGTGCTGGGCGCGGGCTACGTGTCGGCCCCGCTGGTCGAGTACCTCCACCGCGACCCGGGCCTGCGCATCGCCGTCGGCTCGCAGCTCAAGGACGAGGCGGACGCGCTGGCCGCGCGCTACCCGGGCGTGGAGGCGCTGCTCGTGGACGTGGCCGAGCGGCCCGAGTCGCTGGCCGAGGCGCTCGAGGCGGCCGACGTGGTGGTCTCGCTGCTGCCCTACTCGCTGCACCACCTGGTCGCGCGGCGCTGCATCGACGCGCGCAAGCACCTCGTCACCGCCAGCTACCTGGGCGAGCGCGTGCGCGCGCTCCACGACGAGTGAGTGCCCCCCCCCCCCCCCCCCCCGCCGCCCCCCCCCCCCCCGGCCCGGCCCCGGCCTCGCGCTCTAGGCTCTCGTCGGCGTTCGCAGGGCCGTGGCGGCGGGAGTGAGCGTCGTCAGCGAGGTGGGCCTCGACCCGGGCATCGACCACCTGCTCGCCCTCGAGCTCTTCGAGGACGTGCGCCAGGCGGGCGGCCGCGTCGAGAGCTTCGTGTCCTGGTGCGGCGGCCTGCCGGCGCCCGAGAGCTCCGGCAACCCGCTGCGCTACAAGTTCAGCTGGTCGCCGCGCGGCGTGCTGCTCAACACCCTCGCGCCCGCCAAGTACTTCCGCGGCGGCCAGCTCGTGGAGATCGCGCCCGGCGGCGACCTCATGTCCGCGGCGCAGAGCCTCGACTTCATGCCCGGCTTCGCGCTCGAGGGCTTCCCCAACCGCGACAGCACCGCCTACCGGCAGCTCTACGGCATCGAGCAGGCCGAGACGGTGCTGCGCGGCACGCTGCGCTTCCGGGGTTTCGCCGACGCCGTCAAGGGCCTGCAGCTGCTCGGCCTGGTCGACCCCGGCGCCCACCCGGCGCTCCACCCCAACGGCCCGCACCTCACCTGGGTACGTTGCCTGCCCGCCCCGGGCGCGGCGCCGCGGCGCGCTCATCTCGGCCGGTCTGCCCGCAGCGCGCCCTCGTCTGCGACCTCCTGGGCCTGGCCAGCGACGACATCTTCTACGAGAACCTCAAGCAGAAGCTCGCCGAGCGCCTCGGCTCCGAGGACCGCGCCGCCGCCATCGAGGACCTCGGACTGCTCCTCGAGCAGCCGGTGCACAAGCTCGGCACGCCGCTCGACACCCTCAGCCACTACCTGGCCCACAAGCTGGCCTTCGGCGAGGCCGAGCGCGACCTCGTCGTGCTCCGGCACGACGTGCGCATCCGCTGGCCGGACAACAGGCTGGAGGAGCGGGGCCTCAGCATGGTCACCTACGGCGAGCCCCACGGCCACTCGGCCATGGCCAGGACCGTCGGCTACCCAACGGCCATCGCCACCAAGATGCTCCTCGACGGTAAGCCGGCGGTGGCTCGCGGGCGGCGCGTCGCGCACCTAATCCCTGTGCCGTCTTTGCAGGCGAGATTCAGCAGCGGGGCAACGTGCTGCCGTTCACCGCGGATATTTATCGACCGATGCTGTCCAGGCTGAGGGCCGAGGGTCTCCAGTCTTTCGAGACGTCCAAGTGGCTTTGAGACTATTTTCGCGCGCACGCGTGCCCCGCGTTCGCCCGTTATTTTCTAATTTGGACATCGTGCCGTGCTGTGAAAACAAACCTTCGTTTTTGTATGTGCGATAAGACGCAATATAACGTTTGTCAAGCAAAAAACGAAGAAAGAAATAACATAGATAAAACATCGCTGTTCTTGCCAGGAGAGAAATGATGAGGCGGAACAAGGTTCAAGTCGAATGTAATTAACATTTATTGATATTACCACCTCCCGTCGTGTTTCTCTTCCTCAAACTGCTTTTTTTGTTTGCATTTTTTTCATCTTTTTTCAAACATCGCAACAATTTTTTTTGTATTCACGCTCACGCACGCACGCACGCACGCACGCACGCACGCACGCACACACACACACACACACACGCGCGCGCGCATAGAAACTAACGGCTCGCGGGCGTTTTCACTCGAAATCAAGGGGATCTTACACCTCCGTGCGAACACGCTCGTTTGCTTTTCCTTTTGTTTTATACAGGCATTGACACGAAGAGCACGTGTACAAATGATACTTCAACAGTAATGTAATCAGGTACGAAATGCAATCGATAAAAATGCGACACAATAATGTACTCCTCTCCGTCTGCTCGGGCGACCGCTCGCCGCCGCGCCGAGGGGGAAAAAGCATCGCTCGCTTCGTTTTCTTTTGGCCTCGTTCCAGGTACGGACGCACAGCATTAGCGCATTGTTTTCTCGCATTGTCGGGCGTGTGCAGATACGTTATCGCCGATAGCGAAAAAGAAGAGAAGACAACGGAAAGCGGAAGGGGAGAGAAAAAAATGACAACGGCAGTCGCGTCTAGCGCCCATTGTTCTCCCTCGCTATCGGAACGCGAAGCGCGCGTGGAAAAAGAAAAGCTCGCCGGGCGTGTGCCCTCGACGCTTCGCGCGTGTCTCCGCGTCTCGTCGATACGTCTAAATCGAGAATGTGGCAAAACGTACTTCCATTACGGACGAAAAGCCAGCGCTGCTTCCCTTTTCCATTCCGGAGAAACAATGCATCGTTACAGCCGTGGAGAACGTAGAATCGATCGACAACTTATCGCGTTCTAACGTTCGCATAGAAAAACCGAGCGCCTGGGTCGACGGGAGGATGGGGCAAAAAGGAAGCCTGACTTCGCGCTCGCTTCGCGCGTGCTACAAGACTACCGTTGAAACGTGTCAAAAAATCTTCATCCAAGGGAACAGCTGCATATTTATGTACACACTCTGCGCGGCTACAACAACGAATTGACTGAGGTTCTTCTGTCGCGGCTTTCGACAGCCATCTCGAGGGCAACAGGAGGGAACGAGCTGACATTCCATCGCTACTGGGCCTCCTTTTTTCCGTGAACCGGCTGGACTTGACCATTTTTCTTTCTTTTGCCGTGATAACCTACGCGACGTGTACACACCTCCAAAGACTACTTTTTTCTTCTGCAGTGAACTTGATTACTTTTTTTTATTTCCCTTTTGTAAACTAGAAGTACGACTGTTTTTCTCAACTAAATCTATCTAATAACTTTTTATGCATTATATTGTTGTAGTGTTTTTTTTCTGTCTTTTTTCTTACGATTAACACGTTAATTTTATAAATAAATACAATTGAACGTTTCTTCGAAAAATGGGCTGAGAAAAAATCTCAAAAAATTTCTTAAACTCAGCAATTTTTACTCGAGACGAGATACTTTTTTCTCAAATTCAAAATTATTTTTAAAATGCAACAAAATTACGCAATTTCATTCAATTTTTATGCGTAGTAACGTAACTTTTTAGATATTGTATTCCCAAACAAATTTTCTGGCATGCCAATTATTTTTCTTGAAGTCAGAAATTACAATTATGATCTTTCAAAAATATTTTTTTAAAGCCATAATACTTCAAAAATGTTTTACGTTATTGAACTTTCAAAAAAGAAAAAAATTGCCATAAAAACAGCTCAGGTGAAAAAAGGAAATGAAGCTAGTCAAGAAAATTTATTTGACGTCATAAATAAGCACAGAAAAAAAGGTGACGTCAGTGTATAGTGGCGTACCACAAAATTTTTTGCAACACACAGCATCTCCTAATTTTCTCGTTTCTTTTTTTTTTGTTCTTCCGGTTAATGTATTTTCATTCATCTATAAAGGTGCATAAGTTTATATAGAAAGGTTTTTTTAGTTCAAAGAAGGCTCGCACGTTTCATCGTTAAAAGTTTTTCGGTATACAAAGTTTTCGCCGAGCAAAAAAGTTTATCGGAAGTCTTAAGAGTTCTAAAGATTTGTTTTTAAAGGTAAATTTTCCAGCAAAGGGGCTTGGATAATCTTAATTATACATTTGTTTTTATATAGATTTATATATCGTATATATAAACGGTATTTATCAACGGTAAACATGGATAAAACCAGAATATACAACACAACAGATTATTGGAGTTTTTTTTTTGTTTTTGATTGGTTTGTCAAAAGTCACAAAGCTATATAAGATAATAAAAATTATTCCACGCAAACGTCCAATAAGGTATAATGAAATATGGAATTTCACTTTTTATTAACGAACAAACTGATTATGAAAAAACGCAAAAGCAAAATTAAAATGTCAAAATCAACGAACTCAAGTTAGAAAGATAAACAGTCTAACGTAAAACCCACTCACGTATACTATACGTAAATCAGTTTGATCGAAAACTTGAACGGCAGGTTGTCAAGGTAGCCACTTTGGCTTGGCAACCCATTGAAATCGAAGTGGAACGTAAATCGTCTAACCTGCAACTTCTCGTTCATTCGCGCAACAACAACGGGAAATTCATTCGCGAAGAAACGAGCTTTACAAATAGACGACTTCTCCCTCGAAATTCATTGTCGCAGAGGTACGTAATTCGTCCATCGCAGCATTTTTTTTTATTTTTTGTTTTTTTTTTTTATTCGGTGGTTCAAAGGCGATGCGAGGGTGCTTTTATATTGTTATACTATCTTGGTGTTTTTTTCTTCTCCTCAATCGTCGTTACGCGCGTCGCTCCCTCTTGATCATTCTTTTCATTTCGCATTTGTCGATGCAGCCTCCGCGACATCGCACCTTTCTTTAAACACTAAGAGCACGACGAACGAATTTTCTTCGCTTCGTTTTTTTTTTGTTTTTTTTTTCAAAAACGAACGCTCTACGCTGAAATAAGAAAGAGAATTGAGCGCACCTTTTTCTGTTATTCTGCTTCCTAAGTCCCTACAACATTAAATCGTGATATAAGATACGTAATGATTCGTAATTAGATTATAATTAACGTGCTTAATCGACTAGCTACCCTGACAACGAATTTTACAAAATTGATTTATTAATTTTTTTTTCATTTTATTCTTGTAATGCGTAATTCTCGTTTGCTCTCTATATCTTTTGTTACAAATGGCTAGTGTGACTGAAAAAACCGATTTGTTTTTTTTTTTTCGTATCGCGCGCAAAATCCGCTGTCGCTGTCTTTCCTTTGTTCTTCTGTCGATAACGAGCCACCATACGAAAGGTAAGTATCCGCCTTTTGTTCGCGGGGCCGAAGGAAATTGGGGGAAAATCGATTGCTCGCCCTCTCCTCCTGAAACGTCGAAGTACGTTCTCCCGTTCTTTTTGCCTTTGACGAACAGAAAAATTATGACCGCCGACACGTAGAAAAATTTCTCGCCTCTGCTCGGGAAAGGCTAAAAGATCCTCCCTCGCGCCCCGAGCTCGTCGCCGTTCGGTCGGACCGCGACGCCGTTGCTCGGATGCGATACTCGCGCGGCTCGCCGTGTTTCGGACGAGCGAGAGGGCGACAAAGAGAGCCGTCGCGCCATTGTGGTTACAAGTAGCGAAGATCGCAATCGCTTCCCTCTGGCTTGACGCGCGCGCCAGGGAGTTTTACAGACAAAAGGCTCGAGCAGAAAGAGGTCGTCCACACGCGCTTATCGCTCCTCCTTTCTTTCGACTATTGCACCGATTCGCGAGTGGCTTTTTTTCCCTCTTTTGTTTTAATTATTACACTGTATTGGACGCTTGTTTTTTGTTGGATTCACAGCCACGCGTATATATTTTGTTTTGCCTATGTTAACGATATAAGTGTTCTTATTGAAATAACGCACCTTAATTACATTTCTAAAACGATATATTTTTTTAAATTTCTTTTTTGTTTTTCCTCTTTTGTTTTTTTGGCACATGTCGAACCGTCGTGTTCTCTCTCCGTCGAGGTTCTCGATTCGTTACGTCACGTGTGTGCTCCCCAAGTTTCGTTGCCTTTTCGGTTACGCACTGCTTTTCGTATTCCCTGCTGCTCGTCGGCAAATAGTTTGTTAAGTCCCTTCGCGATCGTTTTGTTTGTTTTTTTTTCTTATTTGTCAGTCACTTGAAGCGCCTTTCGTTCGCCGCACCTTCCGGTTTCCTCGCGTGGCGCACGCCGTTTCACTCTCCGCAGCTTCCCCGCGCGTATTGCTCTCGCGATATACATCTTGGAATTCGGAATGGCATGCGGCTGAGGGGGTAAGCTGCGGTGTAATTAACGCGCGCGCGCGTCGACGACGGAGCGGCCCGTCATCCTCGAAACCATCTCGACGGTGGCTCTCGTGGTAAGAAAAACTACGTGCGCCTATGTGGGTCAAACGCGACAAAGGTATTCGGTCGAAGGGCGACGGGTGGATGAGTGGGCGGGCGATTGGGGGGGGGGGGGGGGGGGAAGAGGGAAGACTCAACAAATGATGTCTTAGCAAAGCAGCGACGACGCAGCGCCGGAGGTCGCATTCGCGGTAGTCGCGGCACTGGCAGCAGCGCTGGTTCTTTGTCGCAGCTCCTGATAAGGCGGCGGCGACGGCGAGGACGACGAGAAGGTCGACCACGTCGCTGTGGCCGATAGCACTTCCGTCGCTATCGGTCTTCGCTGCTGCTGCTGCTGCTGCTGCTGATGCTGCTGCTGTTGCTGCTGCTGCTGCTGCTGCTGCTGCTGCTGCTGCTGCTGCTGCTGCTGCTGAGGCTGCATCTGATGTCGCGATGACGAAGGCGTGTTCATATTGATAAGCGACTTCGGTGACGACTCTTCCGCGTTGCGCGAGCCAGACGCCACGCACTGCCGATGCGGCTGCTGCTGTTGTTGCTGTGACGAGGCGCCTCCCCCTTGCGAGGAGGCGCCGTCGTCTGATCAGAGCACCTCGTTGTCGAACATCGCCAGCGAACGTGTGATTATCTCGTCCTGTTTTTGTCAAACAACATCAGCGGCGAATCAAGATTTGAGATCGATGGGAAGGGCAAGATAACTGTCGCGACTTTTGGCCGCGCGCGCGCGCATTAAAACTTTGACCCGTTTCCTCTCCCGATAGCATTAACGTCGCTCCGTATTCGACGGTGAAAAATTCGAAAGCGCAAAAACTGGACGCTCGCCAAAAAACCAGCAAGGGAGAAAAAAAAAACAAGAAGAAGAAGCAACCGTGCTTTTTTACTTTTGGTGGTACTTGCGCTCGTTCGAAGCACGCGACGTATTTTATACGTTCTCCCGCGAGGCAGCTTCTAATTGTGACAGCTCGGTCTTTTCCGAATGTAACGGCGCTCGACTAACGAGCGGAAGTATTCGTTAAAGATGCGTTTCGAAAGCTATCGCACCAACGCGAGGCACCGCTGGGCGGCTCGGTCACCTTCAGACAGCTTTCCATGAACTCCTCGATGGTGATGACGCCGTCCTGATTGAGGTCGAGCTTGCGAAAGACCCGGTCGAGCTGGTCCCTCGCCTGCCTCTCCTCGGTCTCGCGGTGCTTGCGGCCCATGAGCTCGTGCACCGCGGATATGACCTCGCCGAGCTCGCCGCGCGTGATGCAGCCGTCGCCGTTGATGTCGTACAGCTTGAAGGTCCAGCGCAGCTTCTCGTAGATGCTGCCGCGCAGCAGCGTCGACAGCGTGACCAGCAGATCCTGCGGATGGGCCAGAGAGGGGGAGCAATTAGTGCGCTGCGCTGCGCTACGACGGGCGCGCCGCTCTCTCTCTCTCTCTCCCTCTCTCTCTGGCTCTCTCACCCTGAAGCTTATGGCGCCGTTGCAGTTCACGTCGAAGGCTCGGAACACGTAGTGGGCGTACAGGCTCGAGTCTGGAAGGAGACGTTTCGCCGGTTGAGGCGGCTGCGGTCGGGAAGCGCGACGCCGCTCGGTCGTCGCTCCGCGTCGTCGTGGCGCGCCGAGAGGCGGTCGCGCTTCCCTCTCGCTGGTCCTTCTTTCCCCCCTCCGCCCAGAGCCTCTCTCTTTCGCTAGCTCACCGCGGCTCTATTTTCGGCTTAGAACAACAAGAGCAACACTCACTGCCGTGCGGGAAGAACTTGGCGTAGATGTCCTTGAAGCAGTCCTCGTGAACGAGACCCTCAGGACACTCCTGCAACAGGCAACGAAGCCACGGATGACAAGTGGATTCGCCGAGCCAGAATGCGGGTACCGCACACCATACCGACGGCTGCCTTCGAGGCCTTCAGGTGCCCATGCCCTTCTCGTTCGCTCTGTCCCGGGCCGATTTATCGCTCGGCGTCTATTTCCGCGGCTCTTTCGCTCAGCCCCAACGGCTAATTGCGCGCCGGCAGTTTGTTTACATTCCGAAGCTGTGAATCCGGTGCTCCTTTCTTTTTTCGGTGTTTGTTTGATCGCGATGGGCCACGACCGCGGAGAGGCGGAAAGTTTCACTTTTGGATCGGCGTGGGTGTCGGTACCTCCGTCCTCGACTGGCACGATCGTCGCGCGCGCCTCTCTCTCTCTCTCTCAAACGCGCCTTTCCGATCCGAATGCGGAGCCTCGGCGCGATTGTTTGCAGGCAGTAAAGCCGCGCGCCGCTCGCAGATTCGAGGAGGAAAGCGAGAAAGAGAGCGGCGGCAAACAATCGACATCTCGAGGAGCGCCACTCGAGAATCGAGAACGCTCGGGAAAGTGCACTTCGGGGCGAACCCATTCGAGGCGTGGGCTGGCGAACGGGCGCGTTATCGCCAGCGCACGAGGGCGTTTCTCGCTCTCTCTCTCTCGCTGCGCGACTCCCGTTTTCTTTCTCGGCCTCATCGCGAATGATCCGATAGCCCGTCGAGAGTATCGATCGCCGATGTATTTCGAGCCCCGCCAACACCCACTTGGCGCGGAGGGAAAAGGAAAATAAGCGAACTGCCCAGATGCTCGGAGGAGACGAGGCTACTACCCACGGAAATCGATCGTACGCTGCGGGCCGAGGACGTCGACTGGGACTCCGGCCGGGTGGAAGACCTGACGACCCTGTCCCTGCGCGCGTTCGCGAAGCGCTGGCTCGCCGAGCCGATCGATCTCGAGGACCTGCCCAGTCTCGAGGACCGCGATCACCTGCTGGAGTTGCTGCCACTGGACCTGGCTTTCGAGGCGGCGATCAAGCTGCTCCCCTACGAGCACTACTGGAGGCGCGCTGCCGAGGCGAGGTGCGTTTCGGGGGGTTCGGCCGATGGCGCAATTACAACGCGGCGTCGCGCCTCAGGTGGACGGTCGCCGACGCCAGCGCTCACGGCGGCTCTTGGATCCGGCTCTACTGCGAGCGCCACTTGTCGGAGCACCTGCAGCGACTCGAGCCGGCCCACTTCGCCGAGCGTCTGCCCGAGGAGATGGAGCTGCTCGAGCTCGCGCGGCCTCACGTGCGCGCACTCGAGCTCCGCCAGCTGCTGCCACTCAGGCGAGTGCCGTCCCTACACCCCCCGGAGACTTTCTCTCTCTCTCTCTCTCTCTCTCTCTTTCTTTCCTTCCGACGTGGCGAGTCGACGTTGCAGGGCGGAGGAGGAGGAGCAGGCGCGGGCGGAGATGCGCGAGCCGGAGTACCACCACGTGCCGCTGGACCTGGTGCTGCCGCGGCTGTCGGAGCTGCGCGAGATCTCCGTCAACGTCGGCGTGATCTACGCGGACGACGGCGTCGAGTGGCGCGACTTCGAGTGAGTTGCCCGCGGGCCTCGTCCACGGCGGCGCCGCCCTACTGCACGCACGCGCAGATTTTCAGTGGAGGACAGCGCGAAGCTCGGCCGCGGCGCCAAGGACCTGCCCCACCTGCGCAAGCTATGCCTGACGAGGAGCAGCCTGACCAGGGCCCGAGCCGCCGCGCTCCTGCAAGGCCTGGCCGCCAGCGAGACGGTGAGCGCCACGCGCCACGCGCCGCCCGGGCGACTCCGCGCGCCAAAGGGCCACGCGCGACGAGTCTCGCGCTTTCAGCTGGAGCATCTGGACCTGTCGCACTGCAAGCTGGGCGACGACGGAGCCGCGGCCGTGGGCGGCTATCTCAGCCGGCTGGAGGCGCGCCAGCGGCTCCGGCATCTGCGACTGACCAACAACGGCGTCGGGTCCGAGGGCGTCGCGGCGATCGTGCGCGGACTGCTCGTCGGCGGCGGTCGGATCCACCACCTGGACCTGAGGCTGAACCCGGTCGGCGACCGAGCCGCCGAGCACCTGGCTGCGCGTGAGTCTCCCCGTCGCAGTAGCGCGCTGTCGAGCGGGTCGCGCGACCTTCGCCGCGGGCAGCGAGACAACGAAAGGAGACCCATTTGTCAACGTCCTCGCGCAGTGCTGCTCCGCTGCCGCACGCTGACGCACCTGAACCTGAGCGGATGCAGCTTGGCGGCCGACGCGGGGATGTCCATGGCCGAGGTGCTGGCCTCGGGTCGACTGCCGACCGACCGGCTCGCGCTCGACTGCTCCAACAACGACTTGGGCCCCGTGGGTACGACGCGCTGCCCGCTCGCGCCCCTGCTTCGAAGCCCAAAGGACGTGCTTTCTTTCAGTGGGCGAAGCCTTTGAAGTCGTCGCCGAGTCGTGTCCGCAGCTGACCGACCTGGACGCGCGGATGTGCGGCTTCCACGGCGAGTCCGAGTTCGCGATCAGCCAGAGCGTTTACAGGTAAACGGACGGTCGTTACGACACGTGAAAACACGCGGCGACAATCCAATTTCCGAGCGGCGAATCGACGTCGGCGCGGCTTTGACCGTTTCTAGCTCGCGAGAGCTGTGCACGCCACCCTCAATTTGTAAGGAAAACCTTCGTGTTTTACGCGATTTGTTTCTGCTTTCTTTACGCGGCGGCGATGTACTCCCGGCAAGGGCTTATCGGCTAGTGGCGAACGCTGTACAACCAATTACAGCGAACGTTACCCAACCGAGTTGGAGGGCACGCGCGCGACGAAAGACAACTCGTCGGGGGGTGATGCAAACTCGGACGGGGGTCGCGTCCGCGGGCGCATGCATCGCGGCGCGTTCTGGCGACAAGCCAAAGGGCGTGCTGCGCTTTCCGCGGGAGGATTGATTCTGTATAACGGGTCGGCCGCGCGATTAACGATAATCGCGACCACGACGGCGACCAGCAATCCATCGCCTACATGTCCCGACACTTTCGTGCGTCTTCGTCCTTTTTTCTTTCCCCTTTTCTTTCCTTTTTCTTTTCGAATCCGTTCGATGAGATTGAAATCCGCGGAGGTCGATGCAGAAGTTTTCGGGCAGCGCAGAACTTTCAGACTCGTAATTGTTGTTCTGAAGTTTCTCGCGGCTGTGCGCGGATCGACCGAAGGGAGAAAAATGCATTCTCGAGCGAATGGACGTATGTCTGTGTGTGTGCGTGTGACCTTACGCGAGAGAGAAAAGGAATTTCGTCGTGAAATAACATTTTATTCGTGTATGTACAACAAACGTACGAAAAGAAAAAAAACTGTTTTTTATGCCACACTCTCATCGTCAAGTCTTGTCTTCTTATCCTCGCGACAGCTTTCAACAGCAGCCTCCTCCTCCTCCCCCCTCTTCCTCTTCTTGTGCTTATTCTGATTTCGCTCCTGCTTACTTGACTGTCTGTGCTCTTGGATGATAGTCGTGGATCTAGTGCCGGGACCCCAATGCGCAGTCGGGTTCAGCTGGAATCTCGTTAATTTTTGCCTCTGCGAGAACGGCACGGCGTCGGCGTGTCTCTGGAATGACACTTGAGTGACGGATTCGCCATTGAGTATCGCTAAACCAGCGCTTGCCGCTTCCAACTTCTCCCTTTTAATTGGATTCCCTCTCTCCAACGCGCGCACAATGTCCCAGATCAGCTGGTTGGGTGCATCTGTCTTGATGGAAGTTTTGTGAGCGTGAGAGTATGACACTCGGTAGCCCGCGTTCAATATCGCCGAGCGGAACTGGATCATCGGCGGCACTTGCAGTTTTACCACGGACGTCAGTCTGTCTAACTGATAGTACAGCGGAATGTCAAGCTCCTCGTTCACCACGTGCAAGATACCTTGAATCCTCCTGACGCAAGCTAATTTCTTCAAGTGATTGTCCTCTTCACTATCTATTGCGTTCAATATCTTCTGCACAAAATCTTTGTTGTGCAAAGGTCCGGTCCATATTGGGCCACCCATGTGATGCTTGTGCTTGCAAAACGAGCACAACTTATCTACCACGGGTGCTTGAGGTAATTTATGCGTGTTCTTCTCGTTTGTTGTACCTAGTGGCTGAATTGTTATGCTCTCACAGCCAACGCACTGATATACCAGTCCTAAATTACTAGTATTGCGTTTACATGCCATTTGACTACTATGTAGTTTGACGAACACTCTGATATAGAAATCAGCACTGATAGAGAGCACTGGCACGATGACTTTTCCATACCTTCCAGCATGACTAGCAATGTGCTGCAGTAATATCCTCAAAGCCATCTCGTGACAAGATTTACTCTTCAACGACACAGCACCATACTTTACGTAACAGGTCTCTGGAGAATTACCAGCCAGCACAGCCATATCGGTGGCAGTGACCAATAACAATCCATTGTCTTTCAAGCACTGCACAGCTCCATCCAGGAATGTGGATGGACAGCCGTATGGATCCAAATCAACCACATCGAACTTTGTCTTTCTATTCTGGTACATAACCATCGTGGCATCGTCGTTGTGTGGCTGTACAATATTTTCAACCTCGTTGTAAGCTACATTCCTCTTGATAGCCTCAACTGCTTGAGCAGAGATATCATTTGCCACAATTATATTAATACCTGGCACTTCCTTGGCATATCTGATGCTCCGCAGACCTGTTGCCGACAGAGCTTCTAATATCCTTAAGCCTTCCGCTGAATTCTCATTCTTGGCACCTTTCTTTTTCTCACACTCACTGTTGCTCCTCTCTTTGGAGTATTCGGTGAGCACGGCTATGCTCAAGTCGCGATTGAACTGCTGCACCGGATTGTAAAACACGTTCTTTTTCTCCAGCAGAATCTTTGCCTTGCCCTCCGTCAACACGTCCGGCTGTATATTTTGTTCGTTGTTGTCCGCCGTCGTCGACTTATCCATTATTAGTCACACCGGGCGCTCGTGTATTATTCTCGCGTCAAGCCGTCCTAACCTAGCAAGCATGTTTCGGATACGTATCGATCTATGAGCATTGCGCGTGCGAGGTTGAGCTCTGTGCCGCACGGCAGCGAGCGTGGCAGCGAGCGCGGCGCGGAAGAGAGGGGGAGGGGGCGGCGGAGAGGGAAAAAGCTCTCCGCACGGAAATTCGAACCGCGTTCGCGGCGGCTGTTTTTTCCCTGCGAGCTCGATCCACGGACTTGGCTTATCCGCCGAGGATTTATACGGTCTCGCGATTAAGCGACGTAGCAAATTCAATATAGCCCGGCTGGCGCTCGAAATTATGCGGAGTCATGAGACGCGAGCGGATAGAGAGAGGTTTAATAAAGCGAGAGACACAAAAAAGACGAGTGCTTTACGATAACGGCCCGCGAGAATGTGGGTCGTCGCCAATTGGAAGCGAGACGCGTATATCGACGACTGTTCGCGCTGCTGTATGCCAATGCGCTCTCCTTTTTCGGCGAGACAGAGAGAAAGAGAGAGAGAGAGAGAGAGAAACGAAGGTCGGAGGTTGCGCATTTTGCTTCGCTAGCTCGCGAGGACGACGAGCGCGATGCGGTCGAACACACACCTGTCACGGAAAACGAAGGCGATTGTTTTGGATCCGTCCGGAAAATCAAAGTTTTCCGAAAGAGGGACACTAAACTCGTTGACTAAGGCCACGGCATCGACGAAGGGAGAGCTCCGAAACGGGCCGCAGGCTCGCGCCACGGACAAAGCGACGACGGCGAATTCGAGGCACTCGGCTTGCGACCGAGGGGGCAATTAACGCGGGCGGAGCTCAACGTAATCGGCCTCGCGTGGGCTAATTCAATTCTGTTCATATTCAATGCAAATTCCATGCCCTGCGGATTTGTAGTCGCTCGGCGCGCGCAAGAGGGGACCTCGGATCGTCTAGTCGCGCGACCGCCGAGGTGTTCGGCTTCGGGCGCGGGTACTGCGAGGCGCGTTCGGTGATTCCCTCGACGACGGGCAACGGCTGTTCGAGCACTCGAGCGGACCGCGAGGTTCCGCCCGATCACCGACAGAATCTACGATAGGACGGGGGAGAAAAATTTATGCCCCGCGTAAACGGGCGCCGCGGGCGCACCGTTCCGAGGTGACAATCGACCCGACGCTCGCAGGAACCGATCGGCGATGCAGAGGAGAGCGGAAGCCCGCGGGCGTCGGAGCAGCGACCAACCCGGCGGAGGCGGCGGCGGGGCGCGCCGCCCGACTCTGCGAGCCCCGACGGCGTACGAGCTGTACCAGCGCCGCCGGCCCGCCGAGCACGCGGGTGAGTACGAGGTCGGCGGGCGCGCCTAATCTGACCCGAAAATCGGCGCGTCGCGTGAGCGCCGAGCGTTTCGGCGCGAATTAATCGCGGTGGTTTCGCAGCCGCGCCAGCGGCGAGCACGGCGCTCGCCGCGTCGGAGGAGCAGGAGGAGCCGCGCGAGCAGCCGGACGAGCAGGAGGAGCAGGAGGAGGAGGAGCGAGAAGAGCGAGCGGGCCCTTGAGCAGTCGGCGAGGAGGGCGGCGCGGAAGGAGAGGTGCAGCTCCGCGCCGATGGCGCACGTGCGCGAGACGTCTCTCTGGTGAAGCGCGGCCCGTCGAGAAATTATTCAGCGACCGTCCGTGAATGGCTCGGCTTGGAGCGGCGCGCGAGAGCGCGAGAGAGAAAAGCGGGAGAAAGGAAAACACAGAAGTGAAAAAGAGGAGAAGGTCATTGTCCATATAAATAACATCGATCGTCGCCGCGCGCGCTCAATGAAGGCTGCGCGCGCCGCTGACGTCAGGTGGCACGGCCGAGACGCGCTCGCTCGCGCTAACGAGGAGGCCTCTTCCGAGGGCCGCCAAGACGCGCGGTCCGGCGAGATCGATAAGCGCGGCTGGACCGAGGCTCTCGCGGCTGTTCACCGCGCGGACGAGCTCGCCTCGTTCCTGCGGGCGCGTTCGGGGGTCGTCGACGTCGAGACGGCGGTTCCGATCGGCGCGCGGGACGAGGCGACTGCATGGAAAGCCCGAACCGCGAGGCAGAAGCGCGCGCAATCGATCATCGCGACGCGGAGGCGGGAGGGAGGACAGGCGAGCGGCTCGAGGTCACCCATTAAAACTTGCAATCGACGGCCTAATTGAGCCGTGGCGCGAAGGCCCCCCCCCCCCCAGCCCATTGCCAACCAATTACAGTTTTTTCACCGTGCCCCTGCGTCCATCCGCCGCCGAACGGGCTATTTCCTGCTTTCCCTTGTCGTTTCCTCGCGGCAACTCGGCTGTCAAGACGTAGCGCGCCTTGTGTTCTCGGCGAGCCCTCGTGTCACCCGCGCGGCAGTTCGCCCGAAGCGAATACGCTTCCTTTCGGGCGAACGTTAACGAGCGAGATTTATCGGGAAAAGTTTTACGAATCGAAACGTTAATGACTTCGCCGAGTTTCCGGAATGGGCCGAGCGCGCTTTCATTGCAAATGGAATCGCACCGGAAGTAGCCGTCGTGGGTGTACCTGGATCTCTAGGGACTGCGTGCTTTGATCGTTATTATCGAACTTTTCCCACTAGCGCCGCATTCGATTCGCGCGACAACGCAACTTTATCGGCAAATCGCTCAATCGTATTGCGAAAAGAACGCGTGCTCCGCAATAAATTTGCTGAGTAAACGCGTGTGTGCGTGTGCTTACTTCCGTTGCGTGCCTACAAACGTTCACGACTGAAGAAAAATCAGTCGAACGACGAACAGTGCCTCGTATTTTTTTGTCATGCGCAAATCTTGAAAATTGATTGGCGATCGACGAAACTTTCTTTGCTCCTTAACTCTGTTTCGCGCTATTGGACAAGAAGTCTCGTTTTAACAGTTTTCATTTTGAAAGAGAAAAAAAAAAGAGCGACCACGCGACCGGAACGAATTCATCAGCCAGCGTGACAAATTCAATTTCGGATCACGAAGAGGAAGCTATAGGTTCGTGCCAGCGTCGAAAGTGTAACCTCGACGCCGTGAGACTCGCCCGGATAAGTATCGCCGGCCGTATTTTATACCCGAGCCGGAATGCGGCGTCGCAAACATTACTCGCCTCTCCAAACGTAATCCTCGCGGAGTCGATCATTCCGCTCGCGCGCACCCCCCCCCCCCTCCACCCCCTCATTTAAATCTCGACTCGCGTCGCAACGAAAGAGCGCGGAAACGCTCGCTCGCTTTTGTTCGCGTATTTTGTAATCGACGAAGCGAACGTTTCCCCCGAGGCTCGTGGGAACGCAGTGGAGGACGACGGATATGCCACCTGTTCGTCGGGGATTTTTCGGTCGAGCGGCGGCGGCGCGAATGGAGAGGGTCTCGAGCGGCGAAGTCGCGACGCGACTAATTGAGAAAGAACCGAGCGGAGTGGTCGCCCGAGGCTGCACGCGGACGTTATCTCGCGTGGCGCTCTCGAGATAAAGACAGAGAGAGATAGAGAGAGAGAGAGAAAGGAAGGGAGAGAGCGACGCGACGATCGCGATCAGCCGGCCGTCGGCGCCCAGCTTCGGGCCGGCGCGAGTCGCGTGCTCGCGGACAGTCGGGCCTCGAACCTCGCCCGCGTCCTTGGCCCCGCTTTCGGCGGAAGGATGCGCGGCCGCGCCCACTGCCCCCACCCCCGCCAAGGGCAGCGCGGACGCGCACGCGAGGCTGGGCCCGCTCGTCCCGCGGGCTGCGAGGAACGCCGCGGGGCGACCCGCCGCTATTTATAGCGCCCGCCCGCCCGACCCCGATTCCTATCGGCGACGACTCGCTTTGGCGCGGCCTATCTGCCGCCGACGATCGCGCGCGAGCGGAAACGGCTGCGTTACGAGCGGCTTATCCTTCGCTAAGTGGCGCGTTCGAATTAACCCTTCCGCGCCCGGCCGGCCTTCCCCTCCCCTCCCGCCGGCACTCGCCGCGCCCGAGAAATTTACGAGCTCGCTCGGCGGCGGCCGTCGGAGCGCTCCATTGAGCGCCCTGGGCGGGGACGCGCGATCGGCGAGAGGGAGAGGCCGTCCGGGAAGCGGCGCCCGATCGACCGCGATCGACGAAACGGGGAACACCGCGGCCGCGACTATTCATGGGTGGCGAGGCGAAGGTCGCGCTCGCGTCTCCCCAACCCCGGCGAAGGCGCTCGGGCGCGCCCGACGGAGCCCGGGCGCCGAGTCCCGGCGGCGATCGCGGCCGAGCGCGAGCCGTTCCCAGCCGGCCCGCGCCGGCACGTCGCCGGATCGGCGCGCGCGGCCACGTGGCGGGGCATGCGGGAGGCACTGACCTGCTTGAATCCACGGTACATCACGCGAATCTCCTGCCTGGAGAACTTGGTCTGGCGGAGCAGCTCCTCGAGGGCGACGGGCCTGGTGGTCTGCTGCCTGGCGCGCGCGCTCTCGAACTCGTAGAGCGCCTCCTCGGGGCCTGGCGAGTCCGGTGGCGTGGCCATGATGTCGCGTCGGCCGACGGCGACGGGGACGCGCGGCGCCGCCTCCTATCGGCCCATCGCGCTCGACGCCGACTCCTCTCTGCGGCCTGGCCGCGCTGATCAACACAGCACACGCTTCAGGTTAGTCTCCGCGCGTCGCGGCGGCCGACGGAGAAAGAGAGAGGAAGCTCGCGAGCGCGGCGCCGAGGGTCGTTCCCGTCGGCCGGTGGTCCGGCCCGCGAGCGAGCGGAGAGCCCTCGGTCGCTCGGCGAAAGACACGGGAAGCCCATCGAAATCAACCTAGAGTATACTCGACGATCATCCGCGGAAAGGGTCGACCCTCGATTCCTCGATTCTGGCACCCGTCGCCACCGCTGGCCGTCCAAATTGACCTGTCGAACGAGTCGCGACGCTGTCAAACGGGATCCCCGTGCGAGTATGAAAGAAAGGTGGCTGTGGCAAGCCCCGTGTGCGTCGTCGCGCTCGCGCAAAAGCTCTCTCCCTTCGTTTTCCCCCTTGGCGCGCTCTTTCTCGCTCTCTCTCTCTCTCTCTCTCTCTCTTTCTCTCTTTGACGGTGTTCATCTCGCGCGCTTGCGTCACACTCGCACACGACCAGGGAGAGAGAGAGAGAGAGCGCGCGCGCGCGCGAGTGAAAATAGCGAGCGTTGTCGGCTGGTGTTTCAAGGGATGCCACACACGCGCGCGCACGGACAACAGGTTCCTGGCTGCGCGAGGTGCGTGTGCGAAATGGAGCACGAAGGTGCTGGCCTGTCCTTCCGCGTGCGTGTGCGCGACTTTCGGCCGCGGATCGCCGAGCGGTGCACGCGCGCCACCAGCTCCTCTCGCGCTCTCTCTCTCTCTCTCTCTCTCTCTCTCTCTCTCTCTCTCTCTCTCTCTCTCTCTCTCTCTCTCTCTCTCTCTCTCTCTTTCAAGTCGATATTATCGGGAAAAAAGAGCGAGCGCGCGTACGTGTGTTGGCGGGCACCCCGTAACCTTCGCCTCGTTCGCGACAGAAAAGAGCGAGGAGAACTCCGTCGTCGTCGTCGTCGTCGTCGTCGTCGTCGTCGTCTTGCTCGCCCGCTCGCTCGCTCGAGACTCACCTGCGTGGCGCGAGCAATCGATCACACGCACGCACTGGTTGGCGCGAGCAGCAGCAGCAGCAGCAGCAGCAGGTGCCTGTGCCACGGAGAGCAGCCTGTCTCTGCCGCGCCGCCGCCGCCGACTCTCGCTCGAGCTCTACTGATCGCGGCACGACGCCGCCGCCTCGCGGGTGTTTCCCCAGAGCCGCCCCTCTCCCCGCCCCTCCTCCCGCCCGCAGCACCGGTGCTCCCCTGCACGCCTCCTCGGATGTTGCACTGGCTGCCGCCGCGCGCCCTGCACTCTCTCTTGCTCTCGCGCGCGCTCTCTCCTTTGAACTTTCCGCAACGATGACTGTCTCGCGCGCGCACGCCAATGACGATGACCGTCGGCACCGAGGGTCGTGCTGTTTCGCTGCTCCTTTCCGCAACGCACGCTTCCACGCAGGTGTCAAATACATGCGTGTACGCCTCGCACGGGAACACCGGAGCGATTCCCGTCGATCGGCTCTCCCTTTTGCACTCTTCGCTTTCCATACGCGATTGATTCGCCGACGCGACCGTGGCAAATGAGAGATATGCGGACGACATCGCGGATTTCAATTGTACGTACGGAGCGCAAATTCATGATCGACGTGATCTCGCGCCTTTCGCGTTGGAGTGATGTATCGACGCGCGGTACCGGACGATTTCTGACTTATCGATAACTCGTGTGCACTGTGGCAATATAGAGCGGCACTTACGGTACAAGTGTTGATATCGGAGCAGATCAGAGTATTGAGTAGGTTGATACTGATCGTCGAGGAATAGTCGAACCCGACTGACTGATTATTCAAAGAACAAGTTTACTTTCTCTCAAGTGTGCTTGAAGATCTTTTTTCAAAGATGAACTTTTTGTCCCGTTCAAAATTTTTCGGTGAGAAGAGTGGATCGATGATTCGGAGTTTGGCGAACACGTACAGAGGTTAGTTTTTTCAGAGTGCATTTTATATGACAACGTTGATTTAATTGTTCTATTACAGTATTGGAACAAACACAACAAAGGACAGAGCACACACGAACAACACATGATACAGATGAGGTATGCACGCAAATAATTATCATTTGTAAGTTGCTTTTCTAAATACTGCACTGCATTTACAGCCAATCATAATGAGTAATCCATTTAAAAAAGAAAAAAAAGTTTGTATACTGTGTAAATACAACATAGAACCAGATTACAAAAATGTCAGACTGCTGTCACAATTTCAAAGTAGATACACAGGTAGAATTTATGGAAAACACATTACAGGCTTGTGTAAGAAAAAGCAACAGCTAATCGAGAGAGAAATTGAGAAAGCTCAGAATGCAGGTTTGTGCCTATATTTACAAGGTATATGTGAATCGTTGGCTGACTTTGACAGCATTATTAATTTTGCAGGTATGATGCCGTACTATTACAAGGAGATCTCCTACATACACGACCCAAAACTCTTTGACATAGACAATCCATTCAGGCCTCACAAGTACTAAACGCTATTGTTGATGATTGCCTCATTGTTTTTCATGTATATAATGTATCTCCTTATTACAAATAAATTTCTCTAATCGTATTGTATAAAGGCAAGTTTATTATACACAAAAGGGAAAAGTCAATGTTATTGGGCGTAACCCCGAGAGATGGCGCTGCCTCTGTCGATAGACCGACGCGTTTTAAATCGGTTTGTTGTGGTTTCTCGTCGTCGCGTTAGCAATAGCAGCATAAGCAAGTGTAACGTATACAAGTGCGAGATGCAAAAATGCTGGATCTCGTCGACGATGCTGAGTTGTTCACTCAGCTCTGTCACAAGCACGGTATCCTCGTCGAGTCCGACGTCGTCAATGCGGTCAAGTTGAGCTGGTAATTGCCGTTGTTGACTTTTCTCTCATTGTCAGTTTTTCCAAAAAAAAATATTAATTCTTTTAGCACTACGGGAATCCTTCGCCTTACGCACACGTCGGTCCTGGCGAACCTCTGCGACGTATTGGCTCAAGTGCTGAGCTCCAGTTCGAGCATCAAAGTCCTCGACTTGAGCGACTGCATGCTGCTGCCTAAAGGGCTGACGAGGATCTTCAAAGCCCTGTGCGGTCCTTCGAGCGTCAGTTCGCTGTACCTTCGTGGCAACAACATCGGCGGCGATTTGGCCGAGGAACTCGGCGAAACTCTCGCGAAGAACAACAGCGTCCGAGTTTTACACGTTGAATGGAACAATCTGGGCTCGCGGGAGGACTCGTTTGGCAAATTCTGCGACGGCCTGGCGCGGAACCACTGCGTGGAGGAGCTGGATCTGAGGTACAATCAGGTGTCGACTCTGTGCGCCGATGCGCTCGCGGACGCGCTGAGAAAGAATCGAAGCTTGCGCAAGCTCAACTTGGAGTGGAACTCGCTGGGTAGGTTTCGAGCGAGCTGCTGATGCTTTCCGCGTGACTCGATCGCGTACTGATTCGAGCGGCGCATTGCAGGGACGACGGGCGGTCAGAAGCTCCTGCAAGCACTCGGGCACAATACCAGGCTGACGTCCTTGTCGCTGAAAGGGAGCTGCGTGCCGAGCGACATCTGCTCGGCGATCAACGACAAAGTCAGCGAAAACCTGGAGAAGCAGGTGCTCTTCCAGTCGCCGTTGGCGCGGGATCAACGACTACGGTCGCCGATCGCCGCGCGAGGAGGTAGCGTGCTGCACTCGCCGTCGCATTCGAGCGAGGAAGGCGCGGCAACGTCGAGGTCGCAGAAAAAAAAACGCGGCGACAGGCCGGCTCCTGCTGCGCCGTCGGGAAACGAGGATAGCAACGGCCTCGACGACAAACTCGAAGGCTTGAATAAGATTCTGAAGGAGCGGTCGGACAGCATAGATCGGTTGAAGGCAGAGTTGGAAGGCAAGAGTACCGAGCTGGAAGCGAAAAGCGCGGAGAACCAAGAGTTAAAGGCCGAGATTCGGAAGCTCCAAGAAGAGCACGAGAAGGTTTCGCAGGAGAAGCTGAAAGAAGTCGACAGTCTCAAGAGAATTCACGCGAAGGCCGAAGCCGCTTGGAAGGAATCTTACCGCGAACTGGAAGAAACTCTGCAGACGACGTTCGCTGCGAAAACCGACCTGGAATCCAAGACGCGCATCCTCGAGAAGGACTTGCGCAAGTGCTCGTTGGAGCTGCAGTCGACCAAAGATAAATTCACGTCGACGATTCGAAGCTACGAGGATTCGATGTCGGACTGCAAGCTGGAGGCTTACCGAGCGAAGCGCGAGTTTCAGGAACGCGAGGCGCACTGCAAAATCGAAGGCGACGCGCTGAAGAAGAGCTTGAAGGAAACGTCCGAGGCGTTGGAGAAGTGCCAGCAGCAGTTGCAAAAGCTGCGGGACGAGCTGAGGGAATCGTTGGAGGTACAGGCGAAACTGAAGATCAGGACCGACGAAGCCGAAAGAGTTGCCTCGAGGACTGCCAGAATCGAGGAATCGTTGAGGAAGTGCCGAGAGGATAGGGACGCGGTTGAGGCAAAGCTGCTCGAGGCGAGGAGTACAGTTGCGACGTTGCAGAAACAGGTGACCACCTTATGCACATATTACACATATTTCTGCATGCGAGTGGGCTCTTGAACATACGGCTGGTTTCTCAATCGTAACGCTAACAGGCGCACGAAGTAGTGCGGTGCGCAGCGTCATGACGGCTACTTTTACAAAGATAACACTGGCCCACCAATTTTAAACGAGAAACGAAACCTTATCGGCTCGAAAGATTTTGGTACGCTAAATCCCGATTTGGCCTCACAATTTACCCTACACGTCAGGTTACCGAGATATCCTAACCTCATAATTTTTTTTTCTGAGATATCATTCAGTGAAGTTAAGTATTTTCGCGTTTTCATAACAGTAGTACTAAAATTCATATAATTTCTTCAGCAAGCGGATGTAATGTTTCCATGTTTTTTGGGCTGGCCAATCAAAAACTGACCTCCAAATTATCCTATCATTTTTTCGATCTACCACATGCGACTTTTGATTGTCGAAAAATCAATAAATCGTGAATAATGCAGATAATACGCCTGCAAGAAGAATCCATTGAGCCACAAAAGCGATATGACTCGGTCAAGTTGGAGCTTCAACTCGAGCGTGAAAAGTCGTCCAATCTGACCGTGGAATTGCAAGCCGAGAGGGCGAGGATGAGGGAGCAAACCGAGCAAATGCAGAAAATGTTGGGTCAAGTGAACGCATTGTACGCGCAGCTGAGCGAAGAGCAGAGAAGTCACGCCGAGAAATTGAGGGAGAAGGATAAACAGATTGATAAAACGAAGGATGCTGTGGCACTGAAGGCAAGAGAGTTGAGTGAGTTTAAGTGAGTAAATGTTGATTACTACAAAAAAAGTTTGACATTTAAAAATAAATCGTATTATTCGATTTCTATCAACTTTATCGAAAGACTTTGGTTCTACACTAGGATGTGCATTTTCTTTTATAGGGCTGAACAAATTCGAAAAGCACAACAATTTCAAGCTGCCGTAAACAAGTATTTGGGTTCTTTTGGAACTACCGTAGCCATCACTTGAACAATCCAAAATACACGTATAATAATTTTTCACTAAAAGTGATATTTGATCGACAAGAAATATTTTTTGATATATGTATTTTACTAAACTATTTTATGTATTATACAGAAAAGGTACATAAGAAGATATTCTTGTGTTCATTAGTTGAGGTGTAAGTTAAGAATAATAATAGTAATCATGAAACGGACAATAGTGAATAATATATAAAAAGTTGTTAGTTAATAAATTTTTCATTTAAATACATCTTTTTTGTTAGAAATACCCTTCCTCAGATTAAATTCTTCGTTATAACGATGTCACGGTAGCTCAATAGGCAATTAAGAGCTCAAACCTGGCTTAAATGTAATGAAATGTATACCCAACAACTATAAATCAATAAAGCTAAGCTCAGTTGTTCCTTCTAATGGATATACATAGTTAAATTTTAATTAATAAAGTTACATATGCACATGTTTTATAAATACATTTATTTTTCAATGATGTGTTTCGTACTTTTTACTTTTCAAAGTATGCGACTTTGACAACTAGTAAAAGTGATCGAGTATTTCTAGTGACGCCTGTTAACTTCTACGAATTTCATCAGTTCGAATGCAACCAAATGCGTTTATGTAGCGCTGCTCTAATGGTTTGACCATAGGTTAGTCAACCGAAAACCGAAAAATGTATTGAAGAAAATGCTTCTGTGGGGTCGCAGACTTTTCCAAAATCTGCACCGCACATGTTCCTCAACCTTTCTCTCAGTTTTTCCGATAAATCGTAAATCAACTTTTCAGTTGATTTACGATTTATTTTTTATGGTGTCCGACAAGCGATCAGCTCATTGAGCACGTAGTGCAATAAATGACAGCCGAACCTTTTCGACTGGGCCTTTTTTGTAACAGGTCCGCGCGCGCACTTTTTCCCATCATATTTTCATTTTTTCTTTTCCCTCTCCCACGAGCAAAAGCAATAAGTGTTCTCGGAGAAAGTGAGAAGCATCCTTGCATTCCAACTCAACAGTATAGTAATATTATCTATTACCAGTGTGATATAATTATTTATTTCACCCTACGCACCTAAACATCCATTATTTCTCCTTTCGCCAAACGTCCATCCAAAACTTCTTAGCCTGGTGTATCAATATCTCACCACGGTAAAATGGTTATACGTAATTGAGAATGTCAATCTGAAAACAAGAACCTCCAAAGTCAACGAAACTTATCAGGACTAATTCTAAAATCCAAACTAATAGCACATGCGACTTCAAATATGTTAGCACCTGTTGTGTATATGCTGATAATGAACTTGAACTGAAACTTAAATCCAGTCAGTTGTTTTCGCCCACATAGCATAATAGTACAATACCTAATTAGTGCAGGAAAGTAAATTCTTATCTGTATGGTTTACGCTTAAGAGAAGCGAGAATCGAAAGTGATGTACACAATCAGCTTTCTCGATTGCAAGAGGACTGGTTATAAATTTTAAAACTTATTTGATGGAACTGTGGTTTTACTCATTCGCTTGTTTAATTTATTTCACAAAACGAATGTATTTGGTGGATCTAATGATTTATAGATTACGAGAACGGCAGTGTCTTACATCATAGTTGTAGCTTCATTTCGGCAGAGCTAATCAGTTTTCTAAATATGTTCACGATAACAAGAGATCGAAATTTTTTAAGCTTATTCGACTTTTACTTCCAAGGCTTCGAGTACTTAATTAGTCTTCTCTTTTTTACTTCACAGCAATACACTGAATAACCATAGGTGATAAAATCTTTATATTATAGAACGTAAGCATAGTTAAAACAATAAAAATAACTTTTTCTAAAATTAAAAAACTATGTAGTGGCGATACTCAAGGTAGGACGAGTACAGAAAAACAAGACAATAATTACTGATATATAATAAATAGTTATTTAATAATTTACTTCATTTATGCACATCTTATTGCAGTATAAAGTACAACGTTGAAGTAGCCATCGGCTGCCGTTGAGAGTTTTGGCAGTCGGCGATTTGAAAAACTGGCAGTTAACGGCCCGATTCAGTCTATCATCTATTCGTAGCCCTCGTAGAGATCAAGAGCCAGGAATTCATCAAAAAAACATATTTATATCAGGGTTACACGTGTATACAGAGAAAGATTGACAAGTCGATAAAAAAAAACAGAGAAAGATCCTTGTACAATTATTTTCTACTACGTAGTCGTCTCTAATATAGAAACGATGAACTCGTTGAATTTTCGTTACATTCAACGTACAAATTTATGCATCTCTTCGTTTCACACATCAAAAAATAATATCAACAGACCATGTATCAATGTACATATTTTGTTTGTGCGATTGTCAACTTGAGTTTTATGCTTGGGAAAAAATCAGAGGATTATTATGCTCCGAGAAATCGGTCAACTTGATAGTAAATGTTAGATATTGAACCAAGGAGTGAACATTTAGAAATTTAAGCATCTTCAGTAAAGTTGTAAATGAAATCGTAATTAAAAGTAACTGTACGATTGTCATTTGCGGTAAAATAGATAAAATTATAAATTGATTATTTACGATGAAAAAATAGATCTTTTATATTGCACTGGAAATTAATGTTATTTTTTATTGATTATAATGTGTAAATAGGATTTTTCTTTCAAAGTTACTGAAGATGCTTAAAGTCGTAGTAGTATATATACAAATACAAGTGAGAGTTATACACTCTATTTTATTTAAACCAAACACACTAAATAAGACTTGGCTGAACGAATTTTCAAATAAATTTTCAAATTTTCAAATATTGCATTGCTGTTGAAATTGTCAAATTAATAAAAATTTTTGCTGAACTATCAGAAAATAAAACAGAACCGTTCTTTTACCTTGTGAATCATCAAAGTAGGAAGACTTGATTTGACGGTATCAACGAATAAAAATCCGTTGGCCTGAGTCTTACATATTGAGCGATTGTTCTTAAGCTAGGGTGAAAGCAAATATATACAATTTCGATATATACAAAAGAAAAAGAATTTTAGTCGAACGCGCACAAAGGTTTCTTTCGAGAAAAAACGAAAAATTGATAAATGACAGCAGTAGCATTAATAATATTATCTAATATTATTTACAAAGAAATTATTTGTCCATTTCATTTTGATTTCATACTGCTGATTCATTGGAAAAGAATGCCTTAAAAACTGTCCTGGTAATTAAATAGTGACGATGAACAAGATTTCTTTTCCGAAATTTTCCATGAACATTTCACTGATAAATTTACCATTGCGAACAATTAAAATAGATTTTTTCTTTGCTCGATAATGCAAGCAAAACATTCGATGAATTATTTATGTACAAAGTCAGACGCGCGTCTACATGCGATATACGCGGTGTAAGCATTTGAATAAAGAAAAGGAAACGACGTATGCTTTACAATATCTTCAACGCCGGAAAATTAATCATCTACTACAAATTAAAATTAACAAATACTGAGAAATCAATTACTCTTTCACATATATCCCACATGGACAATAGATCTCGCGCGCTTTTCTACTCTCCTTTCCTCTCCCAAAATATCGGATAATGATGTGAATAACAATCCGTCGACTAGACTATTACATGAATGCTTCGTCCGAGTTAAACCTTCATATCATTAGTCGCTACTGTGACACAGAAAAATAATAAATTAAATACTTAAAACAGAAATATCCCATGCGCTCCGTAAAATAAGTCTTTTCATCTCAGAACAACAAAACATACATACATGCGCGCGCACAGAAAAAGAAACATACATGCCATATCATCTTACAACGAATACGGATACTCGTCGAGATAACTCCTAATCACCGGTGGCAATTTTTTCGTTTGTTCCTCAAGCTTCTTACCGCTTTTGTTTACCGCTAATCTCGCCAAATGCGACAATGACGGGACTTTTTTCATCAGCGGTTGTGTCATGTGAATATGCGCGAACAATTTACATTGACAATCTACCCAATATGCTCGATTTTCATCTACGTGTCTCTCGTAATCGCAATAATACTCGAGCATCTTGAACGGACAATCGAACAATGGCATTTCGAATTCTTTTCCAGGTATCGAATCCAACCTGAACTTGCCCATGAAATAGATGACTCGTACGGAGGTTGGACCTCGAGCCGTTTGCGCCGAAATTGCAAAAGAGTACCTATGAGCAGTTATCCTAAGATTAATCAATAATCCTCCTTTAAATCACATTCCAACAAAAAAAAGAATGTCTCATACCTGCTATCAGAGCTATCTCTCAACAACCACCGTCCAACAGCAGCATCTTTGAGCAAAACTTCACTTTGCTGCCAGGTGAGTCCTTCGTAGAACCAATCACACTTTTGCAATAATTTTCTAACTTCAGCTAACTTAGCAGCATGCTTTTGCACCATATCGTAACCACCATCGAAACCCCAAGGACATGGAGTAACCCAAGAGATAGGTGTTGCTGGTGATTCTTCTCTATTTGTTGTGTCAGTTGGTTGAGGAGTAACGACGTTGAGATTACCAGCGGTAATGCTGACATTACCACCACTACTGAAAATACGCTTTCGGGTTTGTTGATCCTTGACTATTGGCTCGGTTGTATGAGTTGGTGTTGTTGACGTTGTGGCGGTTATGTTTAAGGTATAACCTCCGGAACTACCAGACGACGGTAGTTGAAATGTTGTGTTAACGTGGATCTTTATATCACCTGTAACAGAAAATTCATATGTTATGATATTTTCACAAATTAATTATTATGAAAGGTTTTCATTAGATTTATTTTTATTAGACGATCACATCTTCGCTCTGAAACGATATGAGAGTCGTTCCAAGAATATCAATTAATAAAATTTCATGAAAACAATAATTTCATTATAAGGTTGCATTATTGAACAACGACGGTAAATTTCTTGGAAACGTCAACGTCGATTCGAGTACGACATACTCGATAAATGTTGATAAAATATGCATCTCTATTAAAAATATCTTTAGAAGTCACTGATGAACAATAACCTCGCGAGTGCGGATAAAAATCTCTTTTTAAATGTGTCATGGTAAACCGATTAATTATCAATACGGTCGTTTATCAACTCGTTATGTTTGCTCGTATTGCAAGTTCATTCGAAAATAACAATTTTCTAAAAATAGTCCTCTCACCTGAATCGTTGCGTTGATGCTGTTCCGAGTAATCTTTACTTGAAGAAACCTGACAGAGATTGTGCCTCGAGTGCTGCTGCCCGTCGTCGTTTTTATTATAACTCGAGCAACATTTACAGGAGCAATTGCAGCCAGACGAGTTGACGTTATTACTAATCGTCTCGCAACGAGTACCTGGCACATCTTGGCAATCACCTGGTGACACTTCCAACCTGCAGTAACCATAATCCATGTTTCACTTGGCATGCCAGAATGACAATTTTCGTATCTATGCTAATTTATATGTATCTGGCATAATATATCAGCAGTTTTCAAATGTTAAATTCTCGGATCCAATATATCTCTCTTGTGCGTGATAACGAAAGAAGAAAAATAAAAAAAATCTCAAGTGCACTCGTGAGATTATCAGTTGTGCTTTAAACAAAGGAAATCAGAGATTCTCGGAAAAACGAGGCAATCGCATGAACGTTTTAATTGTCGCGTTAATTTAAAAAAAAAATGTCATTCACCGAAAATTACAGCAATTTTTCTGCTCACTAATCGCTTTGAAAATACACATTACGGCTTTAATCTAATGCGCGTATACTTTTTTTCTTATCGTCGTTGGCTTTTTACGACGTTCGTGTCACTAATATTAAACGCAAGCGAGAATCGTTACAAGGTCTTTTCAAAACTCGTCAGCGCCCGAGTAAACTCACCTCGCGTTGGAATTGGTGTGGAGCAAAACCGCTTGCTCGAAGGATCGCCTAAGCATATCTTCGGTAATGATCTGCAGCGGTCGCGTTTGCTGCCTGGCAGCCTCGGCAACACAGCTGAGACTACGCGCGTCCGGTTGTACGTCCATCAGACCACCGCCGAGGTATCGAGGATTGAATTCGATCTCGTGGTGGTGATGATGATGATGATGATGATGATGATGCTGCTGCTGCTGCTGCTGGCTTGACGACGTGGAAAAGCCGTCATGAATCAATCCACCACCGGCAAGTCTGACTTGTTGACGATAGTAATCGTCGGCGGTGGGGTCGCACTGGGACAGCGTTGCCGAGTTGATTTCCAGCATGTTGTTCGGGGACGAGCAGCAACCGGCCGCTGGGAAGCGATGCCTGCAGTTCGGACACATTACCGTCAGCATCGTGCTGCTGCTGCTGCTACTTCTTCTCGCTGAGCGGCGATCGATGGCATTACCTGCTCTCTGCAACGAGAACGCGATCGTCAGATGCCGCATGCTCGTTATCGAGCAATTATGAAAGTCACATGTTCGCTCGGCAATCACTTTATCGGAGAGCAGTTTGAGAGTCCATCGATAAACTGGTGAGAAGAAACGTCACGAATCGCCCCTTGTAAATCAAAACTGCACTCGTCATCGCTCCAAAAACCGAGCTCCCGTTCGGCCGGTCAAGGATGATATCGCTCGCGAACGCGTTATCGCGGAAACACGAGAGCGATGAATCTTCCGCTTGCTTCCGATTCAGGGAACAGCGGATGTGCGCGTCGCGCGCGCGTAAACAACTGCGCTCAAATCGACACCTTTGGATCCTTGCAACACAAATATCGCGTGCGAATTTTCCTTCACGGAAGCGGTCTTCCGCGTAATTGCGGCTTCGGATCATCGCGATGCCGATGATTAATCATTATTAACGCGGCGTGATTTCTCATTGAGAAATAACGAGTGCGAGAGGACGCGTCGTTATGGGATTTAATGATGCGCTCACGCGACTCCGCTGGGAACGTTTAATTTCCGTGTGCGCCGATTTTACGTAACTTTTTATATTTTTTTTTGTTTTTCTCACTGTCTTCCGCCGCCAGCCTTCGGAGTAAAACTTTTCACGGAACTGGACGCATTTGTACTTCCATATCAACGATTAAATATTAACGCATATTTCTCTCCCTCTCTCTCTCTCTATTTCGATAAATGCTTAATTAGCTTGAAAATTTTTTCCACTCGCGAATGACTCACGGCTCGTAGTATTGTTCGAAGCCGCGTGTTGCCGATCGAAGAGTCATTAGCATAACAATTCACGGAAGTACCGAATTAAGGGCAAACGGCAATTTTCACGCCAGTCACCTCAATGACCCCACTCGTCCCATTGATAAATCAACCGCGCGCGCGCGTATGTGTGCAAGCGAGCGCGTGCATTGGTTATGCACTCGCGCTGCAACCTCCTTTCGCCTCCGCTCTAATGAGATTCGGAGAACCGTAGTGCTGTCGGCCCGCTGCTTTTCCCACGCGCGAAAATTCCGCGCTAATTGCGAAAGTGACACTGAGGAGAAAGTCAGCCGACTCGCGAGCGAGCGAATCGAACTAGACTCCCTCTCCTCACACGCGCCTGCTATGTAATTTCGCTGAGACTACTTTACCGAGAATGTGTACTCGCTTGTTAATTCTCTCGGCGGCTATGAATTTTGATGCTGTCGAGCAGCGGCCTCTCTACCGCAGAATTGCATAATGCGGGAATTAAGTAAGATACGTGTCTCGCGCGCACGCAAGATTTAATATACGAGCTATTTGCGTTTTGCGTCGAAAACGTGAAGTCGCACGAGCCGAGTTTTTCGATGGGAAGTGATCTTTCTTTTCAGGCGCGAGCGGGGGTTCACAATGATCGATTTTTAAATCTGACAAAAAAGACGGCTATTTCGCGGAAACAAGACATCAGAGCTTGAACGCTTTGCTTTGATATTGTTTACCGGCGACCAAGCGTATCTAACAAACGCTGTTGTCGTATGGAAATCCCTCCCCACGTCTGCGAACTTTAACGAGAATAGAAAAGACCAATTTAGCAATCAACCGCTCGCTCGACTACGACACATTACACGCAGAGAAAGAGAGGGAAAAAACGACTTTGCACGAATTCGTTTTCCCTGTGCCGCGGCGCGTGAAATCCACAGTCGCGAAGTGCACGTCTAAGAATAGCCAATTACGAGCCTAATTGTCCTCGCGGGCTTCCGCGAACGAGAAACCGCGAGAAGCCGATGAGAGAGCTGTTTTTTTCTTTGGTTTTCGGCGACCCAATTCGTCGAGAGAAAAAGATTCCGCAGCAGAAGGAACGTTTCATAAATCAGCGCTTCTCCGCAGATCCCGAGTCATGCGCACAGCCAGTGCAGATTTCGAAAAAGAGCGTGTAGCGCTTCCAAGAAATTCACATCGAACGATTTGAATTTTAAAAGGAGACTTGTGTGACAGTGAGAACGAAAAAAATCGATGCTTCATCTACGCAGTTGTTTCAATGAATAATAATTATTAACACGACTGACGCTGCGATTCTGACTTAGTGATTAATAACGGATCGGATTGCGCAGCAAAAACGGATTTCGTAGGACTGATCACTAATCATGCGGAAAACTACTTCCGCGTCGACAATTAAAAAACTGAAAAAGTAAAACGACAGGCTTCAAAATGGCATTTTAACTTTCCAAAGAATGTTATTTTCTCCGAACAAGCGCCAAAAGCAGCAAGCAGTTCCTTGATCAAAACAAAAGTCCGCCCACGCAAACGTTTCATTGCAGCGTTGGCCTAACACAGAGTGAGCGAGCGAGAGAGAGAGAGAGAGAGAGAGAGAGAGAGAGAGAGAGAGTGAGCGCGAGAGAGAGACCGCAGGGATTCGCGGTACTCGCGGCGCATGGCGAGTTGCCCGAACGGCCGAGCGCTTCCGCGAAGTGTCCGCCGCTGCCTCGCTGTCGCAATGCCAGAAGGCCAACAGTTTCTTCCCTTCTCTCCCCCCTGCTTCGTTCTTGAAAAGCCGACGTTCCTTTTCGGAGGCTGCATTCCGCGAGTCTTCGTTTCGATGGGTGATTTAACTCGATTATGGATAAATTAATGCATTTCTTGCGACATTCCGATTAATAACAATATAAAGAAGGCGAGGCAAAATTTACGCAATAACTATTCATAGAAGGAGAGAAAGAGAATGTATATAGTTGAGCAATCGAATTATATATACAGAGAAAATTACCAACCATCAATTTCGCGCTAAAATACCATAAATAACAGACTGCAACGCGCGCGTATACGTGTAGACGTCATCGGTTTGAAGCTTCACTCGTGACATCGAGTTGAGGTTAGGTGTACATGTATATATATATATATGTACGCGGCTCGAATCAGCTGGCACTCGCGCGCCAGCTACACGCGCTCTACTCTTATCGCTTTCACCCATCATCATGGCTTGTATGGCATTTTTTGCCGATGACGCGCGCATGGAATGTTTCGTGGGTGGCTCTTTTCGAAAAAGAGAAAACATCGTCGTCGACGGAAAAGAGTTAAATAGTTCGCGATGACGGAACGAGAAAACATAGAGAAAGCTTTTTTTATCGGGTGGGATTAAAAGCGTTAGAGATACGATCGTTGATTTTCAGGAAAGATTATTTAAGCGTAAAACGATACACACATGGTACGAGCGAAGAGTGAAGATAAATGAGTGTGAAATCCGAAGTCGCGTTCATTTGTTCTTTCGAACAATTGACTTCGAATTTTCTTTTCTCTTGCAAAAACAAGAAAACGGGTTGTGTATAGGTGCCCGCGCGCGCATACACATACATACACACACGATTCATCCACGTTATAAAACACAAAGTGAGCGCGTGTGCACGTGTGACACATTTTCTCCTGCATCCGATAGCGATTTTCATTATCTATGTCTCATAGAGGCGTCATGTTCCACGAAGAAAGGCACGATAACGATTTTCCCCTAGGCAACGCTGGCGACCGAAAAGGGGCAAGTAACTCCAATGCACAATTCCCGGAACTAATTTTCTCCCGGGAGTCACGATCGCAATCAAATACATATAGAAAGAGACACGAAGTCCGGAAATCACTCGTGACTAGCTTACATAAATAAACAACGACGTCGACAGAGAGCGAAGGTTTTCTCTCTCCCACACAGACACCAGCACAATCGATTTTTCCGCGTGCACAACGCGAACGAGCGGGGGCCAAGGTTAATCGCGAGAAAGAGAGAGAGAAAGAGAAAGAGAGAGAGAGAGAAACCGCCCGCGGCGAGGCTTCCGAGAAAATACAACTTCTCTCTCTCTCTCTCTCTCTCTCTCAGCGCGCAGCAGCTGCATACGTTGAATCTGAATTTCAAGAAGAGGAGAGAGAGCGCGAGAGCAAGCTACTACCTGAACAGTTTTTCGGGGAAGCCCTCTCTGCACACACTCGCACACGTATATAGAGGAACACTGTGTAAAACACTTGCCTCTCGGTGACTTTTTTATTTTTTTCGTTCGTCGCTTCTTCAACTAAGTGTCACTTAACTGTAAGTCACTGAGATACGGTGCCTGTATTGCCAATGAAATACTATTTATAAAAAAAAGAAAGAAACGATCGGACACCGCCACTCGCGTGTGCTCTCGTCACCGTATATATATAAATACGTCTAACTCGGCCGAGAGCTACGGCTCGACTGAGCGTGTGCGGCGCGTCGACTCGGGGAGAGACAGAGAGAGAAAGAGAGAGAGAGAGAGAGAGGGAGACAGAGAGAGAGAGGTGGACGATGATGATGGTAGTGCTTGAGGGGGGAGGGGAGATACAGAAACGACGAGTTGTAGTATTACTCGGAACCCGCGATTTCGCTTCTCTTCTCGGACGTGGAAATGAGAAATAGAATTGACGGTCGAGAGATGTATACGCCGAAATTTCTATGTAAGAAAAAAGCAGCACGCTAGCTCGCCGATTTTTTTAATTGACCTATTGTAGCTGTTTGGGAGAGGTGAGAGCAAGTTTATTCTGTGAAGTGTTGAAAGAGAGAAACCTTTTTTTTAATGCGAGGAGGTGTGACGTGCATTGAAGTGCTGAACGTATTCGGTAGTAAATGAATAAAAAACCCTTCGATTTTAAAGTATTACGATGACAAAGTTCTTTCAGATAATCAATTAATATTCCGAATCGCGTTCTCGAGACTATCTTCCTTTTTGATAACTCGACTTGAAAAATGTTTCTATTTTAGAGAGAAAATGGTAATTTATTCGCACTCCGATTTAGGTCGATGATGCGTCTCTCAAAATAGAATTTCGTAGATAGCTGTCTTCTTTTAATTCGTCTACAAAAAAAAATTCGGAAATCCCATTCGAAGCACTGACGGAAGAGAGCAAAGCAGTAAAACCAGACGAAACTGTTGCATCTCGTGAAATGCCATACATTCATTATTCATAGTTTTTTGAAGACAGTTGCTTTGAATAAACTCCTTTTCCAGGTATTAACCGTATTTAAATAAAAATCGTTCTAGGAAATAAAGTTGTTAGACACATGTACGGCACCGAGAGAAAAATGTAAATCGCGCTGAAGCTCTACACAGTAAATAAATAAATAATCAAGCGAATCTCATGCACCTCGCGGAGAACTCGACGTCAATTCGAAAACGCGAGAAGGCTTCAAAATTGCCAAGTGATTTTTCTCGAGCACGTGCCGAGGACTTGGATCGTACGGCGATTTGCGCGCGAATAGCATTGCGTTCCGCGCAACGACGAATTTTCGATGTCTCGCGGCGCGCGAAGAGAAAGTTCGTACGCCCACGAAAAAGAGGAAAAAAAAGGATTCTTCTCGGAGACAATCGCGCGGTTGAGCAACGAGAAAGGTGCGCTTCTAAGTGGAACGAGTTTTTCCACGGAGGAACGACTAACGCGATGAAACCACGCGATAACGATTAGGAAACCATTGTAACGAGCTAATTGACCCGTTGGGAAACGCCATTTTTTTTTACTTCGTCATTTTTCAAGAACGCCGATTACAGCTGGACTTACCTCGAACCTCATCGCGGCGTCCAAAGAAATCACAGTTCTCGGTAATTTTGATGGATTGGCTTGATGATTTAACGGGAAATGCAAATGGTATCGACGATAATGGCGTCAGTGATATTTTTAATGTCGATTTTAAGAATGTAGAGATTGGCTTCTTTGAAAATCCGTAGATTCCTTTTTTTTTCAATAACGTGCGGCTTATCGATTTGTCAACTTCACTCGCGCGAGCTATTTCCATTATTTAATCAATAATTGTTTCGCCGGAGAATTTTTATCAAGAGTATGCTCGGTTCAGAGAATGTTCTAATAGGACAAACTTTCAAATAATGTTCCACGAGTTTTCATAAAAGTTGTCAAGCAATTTGCGCCAATTCATCCTCGACTTTTAAAGAAACGCCCGAGCGCGACGAAAACATTCGAAGCTCGACCGTTCGCCACTCGAAAACCCAATCCTTTTCCACCGAAAACCATCCTGCGGTACAATTAATTAAGTGGCAACTATGGACTTCGTGCCGTTCTCACTCGGTCGAGTGCTGCCTTTTTTCCGGGAACGCGTGTTTGCAAACTCCGACTGCGGCACGTAAAAGGTGTCAACGAGCGGAACACAGTAGCTAGCCAACAAGCGCTGTGTATGATATATATGTATATATATACACATATATATATATATATATATATATATATATATATATATATATATATATATATATATACCTGGCAAGACTTCTAACGCGCGGACACACAAATGAAGGAAGAAGGGAGTCGCTTTTCGAGGAACGCCGACAAAGTGATTTACAGTGCTACAACGACAGTTAGGGAGCCCCCTTTTTCCGCTTTTCCGAGACTTCTTCCGGACTCCAATGACTTTCACGTGGCTATGACCGCGGGAAGTCTTTCACGTCGGGCTCGTTGCTTTGCGATCAACGTGACATTTAGTTGAAAGGTATTCGTTCTGGAGTTTCAAGAAATTAAAATCAATTATTTATGAGGTCACAAATCAAGCGACGCAAATCCGAAGAACAATGTTAACTTCGTAAAAGGAGGAAAACAATAAACGAGAGAAAATGACTTTCTCTCGTGTACAAATACTCTCGCCTGCGTAAATTTTTAAAAACAGATTAACATTGTTATTTGATCGTCTGGAAAGACGAATATTGCTCGGTCAAGCCACTTCGTGTGCATCCACTTTGCCTTCGTGCTCGCTTCGTCGGCCGGAAAATTCGATTTTCCGCGAATCCGAGTACAACGGCACGAGGCCAAGGAAAAACGCAATTTCCTGCGCAGTCGAGTGAAAATTCATCGAGCCCATCCCGATTGGCAGGCATGCCGAGCACGAACTCGGCACCAATTTCGAATCACACGGGCACCGATCGTCGCGACCCGTCGTCCCACGACGATTACGACAGCGCTCGATCGAGGGAAGCGTCGCGCGGCTTTCCCCGAAATCGCGAATTTCGCGGTACGGGCATTGTGAGTGGCGCATCTGTCCCGCGCTCGGCGAGCGGCGCGTGCAGCTGACGACTTTCGGTCGATGCGACAGCTGCTCGAGACCTTGATACGCGCGCGCTTTTCCAACTCTGAATTAGCCGCGGGCGCCACGGCTAATTGGACTCGTCTTGTCGCTTTCTGGCGCGATCGTTAGCGAGGCGCTCGTCGAAGCCCGTCGTAAATAGACGCCAGCGCGAAGCCGTAGAAGCGCGCGAGGTCCACTTTTGGACAGCGTTAGATTACCGCCGACCTGTGACTATCGTTTCGCGAGCGTAATTGGCTCGTGCGAATTCCGTGCTCGAGGCCTCGCGGCGAGTCGGAGCAAAAAGTACAAGTGTCGCGCAATGGAAAATCCGCTGGCGTTTAGCAGGCCCACGATCGGCAGGCGAGTTCGCTACCCGCTGCGGACGTTCAGCGAACAAGGTATTGAAGTCCGCGAAGCAAGCCGAGCGAACGCCCGGTTATCGACGATAACGCCGCGTCCAACTTTTGGTACGCGTGTAGATTAACGAGCTTGCCGAAGGCCCCCGCCCCTGCCCAAACAGTGCTCTTTTTTTCAATGATTCCCGCCGTGGCTACCGTGAATACGCGCTCCGAGGGCAAAAAACCACGCGGGACATTAATTTACGAACGGTCGTCGGCATTAGGAAGGCGCGCGAGATAAAATCTCCTACATGGAAGCGAGAGCGAGAGAGAATGATTCCGAGAGGATATGGGGGAAGAAGCGCCCACTCTTTCCGTGGAAATTCTCTATGTAAATCCATGCCCACGCGTGTATATATTCTTTGTCTCTCTCTCTCTCTCTCTCTCTCTCTCTCTCTCTTTCTCTTTCTCTACTCGTGCAGGATCGTTCATCATCGACTTGTTCTCTGTTTTTTATTCGAAGCACTGGCAAGCGAAGTTCTCCTAGAATTTCGCGTGATTGAATGGGCTATTGTGTACGACGTGATGGATTCGCGGGAATAATTCCGATTGATGTTAGGCGAATTTTTTTCCCGTTGTGATTTTTGGGAAAGTTTCATAATGACCCATAGACCTTCTGACAATCGGTAAGCAAAGTACGCACGAATTCTTCGTTTGATTCACACACAAAAAGGAAAAAAGAAAAACCAGCATCAAATTGAATCGCTGTCGGCGAAAATTCACGTTCTATTGGTATAAAAATGGAGGTCGTTCGATCGATCAACCACAAAATCAATCGGACAGTTGACACCCGAAAAGCAAGTTCGAGATCACTATGTTTTCACACCATGACCTATCGATCAGCAAAGAAATATATACATTGTACGTTGGGAGACGAGATAGGCAGAATTGATTTCTCTTTTTTTTCTGCCCGGGGCACGCGATCTTTCCACGAAGCGACGAGACAAGACGAGAGTGACATCAGTGCCTTAAAAATCCAATATGGTACCATCTCTCTCCTCTCTCGCGCGTGAAAGCCAGTTACGACCGAAAGGAGCAGAAACCAAATTTTCGAGGTGAAGAACACGTTGCATTAGCCCCTCGATTCAATACTGGGAACCAAATATATAAAAGTTCAACCCTCTCTCTCTCTCTCTCTCGTTCTGTCTCCTCCAAAGCGGATTGCAAAGCGGTTTAGAGAGCGTACATTCCAAGAAGCTGCTTTCGGTTGAAAGTTAATCCCTTTGGAAATCCAACGGCTCTGCGATCACTATCGTCCCCCGTTAACTTCATTCCATTATCTGATTTTCCTCTCCGATTCAATTGCTCGCCAGCGCGCATGCATAATCCACGCATTACAGCACGACTATGTAGCGGTTCAATAACGGCTTCTCTCTCCCTCGTGGCCTATTCGCGCGGGCCGAATCTCGCAGCGGCGAAATCGACGCCTATACGTCGGCCGGTCATGCGGGCAAAACAACCGCGCGCGCGGGGCTTATCGCTCGTTCGACGAAATGATTTTCATGCTAATAGCGCGCTTTGTCGCCGCGCGCCCATTGTTTCCGAGTAATTCGTCGCGATGCGTTGCGCTTCTAACTATTGTATGGCAACAATGTTTGCTTTCCGAGTACGTCGCGCAAACATCGCCACAAGCGCTCGTCCAATTTTCGCGGGCCAGAGAAAAAAAAAGTGCGCCCGAGTATAGGTCCCTTTAAAGAGGCTGCCTCGGGGCCTCGTCTTTCTTTCTTTCTCTCTCTCTCTCTCTCTCTCTCTCTCTCTCTCTCTC